TATAGCTGATTACGATATTAAACATTTGTTATTGTAAGTCATATAAAGTTCTAACAATCATATTTATATTGCATTATTAATAATAATGCCTCGTAGGATTTTGATCATCGAAGTGATCATTTCTATATTAGTGGAAGATAACGATAAAGAATTTTATCATCGTAAGTAGCTATGTTCCAAGCATCAATTCTAAAACGTCACACACGAAACATTGATTTAATTTATATATGATTCTTAGCTATATCGTCCAACTTTCTATTGATCAAATTTAAAATATTCCCGTGCAAAAATGATTAAATGACGCGTGTAACGACAAAATAGATGGGTCTTGGTATCCTAATATATAAAGGCCCATATATAAATTCGTGGTCTAAAATATAGAATACGAGAATATGCCCTGATTAAATACTATTTTGAATAAGGAGGTCAAATTCAAATGCTCGTAAAGAGGTCGACTAATTTATCGGCAGTCTTAATCACCCCAAATTCATTATCTTTAATAAAGTATATGAATTCCTGTTTCGGTCTTTCTTAATAGGTTTATTGCTTTTAATTATCAGCTTTGTAATTCTAATATCAATATTTCGATGCCAAGTAATATACATATTTTGAACATGATTTTTTGTATTTTTGGGTCTAAGTTAAACCAATAAAAATGATCTAGAAAAAGGTTAAACCAATAAAAGAAAAATAAATAGGCTTAGTAATTGTAAGATAAAATAGGCTTATTAGATGTTAAGCTCTACATACATGGTACGAAATTAGCTATAGTCGAAGAGAAAAAATTAGGTCGATGATAATGATTGTTTGCTGACCAAATAGGTCCATTAATCATGTACTAACCACACTTAATGAAATCCTAATTAGCTAAATTATATAGTCTTAATACATACACAAGGGCACATATATCTGTGTATGCATATGTTCATTAGCGGAAGTTTTAGGCTCTCTTAACCTTTCACGAGATATGGAGACATGATAATAATATTAAACTAAAATAAAAAACGCATATAAAAATAAAGATGCGGCCATTATTTGATTTAGACAAATAAAGATTACGGTGTAAATCATGACACGTATATATACCAATATTAATTGTTTATTTTTCTACTTTTTTGTTCTCAAATGTCTGTCGTCCACGATTTGACCTTGAAGGCTTGAATCGGTTTGATAAGTTAAACATTAAGCCAACTTTAAGTCATAAACAAAATTTTAACATGCTTTCCCCTAACATTTGTTATACTTTTTCTGGCGAAAACTTTAATGGTTGTGATATGATATTTAAGGTTCCGTATGCATTGAATTAAACAATGTAAAAGGGGTATAACAAATCGTGATCCTAAAACAGACACTGAAAATTTAAAGGAAAAGAACAAAATGTGGTTCATATATATACACAACAACGGCTTAACTACAAATGCTGATGAATCTCTTTTTCTTTTATTTGAACAAGTAGATAGTGGTGTCATACGTTGTCTATTAAAAAAAAAACCAGTGAATATGCTTAGACTACACACATTCAAAGAGATCAATCAAATTTTGGTCTGAAATGATTTGGTAACAAAAAATAATATCCTTTTGTGATATTTTTGGCTGTCTCTATTTTGTCTTTTCACTTTGGAGAAAGGAAAGAGATAAAAAGTGTAAGTAAAAATCTGATTTTGATACTTAGACAACTTGAATATTTTACTTATGAGTTTGGAACCTTTTACATGATCTTGTAATTTGACGACAGATGGAGAATAAAAAAGGGAGAAAATTCAATAATTTAAAGACCTTTATGTTAATGATAAGATGCTTTACTATTGGTATATATTCATATTCAAAAAATTACATTAAAGATAAAATAAAAATAAAAGATAGAAGAGAGATGATATCTTAAAAAAAAAAAAAAAAATGGAATCAAAATCATTCTTTAACAGAAGGAGCTTTGCAAGAAACTAGGAATTTAAGACTATTCTTCCTTTTAGACACAACCTTACCATTGTCAATTTTTGTATCATTTGAACACTTTCTCAATGCAATAAGAAAAGGATCATCATCTTCTTCTTCTCGTCTCTTTCCCATCTTTTTCCATTTCATTATACATGATGATTTAACTAACGAGGAAGATCTACCCAAACGTTTTGATGATAAAGGATATGGTGATGGTGGTGGCAAAGGTAGCAATGTTGGTACCACAATTTCATTATCGATATTCGACGGCATATCTATCTCTATTTCTCCTCTATTAGTTAGTGATGATGAAACATGAGGCGATGCTGACAAATGCAATCTAGTTTCCTGAGAGGACATGTTTCTATTATAATGATTAGTGATCAAAATTCGATGATATACGATTTTTTTCTTTTGAATATGATATACGATTTGAATAACAAATTCGATAGACTAAACTTGCGAACTATATATACGTGTCTATTAAACGATTTTGTTACGTTTTGTGTGGGGTTGAGAGTTGAGACATAATAAAGGCATGAACATTATGAAAGAAAAAATAAAGGAGGAGACATGCGATTGCTTGTTATGGTTATTGAAATAAATTTAAGAAGAGCATGCATGGGTCTTTCTTATTCACATTCATTACATATCATACGTGTGGGTGAATACATAATTAGAATTCAAGATCGTCGCTTTCAAAGAGAACACATCTCAGACTTTTCCGCTTCTTGTATCTCTTTGTAATCATCTGTCACAAAGTAAAATGTTATAAAACTTAACCTTTTACCTATAAAAACACATCTCAGACTCAACTTATTTTTATTACATAAATAATTGTAGACGTGTGATCAAGATTACCTAAACAAATTGTAGACGTCCAAGATTGTCATATGACCGAGTTAGCTTTGCATTGGGCTTTACGAAAGTTATAAACGGGCTAAACATGGGCTCACAACTAAAACAACTTTGAGTCGTTTATAATCTATAACTAGTTAACTACATACTGTATGTCAAATTGTCAACTGATTTATTATTTTATTTAAAACAGAATATTATACTATAAGAAAATAGTTAATTGTGGACTTGTGGTAATGGAAAGTGAAAAGAGTGTGTCGCACTAAGGACCACCTCACGAATTTGGTGAAATTGCTTTATTGGTCATTTCTTGTTTGGTCTACGCTGGTTTTTAAAGCTTGTTTTAACTCGCAATATCATGTCTCTACACATGGTTCCCAATTACTGGACCAAAAATATAATTTAAAAAAATACTCAGTGAATGGATGTCATGATTTTCCTCTATTTAATTATAACACTCTTTTTCAAAAAATAATCTATCACACACACGAAAGGTACATAAACAGTCCACTGCACTATTATTCTATACAATTAATTTTAAAACCAAAGTTCCATTCTCATATTTTTTAAAAAGTATTGGCGACTGTTAATAAGAAGACCAAGAACAATTCTAAAACTTCAGTTGATAAAATGGATGACATGATTAAAATCTAATCATGAGTATTGATGGTAATACACATTTATACAATAATTAAAGTTGAAAACAGCAAATATAATTACACACACACCCAACACAATCAATTCAATTTAATCTTCCCACCTCTATCCTACGCCTACATCACTCCCCTGCTAAAACGCGCCTCTATCATCAACTACAAAATTTCTGTAACCGTTTTTCTTTTTGTTGAGAACACACACTCACATGAAACTTCCACTTTCTTCTTCTTCAAACCTTTTCAAAATCTCTCTAAAATCAAAATGGTGAGGAGTCACCGGTTTAGTTACCGGTTACTCCTTCTCCTTCTACTAATCTTCAAAACGACACGACGTTTAACCACCGCTGATCCAAACGACGAAGCATGTTTAAAAAACCTCCGGCAAAACTTAGAAGATCCGGCGAGTAATCTCCGTAACTGGACAAACTCCGTCTTCTCAAATCCATGCTCCGGCTTCACCTCATACCTCCCCGGAGCTACCTGTAACAACGGAAGAATCTACAAACTCTCTCTCACTAACCTCTCTCTCCGCGGCACAATCTCACCGTTTCTATCAAACTGTACAAATCTCCAATCCCTAGATCTATCATCAAACCAGATCTCCGGTATCATCCCACCGGAGATTCAGTTCCTCGTTAACCTCGCCGTGTTAAATCTCTCATCGAATCAACTCTCCGGCGAAATCACTCCGCAGCTAGCTCTATGCGCTTACTTAAACGTAATCGATCTCCATGATAACCAACTCTCCGGTCAGATTCCGCAGCAATTAGGTCTTTTAGCGAGGTTATCGGCGTTTGATGTGTCGAATAACAAACTTTCCGGTCAGATTCCGACGTATTTGTCGAATAGGACTGGGAATTTCCCGAGGTTTAACGCGAGCTCGTTTATAGGGAATAAAGGATTGTATGGTTATCCGTTGCAGGAGATGATGATGAAGAGTAAAGGATTATCGGTGATGGCGATTGTTGGGATTGGACTTGGAAGTGGAATCGCGAGCTTGATGATTAGTTTTACTGGTGTTTGTTTATGGTTGAGGATTACTGAGAAGAAGATTGTTGAAGAAGAAGGTAAGATTAGTCAATCTATGCCTGATTACTAAACTTAATTATGGATTTTAATTAAGAATTTTGATTGTTAATTACGGCTTTGAAGAAGATTCTTGATATGTGTGAGTTTTTTATTTATTTATTTGGGATTTTGATTTTCCCTCTATATTAACTTTTTATATATATATATATATATTTATGTTTCACTTCTGTTTTAAGGGATAATGAATTACATGTAAATTTAGTAATAATTGGAAGAAATTGTTAGAGATGAGAATTAATAATTAATGGAAATTATATATATTTTGGTACTAACGGATACTGCGGGATTTTTTTGAGAGACAAGTGGACCCAAATACTGATTTGGATACGTTTATGCCAGTGGATTTGTCAGATAGATTAAACGCTGCGTTTTGTATATAATACAGCTCCTTTAGGATACGATGATCATGTTTCATCATCATCATCCCCACTCTATAAGAAGAGGCTCATGATTATGTTATTTAAATTTTGAATATCTTTCTTATCTCCTACAATAGTTTCACTTTTTTCATAAAAATACTCTCTGCATTTTTGTTACAATTTGTCTATTCTAAAGAGTTTCACTTTCCTCCATCAAAAAACAAATGAACAAATATACATAATTCAATTTAACAAACTGTATCGACCGTTATTACAATCTCATCCAGCTGCAACCTCGTTGTTTCATAGCTCCAATCATGTTCATGGCTTCCCTCGTCTCTTCTGCTTCTTTCCACAAACCAGCTCCTGCGTAAATATTCGACAGTTGAACATAAACTGATGGGTCATTCTTTTCTTTCTCCATTAGTAACCTCGCAACCATCTTCCCTAGCTTCAAATCTCCATGAGCAGCACAAGCACTAAACAAAGCCCACCACACATCTACCCGAGACCCAATGGTCTTCTCGCTGATCTTCACCAAGCTTTCTGCTTCATCGAGGTGACCCGCTCGACCAAGAAGGTCAACTAAGCATGAAAAGTGATCCACATTTTTTATCACACCGTGAATTTCCACCATTGAGTTGAAAATCTCGAGTCCCTCTTTGACTAAACCGGCGTGGCTGCAAGCAGAGAGAACCGCTGAGAATGTGGCTGCATCGGGATCAACCTTTCCTTCATCTTGCATCGTCTTGTAGGTAGTAACCGCGGTCTCTCCTTCCCCATGCCTTGCATATGCAGAGATTAGAGAATTCCATGACACAGTGTCCTTTTCAGACATCTGATGGAACACAGCAAGAGATTTTTGTAGAGTCCCGCATTGAGAGTACATGTTTATAAAGGCATTACCAATCAATGTCTCCTTGAATTGTCCGTGTCTGAGGGCGTAAGCGTGAGTCTGCTTTCCGAGCATCAAAGACGAAATATCTACGCAAATGCTCAAAAGAATGCTAAGAGTATAAGCATCAGGTATGATTAGGACCTCTGATTCTAGCAAGCAAGAGAATCTTTCCAAACCTTCAAAGGAAAACCCATTATGGTAAAACCCCGAGATTATCGCATTCCATGAGATTAGATTCTTCTTCGGCGAACTTTCGAATATTAGGTCCGCCTTTGCTATCTTTCCCTGCTTCGAATAGGCAGATATCAGTGCATTCGAAATTTCGATCTTTGAACTAAGCCCGAATTTGATTACACACGCTTGAACCATCTCCAGGGCATCCAAATCCAGAGAGCTTGCTAAAAGACTTCCGAAAGTAAACTCATCCGGTTTAACTCCTATTCCATGCATTCGCTTGTATAACAACAACGCAGACTGCCCCAAGTTCGCTTGGTTATAACCAGAAATCATTGTATTCCAAGTAACCAAATCTTTCTCTTCCAATGACTCAAAAACCTTAAGAGCCGCACCAAAATCCTCAAAAGAAGAATACATTGTCATAGTGGAATTGCTAACCAAAGTATACTCTTCATACCCTGTCTTGATGGATAGTCCATGTACTTGGTGTCCCATAGTCTCACATGAACATGAACCCATAACACTAACAAAGGTCAGATCGGTTGGTCTAAGACCAGCTTCGAGCATTTTTCTAAACACCAACAAAGACTCTTCTCTTTTGAAACCAGCCAAACCATCAATAACCACATTAAAAGTGACCTGATCACGAACAACAACATCAGCTTCTTCAAACACCAGACGAGCATCAACAACCACTTGGCAATTAAAATACATTGTAATCAGTGCATTCACAACAGATGATGCAACAAAAAATCCAGCTTTTATAACCAGCGAATGCACCTGCTTACCAAAATCCAAAGAACCATAGTAACACATACTCAAAACAGTAGCAAAGCCAAACTTATCATGTCGAACACCAAGCTTGTGCATTTCACGAAACAACTCAATACTCGTTCCGTGATACCCACTCTCTTTGCAACCAGTGATCATAGCATTCCAAACCGCAACATCATCTCTCTCAGGCATTTTATCAAACACCTCAAAGGCATACTCTATATCTCCAAGCTTAAAACTTGCACTCAAAAGCGTCGTCCATGAATAAACATCAGGTTCAATAATCTCTTCGAACTTCTTCTTCAACGAAGCTAAGTTCCCTAATCTCGCATATAACGAAAGAAGCGTATTGGAGACGTGAGAGTGACACAATAAACCAGAGCGAATCGCATAGCAATGAACCTGACCACCAAAGATGGTATCACGGAGGTGCCCAGCTGCAGTAATAGCTAACGAAACACTGTACTGGTCTGGTCGCAGAGATGTGCAACGGTGAACATCGGCGAAAAGCTTGAGAGCGTTTCTGTTCTCTCCGGAACGAGTGAGACCGGTTAGTCTCCGGTTTAAATTGAGCAACGTAGTCGAGTTTTCGGTTATGGCTAATAGAGCTTTTCTCATCAGTCATCTATTAGCTCTGTTGTTAAAGAAAGTTGTCTCTTTTAGGGTTTAACTTTTCTATATGCAAAACAGAGAGTAAAGGAGAAGACTTTATAAGACGAAAACGCTATCGTTTTAGAGACTGAAGTGAGAGAGATGCGTAGATTCTCTACCATTGTCGATCTTTTCATCAGCAAGAAACCATCTTCTCAATCTCAAGCAAATTCTCGAATTGATTTCATTTGTAAAAGTTTTCACATTTCAAGAGTTCTCAATCACGATTTCGTGGAATCAACAGAGAGAAAGAATGGGCTTGGTTTAGTTTTTCCAGAGAAACATGAGGATGAATTCGCCGGTGACGTTGAGAAGATATACAGAATTTTGCGGAATCACCATTCTAGGGTTCCGAAATTGGAGCTTTCTCTTAACGAATCAGGTATTGATCTGCGACCCGGGTTGATCCTACGAGTGTTGAGTCGGTGTGGGGATGCTGGGAATTTAGGTTATAGATATTTTATATGGGCAACGAAGCAACCTGGTTATTGTCATAGCTATGAAGTGTGTAAATCAATGGTGAAGATTCTTAGTAAAATGCGGCAATTTGGAGCTGTTTGGGGTTTAATTGAAGAGATGAGGAAGACGAATCCGGAGTTGATTGAGCCGGAGTTGTTCGTTGTATTGATACGGAGGTTTGCTTCTGCTAATATGGTGAAGAAAGCAGTTGAGGTGCTCGACGAAATGCCTAAGTATGGGTTTGAGCCTGACGAGTATGTTTTTGGATGTTTGTTAGATGCTTTGTGTAAGAACGGTAGTGTTAAGGATGCTTCAAAGGTTTTTGAGGATATGAGAGAGAAGTTTCCTCCGAATTTGCGGTATTTTACTTCGTTGTTGTATGGTTGGTGTAGGGAAGGGAAGTTGATGGAAGCGAAAGAAGTTTTGGTTCAGATGAAGGAAGCTGGACTTGAGCCTGACATTGTGGTTTTCACTAACTTGCTTAGTGGATATGCTCATGCTGGGAAAATGGCGGATGCGTATGATCTTTTGAATGATATGAGAAAAAGAGGGTATGAGCCGAATGCGAATTGTTACACGGTTTTGATCCAGGCGTTGTGTAGGACGGAGAAGAGAATGGATGAGGCGATGAGGGTTTTTGTTGAGATGGAAAGGTATGGATGTGAGGCTGATATTGTGACTTACACCGCGCTGATAAGTGGGTTTTGCAAGTGGGGAATGATCGATAAGGGTTATAGTGTTTTAGATGATATGAGAAAGAAAGGAGTCATGCCGTCGCAAGTAACATATATGCAGATAATGGTGGCTCATGAGAAGAAAGAACAATTTGAAGAGTGTTTGGAGTTGATTGAGAAGATGAAACAAATAGGTTGTCATCCCGATCTTCTCATTTACAATGTAGTGATCAGATTGGCTTGTAACTTAGGGGAAGTGAAAGAAGCAGTTCGGTTATGGAACGAAATGGAAGCTAATGGTTTAAGTCCTGGAGTTGATACGTTTATTATTATGATCAATGGATTTACAAGCCAAGGTTTTCTAATCGAAGCCTGCAATCACTTCAAAGAAATGGTCAGCCGAGGAATATTCTCTGCGCCTCAATATGGAACGCTGAAGTCATTGCTAAATACTCTTCTAAGAGATGATAAGCTTGAAATGGCGAAAGATGTTTGGAGTTGCATATCAAACAAAACCTCTTCATGCGAGCTGAATGTATCAGCTTGGACAATATGGATCCATGCTTTGTTCGCAAAAGGTCACGTGAAGGAAGCATGTTCGTATTGTCTTGATATGATGGAGATGGACTTGATGCCGCAACCTAATACTTATGCAAAACTTATGAAAGGATTGAATAAACTGTATAATAGAACGATCGCTGCAGAGATTACAGAGAAGGTGATGAAGATGGCAAGTGAGAGAGAGATGAGTTTTAAGATGTATAAGAAGAGAGGTGAGGACTTGATTGAGAAAGCTAAACCTAAATGGAATAAAGAAGGGAAGAAGAAAGGGACAGATCATCATAGGCATAAAGGAGGTGGTGAAAGAAGTAGAGCTAAAGCATTGTAACATTTCCTAAAGAAGCAAGTTTAGATTTTCTATAGCTGAATTATGTTTTTGCTTTGTTTCATGTTCTTGTTATCAGCTCAAAACGGCACCGTTGTTGGGGATTTAGACGAAACTGAATTTTAACCGAGATTATTACAGAGTCACTGCCAATTTTGTGTAACAGAATGATTAAACCGAAACATATCAGATTATGGTCTCAAAACCGGTAAACAAACCGACCCAAAACTAAATATAAATCGAATCGAGTCTTAACACAAAAGTCACTGCTCCGGAGACAAACGAGAAGCTTTGTTCCGGTGACGATCAGATTTGATATTTGTGGATGAGTACAACAACAAGTGTCGGAATTTGGCTGAATCACATAAACCTTGGTGATCAAGCAAGTTTTTTTGTATAAGAACACCAAGATCCCACTTTGGAATCGTCAAGCGAGTGAAATATCGAAACTTTCTAATCGTATCTCAATGTTGAGGACAGTGTCTCTTGCTCGAAACCGTCTTAGGTCCGAGACGCCATCATCGTTTCTTGCTAGAAACCATCTTAGGTCCAAAACGCCATCATCGTCTCCGTTTTCTTCGAAGCGGCATGCGCCTAAAACGAGCGAAGTAGAAGAAGAGTCGACTCCAAAAGATTCCGTTTTGTTAAACCCTAAAGATCCATCAAGCCCACCTAAGCTCTTCCTTGTTCAGCCTCGTTTAGCACCACCTAAGTTACTACAGGCGAAGCTGAATGAAGCGCTTTGTCTCGCGAATTCTCTTGAAGAGCAACGATATGGGTACTTTGAATCTGATTTCTTCGACAAGGAATTGCCTTCTCATGTTGTTGTTCAAAACCCTGTTCGTAGATCGTCTAAACCTCGCGTAGGTTCGTGTTAGATGTTTTTAAGAATCATGCCTTCCATATGTTCGACGATATTCCTGAGAGACTGATGTTTAATATGGGTTTCGTTTTTTAGATACTTATTTTGGGGCTGGGACTGTAGACAACATCAAATGCCATCTCAATGCTGAAGATTCCAAGGCAAGCAGCTAAAATTTGACCATTATCAATCTCTTTTTTTTTGTGCTGCCTGTAATGAAAAGTTGGATCATGCTGTTTACAATCTCTTGATGCTCAGGAAGAAGTTGATGCTGTCTTTGTAAACGCCATTTTGACAGCTATTCAACAACGGAATTTGGAGGTAACGCCACAAAATTTTTTTTTTTTTTTTTTTTGTAATCCTTCTGTTTAAGCTAATGTTGTGTATTTGCATTTGACTCTTAAGCGAATATGGGCAAAACCTGTCTTAGACCGTGTGGGCCTTATAATTGAAATATTTAATGCTCATGCGCATACGAAGGAAGCAAAACTACAGGTACTGACACTGTGACAATACAGATTCGGCTTTTATATGCTAGGAACGTTTATTAATAGCTGTTTGGTTCATCCATTCAACAGGCAGAGTTAGCAGCTCTGATGTACAACAAGAGCAGGCTGGTTCGAGTGCGTGGTACTGATGGACGCCATACTTTTGGGCAGTTTGGAGAAGCTGAAGTTGTCAGTGCCCGAGGGTGAGTGATTTATCTTTACTACTTTGTGTTTTCTCTTTACTCTTTTGATTTTTGAGACAATGATGAAACTGTTGTTAAATTGTTGTGCAGGAGAGCAGGAAGCAAGGGAACCGGCGGCGGTTTTGTAGGTGGTGCAGGAGAAACTGAGCTTCAGCTTCAACGCCGAAGGTCATAACCTTACCAAAGCTTTTCTCAGACCACATTTATATATTCTGTTTCTAAGTGTTGGTTAACCGAAAAACTTGGTGCAGGGCTCTCTTTTCTAATATTTAATCTATGCGTTAAACAAAATCTTGATGTACCAGAATATCAGACCGGAGGCTTCGCTTGTTATCCCAAATTAAAGAAGCCCAGCGAACACGGCTATTGCAGCGTGCTGGACGTAAGAAAAGAGTGGGATTAGAGGGGGAGAGTTCAGGTACCATTGCTGTTGTTGGTTACACAAATGCTGTAAGTGTTTGAATTTTGCTCCAAGGAGTTTCAGCTAGAAACCAACTGTTTTTAGTATACTTTCTGATTATTAATTATCTGCTTTTGGTAGGGAAAATCGACTCTGATAAGTGCATTAACAAAGACTGCTCTCTACTGCAATGAGCGGTATAATTCAAATGTTTTAAAAACTATCTTAAACTGTCAAATTTGAAACTGAAGTCATAACTTTTGAATGCTTGGTCTGGCCTCTGCAGATTGTTTGCCACATTAGATCCTACACTCAAGAGTGCCCATCTTCCTTCTGGGTAAGTTGATTTGTACGTTGAGAATCATGTTTATAACTTTATGGTACACATGAACTTGTATTGAATCGCAAGAGTTGATTTCTTTTCAGAAAGTTTGTGCTTCTTAGTGACACTGTTGGATTCATATCAGATCTGCCTATACAGGTAATATATACTTACTTTAATTCCATTTATCTTTTTTTTCAAGTGATATTTTACTTACTTTTCTTTTCTTGGCTCATGCCTTTTTGCAGCTGGTGAAAGCATTTCAATCGACTCTGGAAGAAGTTGTTGAAGCTGATATACTTCTGGTAAGAGCTAAATAAAAAGAAAAAAAAATCAGATTCCTGAGTTACATTTAGGAGTGAAAACTGCAGAAAGACTTGGCATTGATGTGATTGGTTCCCTGCAGCATGTAGTTGATTCAACAGCTCCAAATATCGAGGAGCATCGTTCAACAGTGTTTCATATCCTTAATCAAATTGGAGTATCTGAAGAGAAGCTTCAAAATATGATTGAAGTCTGGAATAAGGTAGGATTGAAATATAAACTATCTATACAAGTAGAAGAAGCAACCACCTTCTTTCACACTGGGAATTTTGTTGTAGATTGATTATGAAGAAGAAGAAGAAGTGGAGGACGCGAAATATCTAGATGATGGCGAAGGAGAAGAAGAAGAAGCTGATTTAAAAGCTGAAGAAACTGTTGATGCATCTATAGCAGCAGTTAATGAATACCAAATCCAAAACCAAGACAATGACTCTGATGGGTGGCTATTGTCTGAAGATGAAAATGCTGACGACTCTGAGCTCTGGAAGGTTCCGGAGGTTGCTAAACTAGATGCTGCACAGAAGAAAGGCCCAGATGTTAGAGTTTCTGCATTAACCGGAGTTGGTTTGAAGGAGTTGCTGTATCTTATTGATGACAAAATGAAAGTTGAAGAAGAGAAGAAGCTCAAGTCTCAGACAATAGTCGAAAGGAGTGAGCTTCATAAGCGTAAATGGCGACCACCTCGTGACGATGATGATGAAGAGGTGAGATTAGTCCCGTTAGATCAACGGTGATAATATAAGAAGAAACGAAACAATAGTTTTTTTTGTTACTGTACCACGGAACCAAAGAAACGCATGTCGTTTTAAAAACTCGTAATGTATAATAACGGCAAGAAGTTTGTTGATGTCTTTGATTAATAAATGGACTTAAAACGCCGTCGTTTTCGTAACAGCGCGTCAGAGACTCATAGCCATACGCGCTTTGACGAGGCAGGTATAAATACGTAGATAGCGATATTGAAGTGAATATTACACTTCGAAGCTTCTTCTTCATTTTAAGTAAATTCAAGTGGAGGTGTTATTCATAAAGTGCTCATTTTCTCGGATCTCAGATCTTAGATCCAAACCCTCTTCGTTTCATTGATCCAAGGTAGATTTGATTTCTTCCTTCTTCTTCTTCCTCTTCTCGATTTGGGTTTCGTTCGTCTCCCGTAAATTTCTTTATTTGCGAGCTGTTTCATGGATCTATATGTAATTTGATTTGTTTCTGGTGAAATTCACTATTAATGGAGAACGAAACTCAGCTAATTTGTTGTGGGATCTGATTGATTTTAAGGTTATGTGTTTGTTTCGTTGATGGGTAATGTTGGATCTGTGAATTGGAGAATTAGCTTAGTTTTTTTTCGATTTTCTGTCTTTGGTTTGCTTGAGAGTGGTGTTTTATTCCACGTTGATTTGTTTTATAATGAAAGAGCTTTAGCGTTGTGCTTTGTGTTATATGAATGTTAAGTCTTAAAAAGGATATAAAGTAATTCAATTTAGTGGTTTTTTGTTGTTGCTTTTGTAGATCTAATAGCTTGAGCTTGTGGGGATTTTAGTTATGGCGAGACGGCAAGTAGGTTCAACGAGACGTGTAGGAGATGGTGGAAGCTTCCCGTTTGCAGGAGCTTTGCATTCAAAGTCTCGATCTTCTCCACTACTCTCTATTTGCCTTGTTCTTGTGGTATGGTTTGTGTACTTTATTGTGTTTTTTTAAGTGATACGATTCCTGGGAGATGAATGTTATGGTTCTAACTATTAGTCTATTTTTGTTTTTAATTTCTAGGGGGCTTGCCTTCTCATTGGTTATGCTTACAGTGGTCCTGGTATGTATATTATAGCTCTTTTTGCATCATGTATAGCTCTAGTAGCAAATTTTCTCATCGCCTTCATTTTTTCTCGAATACAGGAATCTTTAAAAGTATTAAAGAAGTCAGCAAAGTTACAGGTAATCCTTGTTTCTCATTGTTCAGTTCATGTGCTTAAGTTAATGCCTTAATCCACATTGACATTGAGCCATTTTATCAGCAGTTTAACCCGTTCAAATGCTTGACACTCGGGTTTGACATTTGTTGTGCAATTTGTTATGGATTCTCAGGTGACTATTCTTGCACAGCAGAAGTCCAAAGAGCCATTCCTGTTCTTAAGAAGGCTTATGGAGATGGCATGCGCAAAGTCTTGCATGTGGGCCCTGACACATGCTCAGTGGTTTCCAGTCTACTGAAAGAAGAAGAGACTGAAGCATGGGGTGTTGAACCATATGACATCGAGGATGCAGATTCTCACTGCAAGAGTTTTGTGAGCAAAGGCCTTGTACGTGTGGCTGATATCAAGTTCCCTCTGCCCTACCGGGCAAAATCTTTCTCTCTTGTGATTGTGTCAGATGCTCTGGATTATCTCTCACCCAAGTACCTGAACAAGACTGTGCCTGAACTCGCAAGGGTGGCTTCAGACGGTGTTGTTCTTTTTGCAGGTGAACTATCATAAAACTTGAGAAAAGGGGTTGGTAATAGATGTCTTTCAAATTTTGGTTTCTAACTCTTTAAGTTCTACTGTTCTAGGTCTCCCTGGTCAGCAGAGAGCTAAAGTTGCTGAACTGTCTAAATTTGGCCGACCCGTAAGTTAACTATATACCATTTTCCTGATGATTACATCTGAATCCACCTTTCCTCATTAGTATTTAATGGCATTAGCTTAGTGTATGTAGTTAGGCATTAGCATCTCTTCATGATTCAAACACTGTTTAAATGACAGTTACCAATCTTTGACAAAGTTCTTCAAGACAGAGACTACAAGTACAAGACTTAATACTCGCACTCTTATTTTTGTTGACAGGCTAAAATGCGTAGCGCATCGTGGTGGAACCGCTTTTTCGTCCAGACAAACTTAGAAGAAAACGAAGCACCAAGCAAGAAGTTCGATCAGGCTGTTTCCAAAGGATTATACAAACCAGCCTGCCAAGTCTTCCACCTTAAGCCATTACATTAACCAGCCACCACCAAGCCTATTGGGTCCACACCAAAGCATATTTACACGTAGAGCCGCACGCAAAAAAAAAGAAAAAAAGAATAGCGTAATCGATATTCTCCTTGTATTTTGTAACAGGTCAGTTTTTATCCTTCAATGTTGTATCCGTCAACACAATTTTTCCTATTCAATTAAATCATAATTATTATCACCAATAATCCCCACATGAACACTTGCCATCTTTGAAGCAATGAAACCGAAGGTTATCTCTTACAATGATCTCTCTACCTGCAACTGCAGACATAAACTTGATAGCATTGTGACAATCCCCACAAATCCTCAAATTCTTCACTACAACTATTTCTTCTCCATCTCTTGTCGACATCAATCCAAAGGCCACCGCTAGCTTCTCGCTATGATGTCCTAACCGCATCTCTTCTTCTCCTTCGCCTGCTTCATCCTCTTTTACCATTGCCCATTTCTTATCCATCACATACCCAGCTTTCTTCATCTTCTTCATCATCTCCTCTAGATATTCATTCACTTCCCGTATCATCGGATGAGACCAATCTTCTGCGACGAATACATGCTTTTTCTTCTTCACTTCGATCCAACTACATCCCGGTTTCTTCCTTATCCTTTTCCCCCTCATTGATTTCCTCACCGAGGCCATCTCTTCCCATTTCCCTGCATCTGCATACATGTTTGCTAGCATCACATACGGCGTGGCAGCTAAGGGTTGCATCACCATAAGCTCATTAGCTGCTCTCTCTGCAAGAGCCATATTTTTGTGTTTCCTACAAGCCCCGAGCAACGCAGCCCAAGCAACAGAGCCTGGCTTACAAGGCATTGCATCTATGAATCTCTCTGCCTCTTCTAGCTTCCCTGCTCGGCCTAAAAGATCAATCATACAAGAATAGTGCTCAGCCTCTGGTTCGATCTTGAATGCCTCCTTCATAGTGTTGAAGTACTTCTGACCCTCGTCGACCTTACCACAGTGTGCACAAGCAGAAAGAACGGCTACAAAGGTTATATTGTTTGGCGCAATACCCGAGTCCAGCATCCGTTGGTATAAACGCAAAGCTTCTGTTCCATGCCCGTGCTGCGCATAACCTTTAATCATACAATTGAAAGATACAGCATTAAGCTCCGGCATTCGATCAAATACCCGCCTTGCGTCTTGCAGGTTTCCGCTTTTGTAATACAACGAAATCAATGCGTTGTTCACAGAGATTCTATTCGAAGGGATGTGAGATTTGATCGCCAAGCCATGAATCTGCTTGCCCTGAGAAGGAGAGGAGAGATTCGAGCAAGCGCTTGTGACACAGACAAAACTGCAATCATCAGGTCTGTGTCCAATACGTTGCATCTGTCTAAAACTCTTCACAGCTTCTTCGGAGAGTTCCTCGTTCATTGAATATCCAGAAATCATCGTATTCCAAATAACCAAATCCGGCGATAGAATCTCTTGAAACACCTTCTCACTATCAGACATACCACCACGACCCCCACATTTTGAATAAAAATCAATCAAACCACTTCCCACATGTGAATTCTGGTGAAATCCAGCCTTGATCAGCTTACCGTGGAACTGACGGCCACCAATCAAATGATCCAAGCTAGTGAGAGCATTTAAAACACTTGCCAATGTAAACATATCAATCTTAAATCCTTTAAAAATCATTTCTTTATACAAAGCTAAAGCCTTAGCTCCTTCCTTATGCTGCCCATAAGCCACAATCATCGAATTCCACGAAACTTCATCTCTTAATCCATCCATCCCATAGAACACCGATACCGCCTCTCTCAAAAGCCCGCCCTTACTGTAATACGTAACGAACGCATTATTCACAGACGAGTACGAATCAAACCCTCCCGAGACAGCGAAACAATGAAGCTGCTTTATCAAATCGACACGGTCACAACAAGCTGCTATCAACCCTGATAACGTAAACCCATCAACCTCAAATCCCAATTCTCTCATTCTCTTAAACAGAACCATCGCGGCAAAAGTTTCTCTAGCATCAGCGTACCCGGAGATGAGAGTATTGTAAGAAACAGTGTCTGGTTGCGGAATTTCGTCGAACAACTGACGTGCAATATGGATTTTCGAATCTTTCGCATAAGCTTTGACAATTACATTGTAAGAGAAGACATTGGGTTCTTCCGTGGAGTCAAACGCGGCTCGTGCGTAGGAAAGACAACCACACTTGGAGTAAAGGTTCACGAAGTGGTTTGAGAGATAAGTAGAAGAAGCTACAATGGACTTCACGTAGAGCGCGTGAAGTGATTTCCCAGTGACGAGATCTCTCTCCGCTACAGATTTCAGTAGAAGGTCTCGAAAAGATTTGAACTTCCATGGCGTCTGGTTCATCTAATAGTGGCAAGTCAGTCTCAGAGATGGTATTTAATCACTCTGTTTCTCGCATTTGCAGGTTCTGTTTTCAGAAGAAGACAGCTGAACCAAGTTTAGTTTTCGATGATTAATTTGGGCTTTGTCTCTGTCAAAGGCCCATATCTTATTTACATTAGTTTGGGCTTAGTCTCTATTAAAGGCCCATATATTATGAGCTCATTTACTTTCTCTAGAGCAAATGGAAGATAATTTAGTTATTTGACGAACAACGACCCTTGAAAATGTGGAACATCCAACGGCTATGCATAGTGGTTGTCAAGATCTTACACCTAAGTTTCTTGTTATGTTTTATAGTTTGATTAGAGCATGATTATCAAGGGTGTCTTAAAAATGGCTCTTAAGAATATTAAAGTAATAAATTTAAAAATGGCTCTTAAAAATGGTTCTTAAGTGTGTATTTGTTTCTTAGGTAAGCAACTCACCTTAGCTTTAAAGCTTATTTGAGAATTATTTTAATCATTTAATTGCTAAGATCATTTTAAGAAAATCTTAAGATCCTCTTGTTAATCATGGTCTTAATAGTCTATAATTATATGTGTTGAGAAAATTCCTTTTCTGATGAGATATTCTGTCGGTAACTATGGTTTACGTTTATTCAGCTTATCTTATTATTTAAGGTAGCCAATTTTCAAAATATCCTCCAACTCGATCTATTTTCTTGTTGATATCTTTTTCCAACAATTAATTTAGATTCATTTATCAAAATAAAATTCAATTAATTTAAACACGGATCTTATTCCAAAAAAAAAAAAATACAAATACAGATAATCACATTTAATCGATATTCTACTTGTATTTTGTAACAGGTCAGTTTTTATCCTTCAATGTTGTATCCGTCAACACAATTTTTCCTATTCAACTAAATCATAATTATTAATTATTATCACCAATAATCCCCACATGAACACTTGCCATCTTTGAAGCAGTGAAACCGAAAGTTATCTCTTACAATGATCTCTCTACCTGCAACTGCAGACATAAACTTGATAGCATTGTGACAGTCCCCACATATCCTCAAATTCTTCATTACAACTAATTCTTCTCCATCTCTTGTCGACATTAACCCAAAAGCCACCGCTAGCCTCTCGCTGTGATGCCCTAACCGCATCTCTTCTTCTCCTTCGCCTGCTTCATCCTCTTTTACCATTGCCCATTTCTTATCCATCACATACCCAGCTTTCTTCATCTTCTTCATCATCTCCTCTAGATATTCATTCACTTCCCGTATCATCGGATGAGACCGATCTTCTGCGAGGAATACATGCATTGTCTTCTTCACTTCGATCCAACTACATCCCGGTTTCTTCCTTATCCCTTTCCCCCTCATTGATTTCTTCACCGAGGCATGATCTTCCCATTTCCCTGCATCTGCATACATGTTTGCTAGCGTCACATACGGCGCGGAAGCTAATGGTTCCAATTCCATCACCATAAGCTCATTAGCTGCTCTCTCTGCAAGTGCCATGTTTTTGTGTTTACTACAAGCCCCGAGCAACGCAGCCCAAGCATGAGAGCTTGGCTTACAAGGCATTGCATCTATGAATCTCTCTGCCTCTTCTAGCTTCCCTGCTCGGCCTAAAAGATCAATCATACAAGTATAGTGCTTAGCCTCTGGCTCGATCTTGAATGTCTCCTTCATGGTGTTGAAGTACGTCTGACCCTCGTCGACCTTACCACAGTGTGCACAAGCAGAAAGAACGGCTATAAAGGTTATATTGTTAGGCGCAATACCCGAGTCCAGCATCCGTTGGTATAAAAGCAAAGCTTCTGTTCCATGCCCGTGCTGCGCATAACCTTTAATCATACAACTGAAAGATACTGCATCAAGTTCCGGCATTCTATCAAATACCCGCCTTGCGTCTTGCAGGTTTCCGCTTTTGTAATACAACGAAATCAATGCGCTGTTCACAAAGATTCTATTCGAAGGGATGTGAGATTTGATCACCAAGCCATGAATCTGCTTGCCCTGAGAAGGAGAGGAGAGATTCGAGCAAGCGCGTGTGACACTGGCAAAACTGCAATGGTCAGGTCTGTGTCCAATACGTAGCATCTGTCTAAAACTCTTCACAGCTTCTTCAGAGAGTTCCTCGTTCATTGAATATCCAGTAATCATCTTATTCCAAAGAACCAAGTCCGGCGATAGAATCTCTTGAAACACCTTCTCACTATCAGACATACCATCACGACCCCCACATTTTGAGTAAAAATCAATCAAACCACTTCCCACATGTGAATTCTGGTGAAATCCAGCCTTTATAAGCTTACCGTGGAACTGACGGCCACCGATCAAATGATTCAACCTCGTGAGAGCATGTAAAACACCTGCCAATGTATACGTATCGATCTTGAATCCTTTAAAGATCATTTCTTTATACAAAACTAAGGCCTTTGCTCCTTCCTTATGCTGCCCGTAAGACAGAATCATCGAATTCCACGAAACTTCATCTCTTAATCCATCCATCCCATAGAACACCGATACCGCCTCTCTCAAAAGCCCGCCTTTACTATAATACGTAACAAATGCGTTATTCACAAACGAGTACGAATCAAACCCTCCCGAGAGAGCGAAACAATGAAGCTGCTTTATCAAATCGACACGGTCACAACAAGCTGCTATCAACCCTGATAACGTAAACCCATCAACCTCAAATCCCAATTCTCTCATTCTCTTAAACAGAACCATCGCGGCAACAGTTTCTCTGGCAACAGCGTACCCGGAGATGAGAGTATTGTAAGAAACAGTGTCTGGTTGCGGAATTTCGTCGAACAACTGACGTGCAATATGGATTTTCGAATCTTTCAAATAACCTTTGATAATTGCATTGTAAGAGAAGACATTGGGTTCTTCCGTGGAGTCGAAAGCGGCTCGTGCGTAGGAAAGACAACCACACTTGGAGTAGAGACTCACGAACTGGGTTGAGAGATAAGTAGAAGAAGCTACAATGGACTTCACGTAGAGCGCGTGAAGTGATTTCCCAGTGAAGAGATCTCTCTCCCCTACAGATTTCAGTAGAAGGTATCGAAACATATGAATTTCCATTGCGTCTGGTTCATCTAATAGTGGCAAGTGAATCTCAGAGATTGTATGTAATCAACCACTCTGTTTCTCGCATTTGCAGGTTCTGTTTTCAGAAGAAGACAGCTGAACCAAGTTTTGTTGAAGAAGTACATGTTGTCTCAGAGATTGTGACTTAACCACTTCCCACATGTGAATTCTGCTGAACCAAGTCACAAGTTTTAGTTTCGTCTGTTATTTTTCAATGATTATTTTGGGCTTAGTCTCTGTCAAAGGCCCATAGCTTATTTACATTAGTTTGGGCTTAGTCTCTGTTAAAGGCTCATATATTATGAGCTCATTTACTTTATCTAGATCAAATGGAAGATAAGAGAAGAACATCCATTTAGATTTCTAGATTATTAGACGATTAGATAATTTAGTTGGGGATTTGTCTTTAGTCAAGTGGTTAAGTCCATTTGATTATTCCTTCTTCACCGGAGTTCGACTGCACTAAGTCGCGTTACCCCGCGTAGTAGAGATTGGCTATGGATCGGACCTTGTCGATCTAAAGACGTCAAAAAAAGAAGAAGATAATTTAGTTATTTGACGAGGTTCTAAAGACGAACAAAGACCCCTGAAAATCTGGAACATCCAACGGCTATACATAGTGGTTTTCAAGATCTTACACCTGATTTTCTTGTTATGAATTTTATAGTTTGATTAATAGTCTATAATTATATGTGTTGAGCAAGTTCCTTTTCTAATGATATCTTCTGTTAGTAACTATGGTTTACGTTTTATTCGGCTTATCTTATTATTGAAGGTAACAAAATTTCAAACGATCCAACTCGATCGATCTTGTTGATATCTTTTTCCTAAGAAAATAATATTCAATTAATTTAGATACGGATTTTATCTCCCAGAAAAAAAAAGAGAAAAAGATACAAATACAAATAATCACATTGTATATTTAATTTGTGAGTACAGACAGATTCATATTCTAAAACTTAACATTCATATGTTGACTTTGTCATAATTCATGTATTTTTTACACATTAACCAATAAATTTTAGTGAGTAAAATCAAAGCTTTTGTCTCATGTCCCCGGCCATCATTTTACAAAAATTGGTTTGATCTATTGGTATAACAAAACTATGTTATTCACATCATTTTGTTAAAAAAATTTGTTTGTCACATTTTTTTCCCGAATCAAAATCCTAATTTTAAATTTTTTGGTTAAAATGTTATATTTATTGAAATTATAATAGTTATAAACAAAATTATATGAAAATGTTTCATTTATAAAACTCGATTTTAAGCCTCTATATCTCAGATCACTCCCGCAATACAAGGTGAAAGCCCCAACCCACAATCATGACATTCTATCTAAAAATAGATTTGGTCGCTAATTCATTGTCATGTATGGGCGATGACAGAAAACGCTTTTTATGGACAAAATATTTTTATCTGACTACCATTATTTCAAGCTTTCTATTCTACTTCACTTATCTCTCATGTGCTTGTGTAATATAGTGAGGGTTAAATTGTATGTCTTTAATATTTATTCTACTTCCTCTTAAATTTTGTAACGTGTTAAGTCTAATTCTTAAGCCAATTTCACACATAGTACCTCAAAAATTGAAATCATTGTTATTTCTTTTTTCAACTTAACCTTATATGGAGATAGGATTACCGATACATTTAGATTCGTAGTAATGTATAAGGTTACATGATAACTGATAAATTATTAATTAGCTACGTCGAGTAAGAAACGGAAGTTGTCTCTCTCTCTCTCTCATACACAATTAAACTAACTTGTCCAAAAGGAAAAATAAAAATGTATATATTACCTCCCACATACCTCAAACAACTACATTCCATGTCTCACTCTTTATTCAGTCTTCACCAACTAACTAAACCCTAATTCAACATATCTCCCTCACAACCGTTCTCTTGTTCTTCATTAAACCAAACATTCTTTTTCTTTTTTTTTATAAAAAAAAAATGAAACAACTGTCGACAAAAGTGACAAGCAATGCTCATGGACAAGACTCTTCCTACTTCTTGGGATGGGAAGAATACGAGAAGAACCCTTACAACGAAATCAAGAACCCTAATGGGATTATTCAAATGGGTCTTGCCGAAAATCAGGTAACAATAACTTCGAGTTTTCGACATATCGACAAATCTTTATTACATTTTTGGTACTTAATTAATATGATATATACTCTTTATACTGTATGCAGCTATGTTTTGATCTCATAGAGACATGGTTAGCTAAGAATCCGGACGCAGCCGGACTCAAGAAAGACGGCCAATCCATTTTCAAAGAGCTTGCTCTCTTCCAAGACTATCATGGCCTACCTGAATTCAAGAAAGTAAGTATTTAAAAGTTTCTCCTTTACATTTCAAAAAAATAATTAACTCAAGACGCTAGTAACTTAATAAGGTTATCTGCCTATAGGCTTTGGCAGAGTTTATGGAGGAAATAAGAGGAAATAGAGTAACATTTGATCCCAGCAAGATTGTCCTAGCTGCTGGTTCAACCTCTGCCAACGAAACTCTCATGTTTTGTCTCGCCGAACCCGGGGATGCTTTCCTTTTACCAACTCCTTACTACCCAGGGTAATTTCTATATCCTAATTTCTTTGGTTTTATAACTACTTTACTTGTCTCACAAGAAACCTGATCTAGCAGTATTTGATTCGCTTGTGTACAGATTCGATAGAGATTTGAAATGGAGAACGGGAGCAGAGATCGTACCTATTCATTGCTCAAGCTCTAATGGGTTCCAAATAACAGAGTCAGCTCTTCAACAAGCTTATCAGCAAGCTCAAAAGCTTGATCTTAAGGTCAAAGGAGTTCTTGTTACCAACCCGTCTAACCCTCTTGGCACAATGTTGACCAGAAGAGAACTTAACCTTCTCGTTGACTTCATTTCTTCCAAAAACATTCATCTCATAAGCGACGAGATCTATTCAGGTACTGTTTTTGGGTTTGAACAGTTTGTTAGTGTCATGGATGTCTTAAAAGACAAGAACCTTGAGAACAGCGAAGTCTCCAAGCGGGTTCACGTTGTTTATAGTCTTTCCAAAGATCTCGGTTTACCGGGTTTTCGCGTTGGAGCAATATATTCCAACGACGAAATGGTTGTTTCCGCTGCCACAAAAATGTCAAGTTTCGGCCTCGTGTCTTCTCAAACACAGTACCTTCTCTCTGCATTGCTTTCCGACAAGAAGTTCACAAGTACATACCTCAACGAAAACCAGAAAAGACTCAAGATTCGTCAGAAGCAACTCGTGTCCGGTCTAGAAGCTGCAGGGGTTACTTGTCTTAAAAGCAACGCGGGTTTGTTCTGTTGGGTTGACATGAGACATCTCTTGGACACAAACACATTCGAAGCAGAGCTTGAGCTATGGAAGAAGATTGTATATGAAGTCAAGCTGAATATTTCACCCGGTTCATCGTGCCATTGTACTGAACCGGGTTGGTTTAGGGTTTGTTTCGCCAACATGAGTGAAGATACGCTTGATTTGGCGATGAAGAGGCTCAAAGAGTACGTAGAGTCAACAGATAGTAGAAGAGTGATTTCAAAAAGCAGTCATGAAAGGATCAAGAGTTTGAGGAAGAGAACTGTCTCTAACTGGGTTTTCCGGGTTTCATGGACCGACCGTGTACCTGATGAACGATGAAAATAAATTCATCGTCCCAAGTTAAGACAAAGCAAATCTTTCTACCAATTAATTTGTTTTTAAATATATATATATATATATAATTCGTTTTTTAATATTTGGGAAAATGTATATTACATTTTCTTAAATATTTATATTACTAAATATTCTTTTTTTTTTTTTTTGGTTTTAATATCACTATATTTTATTTATTTCTTTATATATTTGTTTCGCTGAGAATTTGTAGCCAATTTTTTTTTTTTTTTGGATATAAGTGTCACTGTCATTAAGTGCACTCAATCCAAATTTGGATTTGTAATGGCTATAATTTATCTATCTCCTGTAATGTGAATGAATGCTGCGTGTATATCCATGAATATGTATAATCAGGGGCGGATCTAGGTATGGTAAGTAGGGGGCAGTTGCCCCCATCAATTTTCTAATTTTCCTTATAAATTTCTAAGAATTTAATGTATTGTCCTCCTTAAAAATATGATTTCTGCCCCCATTAAGAGAATCACTTCCCAAAACTGAAAGTTATTTGTCATTTTGTTTCCTTTTTCTCTCTCGTAATAGTACAATCAGTTTTCATTCAACATAATTTGTAAGTTTTCCTTTTCTAAATTAATTTAGGTAGATAAAAAATTATTATATTATTTAGCAATATATGTATATAAATTTTTTTGCCACCGGTAAAATAAACCGCTAGATCTGCCACTGTGTATAATATATGTCCATTTATATATATATATATATATATATATATATATAATATTATATCTATAATGTATTTCATAAAGTTTGATGATCTTTCGCAGTATACAAATATAATTAATTAGCCATGTATATACACATTCAACGTTTAGTAAATTACTTAAGTTGGTGTATATTTCACGTAGGTATACGTGTAATAATATCCGGTTTTTATACATCCTCGTTTGACTTCAATTATCGTTAACTGTAACTAATTACTAAATTAAATTGCAATGCCGGTTAGTCAACGGAGAAAACCAATGGAACACACATAGTCAAAGACAAAGTCACTCAAAGATTAAAATATTAAAATTACTATTTAAATTATAGTCTTTGGTCAATTAATTATTACTTAATTGAGCAAAATATTTAAGAAAATAATTCTTTAAAAAAATAAGTAAACCGGGTTCAATTACAAACGATCACATGAAAACTACTTTCGATTTGTTTATATATTGAATTAGAGGGTTTAGTCCATAACGAACCACCTAAATAAGATTTTTGTTTACGACAACGACAACTATCCATTTTTTAATATAAATTACATGTTATACAATGGAAAAAATTACATGTTATATTTTTTTTTGTTAAAGTACATGATATATTACATCAAGAGCAATATGATATATGAAAACATTTCATATCAGTCAATATTTTTTTTTATTTCAGGTTGAGGAAATGACTATTAGGCCTAATGAGTAATGACTATATATAGTGGTCATCATTTGGATTTTAGAAAGAGAAACTAATTTGAGGAAAAAAAAGAAAGAGAAACTAATTTCTCACTAATTAATAGCTATATATTCCTTTTGTCAACTTCTCATTAATAGTAATTCATGAATCTAAAACATGTTATGAATCGTAATATTATTCAAATTGTAGACGATCATTATCAATTTATCGTATACCGGTCAAAGATTATGATGCTTTATGTAGACATGATATAATTAATATCTTCAAAATATATATTATTCCAAAAATTCCATGTGCTTTTGTAACCTTTGTTGGTACTACTACGAACGAATTATTTATCGAATTCATACTACGCAGATTTAATTAACAACATATCCAAATATGACGATTTTGTTCCCTGTCTTGTATGAAACGCGGAGAAATCGGCCGTGACGACAAATGATCATTACATGTGAGGAGCATTATACTGGTCGTTGGGTTGTATAACATATTAGGAATTTTCCAGCTAAAGAAATACTAATTTAGATACGTAAAATTGATTTTGAGAATTTTGGTTGATATTCATATGAGTTGAGAATTTTATGTTCAATGCTGTTATTAATTGCATACGACCCAACCAGAATTTGTCCTCTGTATTATCGACCTTATATTACTAAATTTTGAGATTTGTGAGGTGGTCTCGATATGATTTAGATCACAAATATCTATAACAAGAAGCAAACTGGTCGGTTGGTTTTATAACGATAGATCGAAATCGTAGATTCATTTATTTTTATTAGGGAATTATGTCTCGTCATTGTTTGACATATTTGTCCAAGATAAAATAAATTCTCGTCAATATGTTCAATATAAAACTTAATTTTGAATTTTTTTTTCTTAAAAAAAAACTGATTAACATGTAAAATTTGAACAAAGAATGCAGTCACATGGTTGACAAAAAAAAATAGGGTCACATGGGTTTCATGAGCTTAGGCCACAACTTGCACATGCCATGAACGTACAATAGAAAATAATTATACTTATAATCTATGCATTCATATTAATGCAAGTAACTTCCAAAATAACACGACTCGAGAACCCCTTTCAAGTTTCAATACTCCTCTTCATATACGCATGATGGGCCATAAACAAATAAAGTTGGGCCATAAAAGCCTTGTATTTTCGTAATCAGTTTTCGATTAATAATTTAAAAACGGACACATATATATTGGGACTAAAACTGGTGGGGGCTAAAGGGAAAAAGAATTTGGAGGCCTTACAAAATGAACCCGAAAAAAACATACTAAACCAGATCTTAGAGCTCTCTATCTATGCTAAGGTAAAGAACATGGCAAATCAAGAATACATAATATAGAGAGAGTGAACCAACTGTGAAGTTTCCATGGAACCAACCAAGTATATATGTAGTATACGATTACGAAATAGGATTACTCTTCTCCAAAACTCTGGCAATTGGAAATATGCAGACCTTCTCATATTCTTTAGTTTTCTACTCGAAATTAAGATTGTAAGATGATGAAAGTTCAAACTTTTCCTTTGAAACTGATGCATTTGTAACAAAGATTTTTTTTTATGAATAAATTTTACATTTTAAAAAAAAAGAAAAAAAAAAGCATGTAATATACGACACATGCATATTTAATAAAATTCAGTTCTGTATACCATATGACAAGAAATCGTCAAACACCAAAAAATTCGATTATTCCGTTTCCACATTCCTTTTAACTAAAATAAAATTCCGTTCCCACAAATAAAAAAAGTGCCAATATCTTCTGTTAGAAACAGATTTCTTCTATTTCTTTTTGACGTCCAAATTTCCTTTTTTTAAGACAAGGACATTTTTCTAAAGAAAAACTTTGGAAACAGAATTAACGTTCTTCTAGTGAGTGTCGACATCGGCTGGATTATTGAATCAAAATTAACTATATGTGTAAGAAGTCCTTTTGATTATGTTTATTTGACAAAGTCGTTTAATTGTATGTAAGCAAAAATTAAAATTCATTTTTATTTGTCATGGAGCTATATGTCGCCGAGCCAATCAATGTTTTATATGGCTTTGTTTATATAAGGTCGAGGGGTTTTGACAGAATGTATAATTAGTTATCTATTACTAAAGATTATTTTATGTAATCCACTTAGTTTTATACTAATAGTTTTCGTTCCTATATTCTTGATTTTTTGTTTCTTGATTTCTTCTTCTCCGTTATTATTCTCTTTTCCTTCTTTACTGCTTTATAGCTTGACCCAATTATACGAAGATAACGATATATTATATAAAAGATTCAGCCATTTATGAATAAGATGAATAATCAAATTATAAACTATAAAATTAAAATAAGATGTAAATGTTTGTTAATTTTCTTTTGGTGTGTATAAATAAACCAGTTCATTTTATCATTTAGACTTTTAAATGTTATAAAATACTGTTGTCTTTTGGCTGTCATAATTAAAGAACTAGAGACGCAACCCATCAATTTTTTCGATATTTTCTTACTTATTAAGAAGCTTTTAACAGTAAAATATATTCTCTCGGATCACATAATCGTCTAGAAAGGGAGACTCGAAAACTTTAGTGGTTTGGTTGGTTTTGCTACTATACATATAGATTATTGTTAATCTCATATATAATATAGGATCACAAATTATTAAAAAACAAAAAATTCTCACTTCTTTTTTGTTTATTATAACTTCAAATTTCCAACAAAGAGAAACAACCAGCTTGAGAAAAACAGTAACCAAAGTGAAGAAGATAAAGAAAGATCTCTCTTCTTTAATGTATGTTTTAGTAGTTTAATTTTAAAAGATTACTTGTATTTTAGATTCATTTGACATGCAAATGATCATATACAGTATAATTTCATGTATTTTACGTAGCTATAGCTTTTGCAAATGTGGAAATTTATATAACAATAAACTTTCTAATTATTATGACATTTATGTTTTACACTTTGAAAAATAATTTAGTTTTTTGGTAGGTAAATGCAGAAAAATGGTTCAAAGAATATATTATGTGAATATGTCGCATGCCAATGACACGTTCTACAATCCACTGAATCACTAATGCAAGTGGCCTACGTGCATGATTTTCATCACTAGGTCCCTTTTTTCCTAAATCACGATTAATAATATATTAACTGATTACATAAAATACTGAGATACTTACATTCTGATAAGAACTTTCCACGCGTCTTAAACTTAAGGACTTCATTGGAAGACATATATTGAAATTTTGATAATGAAGTGTACTTTGAAACTTTCAACGACATTCATATACATGTAAAAAATATACTAGATTGTTGATAATTTAATGTATCCAATATTGTTTTTGGCAGTATGTAATGCAACAATTAGATTCTTAATTGTGGATAAAACGATATGATATTTACTAAGTATTTAGTGAATATATGGTGCATGATTTACAAATATAAAATTAAAGGCGAATAAATAATTATGTTTGTCATTTTGCTGTTTGAAGAGAATGACTGAAACATTCAAATGACTTGTCTTTCAGAGACTAATTTTGTAATACGTACTCTTTTTTTTTTTTTTTGATAAAATTGATGCATTTGTTTTTGTAATATTCTTTGTAAGCGTCATTTATATATCATTTAATTTGTCCTATACAAGTGAATACTTATGAAGATCAAACATAATAATATCTTTTTTTTATTGAACCGTGAAGTCTAGTCTACTTGTAGCCTTCTAGCTAGGACTGAATGGATTATTTGATCAACAAAAGATTTTGAAGCGAGAGTTTTAATACATATATTTCAAGCGACAGTGTCACTTTAGGACTTTCTCAATTTGATTTGATTTTTGAATAGGCAACGAATGTGCCAAACTCGTAAGGGAAAGGAGAATTTTCGTATGACATCATCATTTGATTCTGTGAGGAAATAAGAAACAGACTAGTGACTTGCTAGGAATAGAGAGGTCATGTCTTTGAGAAGTTCAGAGGTACACACATTCATTTATTTGGTAATCAAAACTTTTCTTCGGTCAAATGGTTAGGTATTCTTATATCCTTATAAATCCATCTATGTTAATTCTTATTATTATTAACATCAATTAATGGTTTCCAGCTAAATGCTTTGCACAATCCGACATCCAGGTAATAACCCTAACGAATTCTAATTAAACACAAATTATTCGAAAAAGTAGGATGAACCTACAATCCATAAAATCCAACCACATAAATATGGATCCGACCATATATAAATATATAATCAGTACATATGCCAAGAACTCAAAAGCACCATTAATATTTCTCTTTTTTAAATGTGTGTATATATAACTTTGCGCCCAATATGTATATATATGCGTCTAAATTTATCTATTATCAATATATATAGATGGAAACGTAACACATCATGCCCAATTCACTCTTAACTCTTTTCACATACGCATCCATACATATATATGTATATACATGCACATTACACGTTCTTACTTTAAATAAAGTAACAATAACAAATTTTTGTCTATCTAAATGTGATTCCTTCGTTAGGATCTTTAGCATATGAGTTTCCACTTCTGCATTTTAATTTTTAACTAATTTCAAATCCATATATATTGTTTTGAAAACCACCAACTTAGAGATATGAGATGTCAATAAATTCAAACAAAGTAGATCGTTATTGCATATATATATATATACGTACCCTAGCTTTGCATTACTCCAATTAATAATATTGATGTACGTTTCATCTTGAGAATAATATATTAATTAACAAAATTGCTTTGAATCAGAATAAACAAGAGAGCTTATGTCTTCCCAACTTATGGTGCTTTGATCTGCCGAAGTACTTGTGGAGGCTCCTGAGAACAAGTTGATGGTTTCGGCCTGGAAATTCCCGAACCACTGATGATCATTAATACTTGTGTTAAGCAATGGAGGGTTTGCGTTGGCGCTCAAGATCGAGTTCATGGAGAAACCCTCTCCTGATCCTAAGTGGTTATGATTAGGATCTAACAAGAGTTGAGAGAAAGAGAGATGATCAAAAGCGTTTGTCATCGAATCTTGATGATGATGAGGGTTTGTTCTCTCCAGTTCTTGATCTTCAATCTTGATCACTGGCTTAACATCTTCTTGGTCACAAAACGAGTTGGTTTTATTCATGAAAAGTGTTGGTACCTGATCATGATGATGTTGTAGTGGCCATGTGAACATTGTTTGGTCTTGTCTCATCACGAAAGAAGTTTGGATTTGTTGTTGTTGTTGTTGTTGTCTCTTCATCATCACAATCATCTCTTGCTGCTCCATACAAGCTTCTTGAAGCTCCTTGCGTTGTCTGTTAATAAGTTTCTTCTTGAGCCTCGTGTTCCAATAGTTTTTTATATCGTTGTCTGTTCGTCCCGGCAATTGAGCAGCGATTATAGACCACCTTTAAGTATTAAATTCAGACATCATCACATAACTAATTAAGAGTTTCCAAGATATACATGAATAAACGTATATGAATAGTACCTGCTACCAATAGTAAGATAGAGGCTACAAATGATGTTTTCTTCTTCCTCAGAGAAGCTACCATGTTTGATGTTTGGTCTCAGATAGTTAAGCCACCTCAGCCTGCAACTCTTCCCACATCTCTTTAAACCTTAAACCAACCAATAGATAATCATATAAACAAAAAACATCTTTAGTTATCAATACTTCTTCACAAAACTGAGAGATAGATTAAAGAGAGAATCATCAAATATAAATGAATAATAAAAAGGAGTAGCTATAAATTTATTATTACCAATCTTTTGAGGCAAAGCGATCCAATTGCCTCCAGTGCCACTCTTTTCAATGTAAGATTTGAGTTTTGCATCTTCCTCAGGAGACCAAGGCCCTTTCTTCACGTTTGCTTTGTCACAACACGGTGCTCTTCCCATTCTTGTACTTCTAGTGAAGTCTTGTTCTTGATCAAGGTCTAAGTCTTGTTCTTGATATTTGTCTCTGTTTATCTCTCTATGATCAAGATTATATATGTTGGTGGGTATGATGTTGTGTAAACTATATAGGGGAAATATTATGTGAATGCAGAAAAGAAAAAAGGAGACTATATAATAGCTGGAGGAGATGTCAAAAAGTCTTTGTAATAAGAAAAGATGTCAAAAAGTAGGAAAGTTCTAATAAACATAGAAAATCAAAAAGTAACTTTAGGGAAATTAAAATGTTTTTATAATTCAACATAATTAATTACTATACTATAGTGGAATTAAGAAATGGTAGAGAAGATAAGGAAGACTATTGCACACGCAAGTCGTCAAAGAAATTTCTCTTAATTTCTTCTTACATATATATATATTGATATGTACAAATTCAAATTTTTTTCTTTCAAATCATGAAATACTATTAAATATTTTATACATCACTTTAGGATCTTTATTACACTAAGTTACGTATGATAAAAATGTTATGTATAGGACTTTTAACTACGTCTTTGCAGTTGAAAATGAGAGGATATGCACCAAAAGTAGATTGAAACTAAATATAAGAGTAAAAATTCGTTATGGTAGGTGAACAAAATTGCCAAACCGAAGAAATCCTACCCCGGATCCGGTAAACTTATTAATCCTAGTTTAAAACAATAAGAAAGATAATACAGTAATAGAGTGATATCAAATATTACTTAACTGGAATGTTTGAATCTTAGTTTCAAACAATAAGAAAGATAATACAGTACTTTTTCTTATATTACAGATGGTGATCTTAATAATCACGACGAACAATTGTAAAATGATTCTATAACAGTAATTACAAAAATATGTGATAGACGATTCTATATGCACCATGTTCACGTAAATCGTAATATAAACTACAAAGATTGATCTAATAAGGTTGTCACATAGAATAATTTGTATTAACTTTCGAGTATTTAAGATGTCAATATGATTTATGTATACTTAATGACCGACTCTTCTAGACGAACGAAAAAAGGTTGACTTAAGTTGAGATTCGACATTAGGATTTTAAAAGTCAAAGCACTTGTAGTAATAAAGTCATAAGCGATTCAAATTATTGAGTTTTGTTTATACGTCATTTATATGAAAGTTATAAAGGTTCACTGAAAAAGTAAATAAAGTTTTTGAACTTTAAAGCTAAGGGTTAAAGAAAAGAAATTTTTTGTTCAGATTTCAACACCATTGCCCATTGGTAGGAATTGGTCTTGTAGAGTAGGCCATCTCTTCTTTTCCAATTTTCATAACATAAATAAATAACACAAATTCATAAAGTTAGATAAAGACATAAGAACATCTCCCTTATTGATTTGTACTTAAAATATCCTTATATCATCACCTAAATTTATACTAGCATAATGCATGGTGTTGAAAAAAAAATCCATGATATTAATCAATGATTATAGAATGATAGATGCAATGATTGTAGTTTTACATTAATATGAAATATTAACCCCTAAGATAAATCAAAGAGCTAGAAGAAGAGGCTTGGATATTTTGAGTAGGCATTTAAAAAAAAAAAAACTCTTTAATGATTTGATCTTTTTTGCTACTTTAATTAAGGACCCAATAAGTCTTTTGGAAGTACTCTAAAGGTGAAAAAAGTTTATTCCCATGAAAAACACACCTCTCTATCTCCTTTCCTTATCTATTTTTCTCTATGACTTCAGTAATTCAAGTCATCCTCACTACTTTTTATATTAGTTTAGTAGATAAGACTTGTTATTATCTCGTAATCATGAGATAATCATGACATCTGTTCAGGTCGTAACAAGTCCACGCTTCTTATAGAGATTCGAATCTAGCTTGCTTGATCCATCAAACTTATGGGAAAATAAAATAAAAAAGCTCGACCCAATCTAAACTTATTATGGGTTGTTATTGCTAAACTTTTTTGCTGTCTGAAAAGTTTTGGCTTGAATATGAAAGAAATAGTTATTACTTTGGTTCTTAGTTTTTGATTATTAGATATCAATGATGTCTCAGAAATGGTGTTTCAGACTTTAGAGAAAGCATTGGATGTAATCAAAAACAGAGATGTAAAGATAATATTATTGGTATGATGTAACAACATCTACTGATATTGAACCAGCTAAGTTCTAGATCGACCAGATTCTAAACAATCCAACTTATAGTTTCACGAATCAGAATCACAGACCAAACTACCAAAGAAAATGGAAAGCAAAACCAAGAAGCCGAATTGATGAAATGCATTTGCCTGGCTTAACTCAGATTCACAGTCCAATTCATGTTGTCTTCAATCAGACCCATCTGCAAGCTTGTCAGAACAGTGTAGAGTTGCTTCGAGACAGTTCCGAAGGTACCTTCTCCATAAGACACTCTGCGTGTGTATTCGAACAGAAAAAAAGAAAAAACTCTTACGGCATACAAAAAAAGTCGAAAGCTTTACGACTTTGTAGGTTTGCTTTTCATATAAATTGGGATACAAAGAAAATAAGTATTTACCTTTTGCCTTTGTAAGTAACGCTTCCAACGGGAGAGACAACCACGGCGGTTCCTGTGCAGAAAACCTCATCCGCTTCTAATAATTCATCCACTGTCACATTCCGTTCCTCCACCTGAACGATACCGAATAAACATGCACTGTGATCAGAAGCCAATAGTGGTACTATGATTCCATTTTAAAGATGTGAGTATTGTTTAGAATTTGAAGAAGAGGAGAGATTACCTGAAACCCTTGGGTTCGAGCCACGTCTATTATACTTTTCCGTGTGATCCCAGGTAAAATGGTTCCTTTTATTTCAGGAGTAGAGATCACATTGTCCTGGCAAAGAAAATTGATGTTAAAAAATAGTTATGTAAAAGAATCAGTATCTTAATATGTTTGTAAATGCCCCCAAAAAAGATGGTGCCAGAGTCTTAATCTCATCTCTTACGTCTTAGGAGGAGAGACATCTTATAGAATCTACAAGGCATCATCAGATTCCGAAAGATTGGTATTTCCTTACCTTCACGATGAAAATATTGCAGGACGAGACCTCCTCAAGAAATCTTTTGTAAACGCAATCAAGGTACAAAACATCGGAATATCCTTTGGCTTTCGCAATCGACTGTGCCTTCAGTACCTAAATAATAACTTGTATGTGTGAGTTATAAGCTGGTCCAAATAAAATCAATCTATTTAAGAAATCAGCTTTTACTTACTGCAGCATAATTGCCGATGGTTTTAACACCTCCAGTACCACCAGGAGTTGCACGGTGAAATTCATTTTCCACAATCAAATTGATCGGTGCCACACCTTCCTGACATCATTATATAAATCCGTATCATCATTCAGAGAAACATACAACAAATCTTAGATAGCTGGAATTGATCTTAAGAGAAACTCTGAAAGACCTTAAAGTAGTTCCCGACAGGCGAAACATAGATAATGAAAGTATATTCTGGTGCAGGCGCAAGACCAAGAACAGCTCCTGTTCCCATTAACAACGGTCTAACATATAAGGAACCTTTACCTGGAGGCGGAACCTAAAAACAAGACATCACACGCACGTTAAAGTCATAACAGCAAACAAAAATTTAGATAACTTCCTCTGCATATCTGGCAAAAAAACACTGTGTGATTCCTTACCCAACGTTTGTTTGCTAATACAGTTTCTTTCACAGCTTCAACAAACTGCTCAACGGTTGGAGCAGGCATACACATCCTCTCAGCACCATTTCTCATACGGTTTGCATTCTCCTCAGGACGAAAGAGGAGGATGTTATTACCATCTTCCTTTCTGTAAGCTTTTAGCCCTTCAAACAATCCCTACAAACAAGGCAACAGAAGAACATACACTAATAAGACTCGCACAATCCTAAATTCCAATCACTACCACAACACATTCCTTGGCATCTCTCATCATCAATAGCAGATATAAGAAGTATTTTTTAAAATCCCTTAACCTTAATCCCACAGAAACAAGTTTTTTTTATTCATAGATTAAGCTTGGTTTGATCCAACTCAATACAGTAAAGGACATGACTTTGAAGAAGCTAAGAAACAAACCTGTCCATAGTTAAGTACACCAGCAGATGGGCTAACTTCAATGTTCCCAAAACGTTGCAATTCACCTTTTGAGAAATCTCCATCGATGTTACATTTCATCACATACATGTAATCAGTCGGCTTAAGCCCAAATCCAATGTTATCCCAATCTATGTCAGCTAATTCAGACACCTCCGTACTAATTCAAGATAAACAAAAGAGATATATAAGTGGACCTGAGAGAAATTGGACAAATACCCACCAAAACAAAGATTCTGATTCCAACAAACCTGGAAGAATTCGACAAAACAGCGTTGCATCGAGTAAGGGAGATTCCACCATTGATGACATTGGAAGAAACAGAGGAAGAAGACGAAGAAGAATGTTGAAGCTGTGAAGATAATCAGAGAAATGGGTTAGATAAATCAGTAGATGATAAGAGTTTAGGAATCGATAAAACAGTGGGAGATGAGAAAAGAGTTGACCTTGATGGAGGAAAATGACGGCGGCGAGAAGTTACGAGTAGAGGAGAAAGAGTGGCGGCGCGTGGAGAAGGCGCGTGAAGGGCAAAGTAGGTAATTTTGATTCACACTCGGGAGAATCGCAGCTCTCTCCATTTTTCTATCTTCACAATGTGTCTAGTTTTATGTCTCTTCTTCTTCGTAAGACGACGACAATGGGTGAGAGACGGAGGGAGGCTCTGTGCGTTTTCGTTTTTGCCTCTTGCCCTAACACCTCATTTCAGTTTATTTGTAATATAAATTATAAATATATTGTTGTTTAAATTTTTAATAAAAAAATAAATTATATAAAATAAATTAAAATTATATATTTGAAATGCTAAGATAGGTTCTCTCCACTTAAGATGTTCTTAACTCTTAGGATGTTGTTTAATCATGATTTTAATGGAAAAAATGTCAAAAAAATTTATCGAATTTCCGAACTTTGGTTGAAAAAGTATTAACTTTTCTTTGAACATTTTAAATCACTAATTTTCATTGATTTTTTATTTTAATCACAAATTTTTTGTTAATTGAACTAATTTAAATCCAACATAAAATATTTTGACAAAACGAATTAACAAGGTTAACTTTATGTTAGTCATCTTCCTGATCAGATTACGGAGAAATTCAACATAAATTATTATCAAAAACTTATTAATTTGTTCCATTAAAACACTTAATACATATCTAAACATTCAATCAACAAAAAATCAGCATAAATTAGTGATTTAAAGCGTTCAAGATAAAGTTGATGCCTTTTTTTAATTAATATTTTTCCTAAATTTAAATCCAAGAATCATTTAATTCTAGATGACTCCGGGTGAGGGAAAAAAATTAAGACAGGTATTGTTTTAGGCTTTTAGCAACAAATAAAAGACTAAAAACTGAAAATCGTTTATGAGAAAAAAAAAGGAAACAAATAAAAAAATCGAAAATGTTTGGTTACCAACAACTTGAATAACTCCAAAAAACAAACGTGTTTCATGCGTTTGTGTCCATCGTGTCTTTATGAGAAAAATGAGCCTAGCCCAGCACCAATATGTATTAAGCCCACACAACTCAAGACGGAGAAGCCTAGAAGACAATAATAGCTCTATCCACCATTTAGATTCAGGCTTTTCTATTTTTTGAAGGTTGCTGAAGAAGCCCTGCGTAATTTTATGAATGGGCTCTGGCTACATTATGAACTAACTTCAGCTTATAATATATTGCACTCTTTGGATTGTTGCTTTTGTTTTGTTTCGTTAATATGTTGAAGTTTCCTTGATTTCTAGAGCGAAACGACTGTGCATACTGATTCTCTTACAATGGTGTGACATAATTGTGTCGGTAAGTAAAACCAATGAATACTGAAGAAAGAAACAAACGTTACAATTCAAACACAAAAGTACATATCTAGTTTGTCTAGTTTATGATAACCAGACTAATTCTTCTTCTTCTTCTTCTTATTCTTCTTTATTTAACCTTCGTTTAAGTAGATGGAGTTGTGATGGGCCTCGGCTTGAAAACTCAAGTAAATGACTGTATGTTAGAAGCTTGACATTTGGGAAGAATCTCAATATAAAAAGGTATCTTTGAATTATGTAATTTGACTTTGTTAGTCATCAACTCATGTCTACTAATCTAGTAGTTTCACCCGATGCGTATATGAAGCTAGAGAATGGAACATGCAATTTCCATCTCTTTGTTAGAATCTTGGCCTCTTTAAAACATTTCCACTCTAATCCATCTTCAAGTCTTTCTTGTTAACTAACTCGTGACTTAGTCCTAGAGTTAGGCATTCCTTAATTAGGTTTACAAGATCATCAATGTACAATTAGAACGTATAAGAAATTTTGTTCATATAGGTATAAAATTTAAGTCTTTGATATTGAACATAATACATCTAAAATATCATAACTGATATTCTTATTGTTCTTTTTATATCTTTCATGTCTCACAATAGTCATAGTTATGGAAGAAAAATTACTACTAGATATCAAGGAGAGCAACAACACATAAGGATTTGATATATTGATGAGTCAAAATCAAAGTTGAATATATGGCTTATATTTAATGAGAGGGAGATGTCATAAATGCTTCGTCTAAATTAGATTTTTGCTTCAAGACAAGGGAAGAGAGTGGAAAAAAAATCTTAGGACCATCTGAATTCATTAAGACACTACCCATACATTTGCAATAATTGGACAAATTGTGAGTGAGCTTTCACTTTCTCTCTTCTCAGCATAACTTATCTTCAGTCCCACACAAACACATTCATACCTTAGTTTCACCCTCTCTGTCTTTTTTCACATGGAATGTCTTGTTGTGACACAACAGCTATACAATTAGATACATTCCAAACGGGTAAAAGCAAAGGTGAGAATAAAATATGTAATGTAATACTCCCTCCGTTTCGTTTTAGTTGTCGTTTTAGTTGTCGTTTTAGGACTTAAATTTTGTTTCGTAATAGTTGTCGTTTTAGCCTTTTAGGTTTTCAATGCAAATGTTTGGTAAAAATTCCAGTATTATCCCTATTGTTTTAATGTTTTGGCCAATGGAAAAATTTATAAAATATATTAATAAAGGGTAAAACAGAAAATTTAATGCTTTTCTTAATTTGTGTGAAAAAACTTTAAACGACAACTAAAACGAAACGGAGGGAGTAGCTAATTAGCAAGATTCCAATATAAATGAGGTTCCAAATTCCAACATAATGGAAACACTAGTTTCATTTTAGGACAACGAAAACACTAAAAAAAATTACTGTCTATTAGAGTATGAAACCATATAAAGTTCTTAAGAAAAAAGGAGAGCCCAAAACTGTTTTTTGGTCTAATACACTTGGACTACTATTGGTTAATGGTAACACGCATAATGGAGGAATGTCGTTTTTTAATGTGATTATGCAAAAAAATTTGTATAATGAACAAAAACTTAGGGTTGACAAAAAAAAAAAAAAAAATTAGGATGTTTGCCAAATTCGAAATTTCTTGAAATTAACATTTATCTTGTGAAATCAAACCTTAATGTACATATTCAAAATTCCTACCAAAGGATAAAAACTACTCGAATATTTTGTGGCAGCATTAAAAGAAATAAGACAACCTTAAGAGTTAAACCACTAATTGTTGTTGCCTTAACCGAATCAGACAAGGAGGGGTAATTAAGTAATTAACTCGATGACCAAACCCAATTAAGTAATTAACTCGATGACCAAACCCAATTGCCGGAAAGTCTAATTACTTAAAAGATCCGGTGGACTTCCTGAATCCGGCGACGATTCAATCATCGCCGGAGCTTTCTCCGACACGTCTGATTCCGCCGCCTGCTGCTTCAAATGAGGGATCTTTGGGATCTCAGTGAGAATCTGAACGACTTCACGCATCGTCGGCCTCTCCACCGCTTGTTCTTCAACGCAGAGCAACGCAACGTAGAAGACATGTGTTACTTCGTGAACTGGTACAGAAGAGAGTCTAAGATCAATTACTTTGAGCACACAATCTTTATTTGAATCCGTCATGCTTCTAACCCATTGAACAATATCAACGCCGTCGCCAAATTCTCCGACGGGTTTTTTCCCAGTGATGAGTTCTAGAAGAACAACACCGAAACTATACACATCGCTCTTCTCATCTACCTTCAGTGTATACGCGTACTCTGCACAACAAGGAACACAAATAGTTCATAAATTTACTTCCACCAAGTGTTTGATTAAATGACAATTTACAAAAAGTGTTGAGTTTTTTTAATACCTGGAGCTATGTAGCCGTAAGAGCCGGCGATGGCGGACATACATTCAGAAGTACCGGAATCTTGTAAGAATTTGGCGAGACCAAAGTCGGCGACATGTGCTTCGAAGTTGGAATCGAGGAGGATGTTGTTGGATTTAACATCTCTATGAACAATCAACGGGGAACAATCGTGATGGAGATAGCAAAGACCCTTGGCTGCTTCAAGAGCTATCTTATAACGTGTGTCCCAATGTAAATGACCTCCTTTCTTTCCATGAAGAACCTCTCCAAGGCTACCATTAGGCATGTACTCGTACACTAGGAGATTCGTTTCGTGGTTGGAGCAAAACCCAAGCAGTCTCACGATATGCCTGTGTCTGATTCTACCTAGCGTCTGAATCTCGGCGTTGAACCCGTGATCGTGGGAAGATCCATGGGACATTGTAGCCAATCTCTTGACTGCGACTAGGTCGCCGTTAGGCATACTGCCTTTGTAGACAATCCCGGCACCGCCTTTACCGATGATGTTGTCTTCCTTGAGAGAGTCCAAGACATCGTCACAAGTGAAGTCTAGTCTCTGGAAAGCAGTTAATCTCCAGGCTTTGGCGTCACTCGCATTTCTCAAGGACCGAGCTTTGATTATGGCCACTATAGCAAACACCATCGAACAAAAGAGCAATCCAAGGACGAGTAACAGTTTTGTAGTAGCAGATAGAGGTTTAACATGAGACTGGTGAGTTCCTTTGCCGCAAGGACCCAAATACGGACCACAAAGATCAGAATTACCCAAGAAGGATGTGTAATTGAAGTAACTAAACTGTCCAGTGCTCGGAACTAGACCAGAGAGATTGTTGTAAGAGAAATCAACCGATGTCAAACTCTGCATTGATGCTATCGTCACAGGTATCGAACCAACGAGATGGTTTCTTGAAAGATTCAAGTAATTCAAGATCCTCATACCAGTGATTTCTTTAGGAATATCACCTGAGAGCTCATTACGACTCAGATCAACAAACGTTAGCAGCTTACAACGACTTATCTCCGGTGCAATCCGACCCGAAAACAGATTATGGCTAAAATCCAGCTTAGATAGCTGCTGAAGCCTCCCAATCTCCGGTGGAATGGGACCAGCAAACTTGTTACCATCTAGGAGCAGTTTTTGAACACCGGAGAAGTTTCCAATAGCAGCAGGTAATGGACCAGAGAGCTGGTTATTAGACAGACTAATCTGACCAAGGTCACCAGAGACGCCTCCACTTATTGGTAACTCTCCGGTGAGGTAATTATCTTGGAGCTCCACTTGAGATAATTTGGGTAACCCGAAAAGCCCCTTCGGAATCGACCCGTTGAGGAAATTCTCACCCATTCGGATCCGGGTCAAAGACTCACATTTGCCAAGCGAATCCGGTATTGAACCAAACAAGAAGTTACCGAGAGTGATTAATGTCATTAACCGATTACCGGAGCACATATTCGGCGGCAAAGTTCCGGTGAGTTTGTTCGAAGAGAGGTCAAGAATCACTAATCTACCATTTTCCCCCAATTTCTGAGGAATACCACCGGTGAAATTGTTCTCCCATAGCTGTAACACTTCTAGCTCCGGCATTTCACCGATGAACTCCGGTATAGCACCGTATAGCTTATTCCTGAAGAGATTCAACAACGTTAAGTTCTTCAGCTGTGAAAAACTCGCCGGAATCTCACCGGTAAACATATTGTTAGACAAATCCATTGATTTCAAGCTTGAGATTAATCCCAGCTCTGAAGTTAATGTCCCTGAAAACGCATTTACTTGAAGAAACAACGTATCTAGCTTCTGAAGCTTCCCAATCTCCGGTGGAATCTCACCGGTTAAACCACAATTAGCAGCGTCGAACCGAACAAGCTCTGATAAATTTCCAATCTCCCGTGGAAGACCATCTTCAAAAGCGTTGTAATATCCGATGTAGAGTTCACGAAGAGTCGTTAGGTTTCCGATCTCCGGAGGGATTTTTCCGATTAGCTCGTTACCGGAAACTGCTAGATACTCGAGAACAGGCCAGGTTCCGTACGTCGCCGGGATTTTACCGGAGAAGTAATTCCCACCGAGATGAAGATGCCGGAGCTGTGTCAGATTAGTGATTGAAACCGGTAAATCTCCGGTTAAGTTGTTGTTATACAAATCGAGAACACGGAGATTCACCAATCCAGAGGAGAGTTCATCGGGATATGAACCGTTGAAGACATTATTGGAGAGATTGAGATGACGAAGCTCATAGAGATTGGAGATTTCCGGCGGAATAGGACCTGAGATCTGATTAGCAGCGAGGGATAGGTTCTGTAAGAGAGGTAAATGAGCTACGTCGGAGGAGAGAGTTCCGGAGAGGTTAAGACCAGAGAGGTCGAGAGAGGTCACGTGGCGGCGAGTGACGTCGCACGTGACACCGGTCCATGAACAGAAGGTTGTTGAAAGGTTCCATGAGGTGAGAGGTGAGTGTTCGTCGATGGTGAGGGAGGATTTGAGTGAGAGAAGAGCGTTGAGCTCGGTGATTGGTTTAGCTACGGTTAAGGAATGAGAAATGTGGAGGAGGAGGAGGAGGAGAAGGAGGAGGAGTTTCATGGTTTTTGTTTTTTTTCTCTTTCTGTGTAAGTTAGGGTTTGGTTTTAAAAAGGGTGAGAAAGTGGTGAGGGTAAGTGAGGAAGATGAAGATGGTGTGTTTCTTTTTTGAGTTTTATTTGTATATTTTTATATTGTAGATTTTTTGGAGTTTACTTGAGGGAGATTTTTAAGAAACTTTTATTTTTATAAAGACCAGAGTTTATTAAAGACATAATTGAAATACTTCAAATTGTAGAAGACAAACCAAAAACATGAAAATTCGTTTATTTTACATACTCCCTCCGTTTCAGTTTAGTTGTCGTTTTAGGATTAAAATTTTGTTTTATAATAGTTGTTGTTTTAGGTTTTCAATGCAAATGTTTGCCTGTTTGGTGAAAATTAATGTTTTGTCATTAATGTTTTAATGTTTTGACCAATGAAAAAATTATAAAATATATTAATAAAGGGTAAAACAAAAAATTTAATGATTTTCTTAATTTGTGTGCAAAAACCTTAAACGACAACTAAAACGAAACGGAGGGAGTATATAGAAACATATGCATGTGATGGATTTAATGAAACATGGAATTAGAAAGGTAAGGATAAAACGATAATTACATGATGAGAGAATGTTCATTAATTTTATTTTGGAGCCTTGTTGTTTTGAAACATGATGTTACCTAATCTTGACAAAATCCTCTGAAATAGTATTATACACTTTTATTACACAGGCATAAGTGTAAGTATGCAATATCAAAGCGAACCATAAATTCATAAAGATGTTTTAAAGACAAAACCCCATAATGAAACAGTTAATGATGTTGAAATCAACGGTCCTGATGTTATAGTTTGACGGGAAAATATGGAGGAGTCCACCACTTGGATTCACAAACTTACGGATTTATCGATGAACGAGATATTATAAATTTCGACTTTGATTAATATTCTCTGTAACCAAAACTTAACACTTAAATGACTAAAGAACCCCTTAAACAGCCTTGTAATCACATTTCTATCCTTAGGACCACAACAGCAAGCCCCAAGGCAATGACATGATCGACAAAAACCAGAGAGCCGGTCTCTGTCCTCTGATCAACTGAAAATGACGAGAACAACCCTGAGCTGATGCACGGCAACAGTTAAGAGCCTCGAGAGACGGGTAGGGATACGATCGTAATTTTGGTTAGTGGAAGTAAGTCAGTAAAAAACAGTCCTATGTGCATCATTTTCATCTTTTGCCAGTTACCACAGTTCACTGATCAACAATAATGGTTTGTCCAGTGAACAAGTATATGGTTTTCCGACACTTTTTTTTTACTGATTTTATTATATCTCACAAAATTATCCAATTTGATTTTAAAATATGTGATAAGAAAGTAAGATTTTTAATAAATTTTAATGACAATGAATATAGAGCTGAATTATAGAATGTCAAAATTTGGAGTAGTGTTTAGAGAATTATGTAGCCATTGGAATAAGTCGTACTCATATTAGGTGAATTTTTGTTGTCTTCTTTATGGACCCGGATCAATAGAATAATTTTTCATCTGCAACGCACTTTCTTGCACTAAATAATAAACTAAAATTAGTGAAAAATTATAATAATGAGATAATTTCTAGTTTAACATTTTACTTTGAATGATAACAATTGGTAAGCACGTGTGAGGAAAAGTCCATCTTTTGTGTGTAATTTTCATAATTCGGGAAGATATAGTACTTTTGGATGGGTGTGTATTGAATGAAGATTCGTTTGTTGAAGCTTGATTTCGTATTTGGTACCAATTCAAACATATTTAACCATACAAATTGATTATGTTTGCACTAAACCTAACAATTATTGTTTGATTTGGATGGTTAAATATGTTTGAATGGTACCAAATACTAAACCTAACAATTATTGTTTTCTAGCACAAATTGATTTGCTAACATATCTTGAGAACTTTACACAAAGAACCAAAGTTGAAATTTGGTGTTTGTATCAATTGGGAGAGACACAAACATGACTCAGTCTTTAGGAACTGTTGCTTTCTCTTGAATCATGTAAACAGAAAGACACGCTGTAAAAGCAAGCAGCCCACTGGTGTGTAGCAAAAAGACAGAACAATGGTCACAAATCATCTTTTTGTTTTTTTTTTCTTTTGATTTCGAAAATTGAAAATAAGAGAGTGGGTTCAAGTTTTCATGTGGTCCATTTCAAAATTTTGTAGGGTAAAAAAAAAAAAAACTTTACGATAAAAGTGAAAAATGAAAAATTAAAAAAAGGGACAGGACCAGGGGACCATAAGCTTCATCATCATGGCCCAACCAAAGTAACCAACTACCATACATTATCTACTTATAGTCATATATCTGTACTTTGTCCCATGAGCTACCCATCAATTTGATTCGAATGAACAATTTTCAATCCTGAAATACTTTAAAACCAATAGTATTTGTAGGAACACAGAAGCATTGCATCAGCTTAATAGATACAATGAATAAATGGAAAACCTTTTATGAAGATTTGTGTTCATTCTCTGAAGTGCCTTTGCACTCGCAGGATTTCAAGTTTGTCTTTGCCTTAAGACCTACCTAAATAGTTCTGAGTCACACAGAGAACTACTACCAGTTTACAACACTCTCGCACCAAACAAAAATTGCACTTTTACATAATGAGGCTAGAATCAATCTAACAAGCTTAGTAAGCAATAGATGATTACAGCACCAAGATTTCTGAACATACCTACATGTATGATTTCTGAAGAGATAGTGATGGTTCATTCTTTCTTCTGTGTCCAAATCCTAACAGACTTGTCGAGTGAGCCTGATGCAATCAAGTTCTCTGTCGGGTGACATGCCACGTTCATGACGGTCTCAGTATGACCCTCAAGTTTCTGAAGCAGTTTCCTGGAGTTTAACTCCCACATGTATACACAGTTGTCCTCGGATCCACTAACTATCCGCTTTCCATTTGTGACGGAGAACGCAGAGGAAATGCAATATTGTGCGTTCACGTGGCCCGTATATGTTTTGAGGAACTTAGCAGACGCAATGTTCCACAACCTCTGCAAATTTGAATATTATGGAGTGATCAGTGCATTAATAACAAATCCTGAGAATTTATTCCCCAATACCCTATAGATAATAGATGCAAAAAAATCAAACACCAAAAGAAGATGCATCTTCGAAGCTACAACTCTCTAGAGACAACCCTTCAAAACTCTTTAAATATCAATAACAGTACTGTTCCAAAGCTATCAACTTTTCCTCACTGGGAAATATCCTTAACTAGAAACCAATCTTGCAAATATAGCTTTGGATTGGCTTCTCTTACATCAAACTTCTACTAACAATCAATCTAGAATCTAAGTTCATGGAGAGATAAGTGCATTAATAACGAATCATAAGAATTTATTCTCCAATCTCCAAACGCAAATAAATCAAACAACCATCTAGATTCAACCCTTCAAAACTCTTGAATCTCAATCAATGACAGAACTGTACTTAAAGCTATCAACTTCTCCATACAGAGAAATATCCATAACCAGAAAACAATTTTGCAAACTTAAAGTTTTGAATTGGCTTCTCCTACATCAAACTTCTATTAACACACAATCTAGAATCTAAGTTAACACAAGTATTTGCTATGAACTCAGCCAAATAGTACAATGAGGAAGGAGAAGAAGAACTCACCAGTGTGTTATCGAGTGTACCAACAAGGATAAACTTGCCATTGGGAGAGAATCTAACAAACGAAACAGGAGGATTCTCATCATCAATTAACGTTTTCACACAATGTCCAGTCCCAGAATCCCATATACGACACAACCCATCATAGCTACTCGAAACAATAAGAGACCCATCTCGATTAAAATCAACGGCAGTAACAGGATCAGAATGCGCGGGAAGAACTTTCAAACATTTTCCGGTAGTAACATCCCAAATCCGAACAGTTTCATCAAACGAACCAGATACAATCATGTTTGATTGAGGATTGAAATTGACACAGAAGGCGTAATTAGTGTGTCCAATAAGCGTTTTGATCAATGAACCAGTTTCAACGTCCCATAGCTTTAAGGTTTTGTCATCGGAAGCTGAGACTATAAACCTCGCGTCTGAAGAAAAGGCAACATCGGAGATACCGTTTTCATGGCCGGTGAATTCTCGTACGGGCTCGGCGATTGGATCATTTTCGATGTTGATGGTGTATGTACGGATGGTTTTGTCGGCGGAGGCTGACGCGAGGAGACGGCCATCGGACGAGAATTTCACGGAGGAGACGGCGCGAATGTGAGAAGTTAGGGTTTGGGAGTGGACGTAGGGAGTGAATGATGCTGTTGCTGGAACTTCCTCTGCCATGGCTATTGAAATTGTGAGAATTTCGGCGGATTTGAATTTGACTGATTTAGGGTTTTGGGAAATGGGGGCTTTGTCTTAAGGAGAGAGACGATGACGATCCAGTGTTCTTGGAAAAACCCTGACTCGTTTAAACAAATTGTGGGGTGTGTTTTGAAAGAATTGATACTATTGGGGTATCTTTTGAAATTTCGTAAACTTAGAGTAGTTTCCACGAGCGGCTCACGTGCTCGCTTTCTAAAGCTCAAACCCTCAGACTAATGCAGAGTCTCTTAAAAAATTTGTTCTTTCTTGCTTCACAAATTAAAGAAACACTCTTCGTGAATTGACTACCAGAGATAACCTACGAATCTTAAGTTACCATTAAAATTCTTTGTGATGTAACAACCATACATATTTAATGAGATCCAATCTTGTAATTTGAAATTATTAATTTTTTCTTTTTTGAATAAAATGTAAAATTATTCAGAATAAATTAAAAAAAACGTTTTTACATTTTAGACGTTTTAACATACACTATGCTAATAGGAAAAATAAAATAAAAAACATCTTCTTATCTCGTTGCAAACCAAACCGCCATACACTCCTCACATCTTCCATCTCCTTGCTCTTTAATGGAAGATATCCTAGTTCAAATATCCTTGTGTAGCCTTCTGATTAACTGGATAAATAGAATATGATTTTCGCCGTGTTTTCTACTGTTTATTTCTCTCCAAAACGAGTGAATTACAAGCTAGAAAGTATATTTCAATAGAAACAAACGAACCTTTCCCAGTGTGTTGTTAGTGAGCAGCTTGAGTACAATGTCCCAATCGGTTTAGAACTTTCCAGCAAGAAGTTTTTAGGTGAGGTCCGACCAAACTTCCCTTGAGTATTGGCATGTGAAGAACAAGTGACTTCTAGTTTCCATAGACTCTTGACAGAACACACATGAGGGGTTAACCCCAACATTTCAACTCAACATTCTATCTTCCATAGTTAAACGAGTTTTAGTTGCTTTGTCCAAAAAAAAAAAAAAAAAAAAACGAGTTTTAGTTGCAAGCCAAGTTAAGAAAGAATATTTAGGTGTGGCGTGTGAGAACCATATACCTTGATACCATTCCTTCTTTGGTCTTTGTTCCCGTGTTGCTGCCCATATTTTTTTGGTGTTGAATCTAGCCTGAAACCGATCTCATTTCCCTTTCCAAAGAACCACGTCCTCTGTTTCAACCATCCCTTTAGAACGAAGCTCCTATAGAAGTGCTTCCATTTGGTTTAAATGAACAGTTCGGTGCCTTCTTCGTCTACGCTTCAGAATCACTTCAGCCACAGTGTCTTGTATGTCAATTACTATATCAATGCAGCCCCGTTGACTCGTAATCGCAATCAAAGGTACTAGAGGGGACCGATTATCATGTCGAAAAGAAATCCTCTTCCCATTTTTGACCTCATACTTTACAAATCCAGAGGCTAGGCTGCGATACTTTAGTATCTTTTTTTACATTCAAGATCCAAGCGTCAAAGTTTTTCTTAACGAACCATTAAAATTATTTTCAGCTACTATTGACATTAAATTGAGATTTAGTCTTTATTATCGACCAAACAAATCATTAACTACTAACAAGACTTACAACTACCAGTTTACACTACTGCTAACGTTCTGCTAACAATTCAACTGTTACATTTTCGTATGTTATAAATGAAAAAGCTAGCTTTGAACGAGTTCCTTATTATAATTTATGTACATTTTGATGAACCTGAAGATTTTTCGGTGAGATATAAACTTCAAGTTGAATTTATAGAACATGCAATGCATATTAAATTGTAAATAAACTAGGTGTGAGTACCCATACTTCTATGAGGGTAGTAGTAATGCATAAATAACTAAGAAAATATTTGTTTCATTTAAAATTATGACTTCGTTGGTAATGTGCATGATGGGCGAAATAACAAAAAAAAAAATGATATTGCAGGGTTTACCAATCATAAAATATTGGAAGGTCATAATATCAAAATCATTATTTATTTTTAAACATTATGATTCTGTTAAATCTATGTCTCTAATTATTTTTTTCCCGAGATTCAACTACTAAAAATTATAACAAACATTTATTTTCTACTGTTTTGTTATTCCGGATTGTTGCTTATAAAAACCTATACAAGTTTATTCTTTTATAACCAGTAACCAATTTAAAATTGTTTGTGTAGAATTTTGGTCTTCTTCATTATATACTACGTTGCAATTCGATATCCTTTTTTGTTAATGGGTATTGCTTTTAATATTGTTGAGATTAAATAAACTTACCAAACTTATGGAGGATATCGATGTGATGTCTTCCGATTCTCAAATCATACTAAATTGATTCGAGCAGAAAAAGATGATTACCAAAAATAGTTAATATGTGGTATCTATAATTTTTATAAGTCAGTAAGAGCACCCTTATCCATGGGCTCTTAGATGAATCTTAGCCAAATCTTAAGCTAAGATTTGTGAAGAAAGAGCTCTTAGAGCATCATTAACGGTAGGATCTTAGACAATCCTTAGCTTTATTGTTGAATTAAATTAAATGGTAAATTTTGTTAAAAACTAAGAATTGTTTCTTAGATAAGAGACAATTGTAATCTTAAGAGGCGTCTAGGTGGCACGTTTTTTTCTCTCTCTTTCTCTCTCGCAATTTCCCCAAACAGAGAGAAATGGGAGGCGATTTCCCGAAATCACCTTAAATCGGAGGAGTCTCCGACGTTAAGCACCTCCGGCCGTCGTTTTTCCGTAAGCTCGTCATCTCCACCGACTCCGGTTGTCCACGGCGTCTTCGGTTCACCAAATCGGCGAGGTTGGCTTGCGAAATCGGGGACAACTTCACCAGATCTCCGAGTTTCGATTCGAAATCGGAGTCATGCAAGCACCAATCGGTTTTTATAGGTATGAATTTCTTTTTGATTGTCCTACGGAATTTGGCTCTGAAAACACTAAAATTTATCTTTGTCCTCGTCTTCGTGCTTTTGTGGGTTTTGCTTTAATTCCCGTGTCTGTGTTTGTTCAATTGATCATGTCTTCTGGACAATGTGTGTATTTGAGCTCCTTGCGGTTTTGTTTGTATCTTTCATAGTTAATTTCAATGTTCATACTCAGGGTAATGTATTACAAAGTTGGGTCTTTTATCTTTGTGTTTTTGCTTCTTAATAGTCAGATCTTGTACATATCTGTTTGCCAGGAAATAAGAATTGATTTCCCTTTGCTGTTTGATTTAGATGTTTACATGTTTGAATCTTCTTGAAAGTTTACATTTTTCCAACAGTTTGAGCTTGTTCTTTTGAAAATGTTGAAAATGAAGTTCTTTTGCGCTTCCTTAGGTTTCACTACGTTGAGAATGGTTCCTCTGATGGATGGGGAAAATAATCTTATGGAAGAAACAACTGTTTTCGAAAAAGATTCCTATGAGAATAGTTCCTCAGTTTTGGTAAATTCTATTTGGTAACTTATTGTCTATTCTCTATTATATCAGGTAATAGAAGAAGCTGGTTCAAACGAAAAACATCTCAAGAACATGTGTATGGAGCAAGCAGCTAAAATTGAGGAGCTAACTCACCTGGTAAAAACCTTGTAAACTTATGAGAATATTAGTGTTAAAAAAGCTTGAATCAAATTTTCAGAAATTAGTTTTCCAGTTGAGTTTCATTGACGATTTTTGACAAGAATGACAACTAAATTGAATAAACTGTGTTTTGGCCTTGTTTGCACCTTAGGAAATCAGGTGATGGAGAAGATGGAATAGAGTTCATCAAAGAAACATATGAGATGAAACAAATTAGTGAAGAGTTTGGAAAAACAAACTTTGAGGTAAGTGAAAAGGAAGCTCTTCTCAAGGAGATTGCAGACCTAAAGAGCAAGCTGCAGCCTACTAAGTCTACAGACTATCTGAGATCCTCTTTGCTACTACGATCCATTCAAATGCGCAAAAGCATCATTGCAGGAACGATTCAGCAAGGTGGAAGAAGAGAAAGAGAGGCTGAAGAAGCAAAAGGAGCAGCTAAAGAACAAACACAAGAAATAAATAGGAACAGATATGTATTTGGTTTCATATTTTCTACCAATATCCCGATGGCACTATACATGAGTTTATTATTCCATCAGGTAAAAAATTAAACACTCTAGTTTATGAGTTACTCTCTCGTTCTCTCTCTCTAATTATCTAAAAGGAATTGTAGTTTTTTCCAATAGAGAGGAACCAAGAATGTGATGAACTACTTATAGGAAAAAGCAAACAACATTCTCTTTCTCATTCTAAGCCATTCTACTCCTTATTATTCCACTCTCCATAGCAACATCCCAATGCAATTTCTCGACTACACGCCAAGGTTTCAACCAATTATAACACACTCAATTTCTTTTATGTTCATACACTCAAATGTAACCAAAACTTCATATATTCAAATCAATCACTAAAGTTCATACAACTCAAATGTAACCAAAATTTCTTTCTTTCTTTCGTACACTCAAATGTAACCAAATATAACACTTTGCTCTATATGAACACTTTGCAACAATTATTAAATTTTTTATAATTATAAATTTTATTTTATATTAATATTTTTTTTCTAAGAACCACATGTTAAGAGCCTACTATTAAACACACAAAAAATCTTAACCCAAAAATACAATCTCTTAACTATCACTTTTACAAATTTATTACTTAAATATTCCTAAGAGCCATTATTAAGAGCATCATTATAGGTAGTTTCTTAGAGATAGATCTTAGTAATATTTAAATAATTTATTTGTAAAAGTGATTGTTAAGAGATAGTATTTTTGAGTTAAGATTTTTGTGTGATTAATGGTAGGCTCTTAACATGTGGTTCTTAGAAAAAAAATATTAATATAAAAATAAAATTTATAATTATAGAAATTTAATAATTGTTGCAAATTAAAAAAATTAAAACATACATGAGATACAATTTATAACATAAATCACAAATATTTTAAACTTAATTTCTTCTATATTTTGTCCATATATGCTCGACCAAATCATTCTTCAATTGTTGATGCATACCTCGATCACGAACTCGAGCTCTATTATCAAAGAAATTAGAAGACGTATATGTAGAATACGTGAAATCCGCCCAATCAAAACGTGACACGTGGCACCTCTTAACCCTCAAAATTAACCCTTAAATCACTTTAATACCTAAGATTCAGCTAACATCCCCCCTATAATGATGCTCTTATATAAGAGCTTTTAGGTTTATATTTAAGCTTTTTCTTCACAAATCTTACCTTAAGATTTGGCTAAGAGCCCATGGATAATGGTGGTCTAAGGTTGGTAGAATATTTCCCTCTTTTAGATGAGATCATAGTCGATTGAATCTTTTTCTTATAAAGTGTAAAATGCTTATTTATAGTATTTATCTGTATCATGTTCGAATACCGGATGACCAACTAAGGTCCATGACAAATATTTGTAATCTAGTGATTTTTAAGCATCTTCTCATTCGTGTGCAAGTTAATTGTTGGAAAAAAAAAGTTTATAACAATAAATGATTTCTATATTTTTAGTTATTTTATCTTAAACCAAACTAATCACCATCATTTCAACAAAAAACAACCTAACTAAACCCGAATGATCCAACAATATTCAGAAGAAAATGGACCGAACTAAATCTATGACTAGGCCTAATAGCAAACCTTTATCGTCGGTTAACTTCACATTGTTCTTGTAGCCAAAGAAATAAAATAAAAAATTGTCAACAACAAAAACATATTTTAATGAAACTATTATCAACCTATATTTTTATAAAATTATTTTAAATGTCACGTCAGCATATCTTGTATATCCTATGGTATTAGATGGCACGTCGTGTATAGAGTTCACAACTTCATCAAATTAAATTGGTTTAAAATTCAATTTGCCACATAAATCCAAATTGAAAAAGCTGTTGGACTAAATTAAATCGCCATTAATCAACTTTAAATATGTCAACAAAACTTTATAGTTAATACCCGATCGATCTTGCAGTTCAAATACAAATTCAACGGCTCTGATGGCATTACCACATCTTAAACAACATGCACCGTCACACATGTGATTTTATCTCAATATCCCTCTCGCACGATCTTTATTTTTCCCTCTTCTGATTTTTTATACAATTTTTTTTTTCTCGTTTTATGTTTGAGAAATCTCTTAAGCATTTATTGATTTTTATTTTCCAGCTTAAATTTTGAAACGGTGAAAATTTTACAGAGAGAGAGAGAAGAATCTTGAAACTATCAAACATTTTGAATTCTATCCTCTTAGCTCAGCTGAAATTTTCTTCTTCTTAGCTTCAGATTTTTTCATTCTTCGAGCTGTGAGTTTCTGATCGTTGAGGGACTCTGTTTAGTTTCCGAGAAAATCTGCATAAATTTTCCCGGAGAATTAAACCTCGCATTAGGAAAATTTTGGCTCTATACTGAAAAAATGCCAAGCATTAGAGCTCCAGCTGCGAAGAAGACCACTACACTGACGGTTAGCTCTTCGTTAATCCTCGTAGAAAATTTCCGGTTTAATTCCTCTGAATTTTTTTTGACCGGTTAAATTCTCTGTGTTTTCCGGTAGGTTGCTGTGAAATGTAGACCGTTAATGGAGAAAGAACGTGGTAGAGACATTGTTCGAGTGAATAACTCTAAGGTCTCTTTGATTTTCACAGTTTCTGATTTCTCTCACCGTTTCGATTTGAAAATTTCGCCCTAATTTTTGTTTTCGATTTCAGGAAGTGATTGTGTTGGACCCGGACTTATCCAAGGATTATCTTGATCGAATTCAGAATCGGACTAAAGAGAAGAAATATTGTTTTGATCATGCATTTGGACCTGAGAGCACGAACAAGGTTCGTCTCTCTGGAATTGTGATTCCTAGAATCTCTGAATATTGTTTATAGTGTGTATGTGACTTTTTTGTGTAAGTGAATGAAGTTGTGGGATATTTTGACTTGTGGTTTAAGGTTTGTGTTTTTGTATGTAGAGCTACGAATAATGAATCTAAACATGTATTGGTTTTCAGAATGTATATAGGAGTATGTCTTCTGTGATCTCTAGTGTTGTTCATGGACTCAATGCTACAGTGTTTGCTTATGGTTCCACTGGAAGGTATGCAGTTATGTAAATGATCTTCTATATTATTTAGCATATTCGAGTTGCAAAAGCGACAAGAACATTACCAGGAAATTTTTTGTTATCTGACTCTAAGGTGTAATTTTGTTTAGTGGCAAAACATATACAATGGTTGGAACACGAAGTGATCCTGGATTGATGGTTCTCAGCCTGAATACGATATTTGATATGATCAAGAGTGACAAGAGCTCAGATGAGTTTGAAGTGACTTGCTCATATCTTGAGGTCTACAATGAAGTAAGGCTTAGTCTGATAGAATTGGTTATTGTTTTTTGTGTGTGTGTTCTTTCCATTATGAGTATTAATCTTCTCTCATAATAATTTATCTCGACTGCAACTCAGGTTATATACGATCTGCTTGAAAAATCATCCGGTCATTTGGAGCTCAGAGAGGATCCAGAGCAGGGGATAGTAGTTGCTGGCCTGCGATCAATCAAGGTCCATATTCTTTTCTTTTCTTCTATATGTGATAAGAGCATTCCTTAATGAACTGTTGAACCTGGTTTGCAGAGATCACTTTAAAGTTTAAAGTACCCCTTGTAGGTCTATTCTGCTGATCGGATTCTTGAACTGCTGAACTTAGGGAACAGTAGACGAAAAACTGAGAGCACAGAGATGAATGGAACGTCATCAAGGTGAGTGATGCTACCTCCTGAATAAGCTGTCAAAGTTGGAAGCTTGTCTCTTCTGAATCTCTAGATCTCAGAGCAAAATGTTTTTTTTTTTCCGAGTAATTTCCTACACTGTAATGGAAACATTCTTGTATATGTCCTGAAAATGAACTAGTGGTGGCCTATTACCTATATGAATTTCCCTGTCAATTTCCAGATCCCATGCAGTTCTGGAGATTGCAGTGAAAAGAAGGCAAAAGAATCAAAATCAAGTCATGAGAGGGAAACTCGCCCTTGTAGATCTTGCTGGCAGTGAAAGAGCTGCTGAGACGAACAACGGAGGTCAAAAACTGAGGGATGGAGCTAATATTAATCGCTCACTCCTTGCACTAGCAAATTGCATAAATGCTTTGGGGAAGCAACACAAGAAGGGTCTTGCTTATGTCCCATACAGAAACAGGTATGAGTGGAGATATGATCTTTCTGTCTTAGATTAGTAGTCTCTTTTGGCTGACAGACATACTAATTTCAGCAAACTTACGCGGATTCTTAAAGATGGTCTGAGTGGGAACTCCCAGACAGTGATGGTTGCAACTATATCACCTGCTGATAGTCAGTATCATCATACTGTGAACACATTGAAATATGCTGACAGAGCAAAAGAGATTAAGACACACATTCAGGTGAAATTTTCATTTGAATAATTGTAGACCACGAGATTGTTAATTGGTCCAGAAGTACTTACTATTCACTTTTCATGGATTTTAGAAAAATATTGGTACCATTGACACTCATATGTCAGACTACCAACGAATGATCGACAATCTTCAAGTAAGTTAAATACTTTGATCTACTTTTGGTTACAAAATGATAGTAGTATATAACTCAGACTTTGGTTTCATAGAGTGAGGTTTCTCAGCTGAAGAAACAGCTAGCAGAAAAGGAGTCACAGTTAAGTATCAAACCTTTTGAAAGAGGTGTTGAACGTGAACTTTCGTGGTTGGATGGTTTAAGCCACCAGATCAGTGAAAATGTGCAAGACCGTATAAACCTACAGAAGGCTTTATTTGAGCTTGAGGAAACTAACCTGAGAAACCGCACTGAACTTCAGCATCTCGATGATGCTATTGCGAAACAGGTTAGGTGATCAAACTTTTGCTAACCCATGGTCAATATATTGCGTTACTGTAACTCTTCTTTGTTTTATAGGCGACAGAGAAAGATGTTGTCGAAGCTCTAAGTAGCAGAAGACAAGTTATACTTGATAATATCCGCGACAATGATGAAGCCGGTGTTAACTACCAGAGAGTACTAAACCTTTTTCTTTATCATATGTATCAACTTTGCACTTCATCAGTGTCATTGCTTATTATCCTTATTATTTTTGTTTTTACAGGATATTGAAGAAAATGAAAAACATCGTTGCAAACTACAGGATATGCTCAATGAAGCAATAAATAACAACGGAAACAAAACTTACCTGCATATTCTTAATCAGTATAAGCTCCTGGTGAGTAGATTATACAAAGCAATGCCTTATTTTCTTGACAGTGAAGTTCCTACATTACTGATTCACATTGATTGTTGTTTTTAATATATCTAGGGGATGGGTAATACTGAACTACAGTTTGAAATGGCAATGAGGGACCAAATCATTTACAACCAAAGGGAAGCCCAGAGAAACCTATGGAATTTGCTCATGGGTTTAGGAGTTGAAGAGAAACAAGTGTTCGATCTCGCTGCAAAACAAGGAATCACAATCGAAGACTGGAGTAGTATGGCGTCGTTTCCAGGACTTCCTTACCGGAAACAGACACCGAGTTTCATACCTGCAAACATCCCTTTCGTGGGACACTCATATTCTAAATCCTCATGCACGTTCCAGAGCTATCAAGACCCTTCTTCTAAAGGACAACAATGGGCTCCAACTCCTACTTTATGTAGAGAGGAACACCACAGCTCTTACTACTTCATGGGACAGGAGCCACCTGCATTTGTCAATCTTAGGAAAAGCCACGATGGTTGGGTTGGTGGCAGCAGACCAGCTTCACGGATCGACACAGGAGGCAATCAGCGTCGAGTCTCATATCCACAAACTGTGAACAATTCTTCTCCTCGGATGGCCCCTTCGCATTTGGGTCCCGCTTTTTACCAGACTCCTCAAAGGGTACGTATGAAAACAGTTCCATTTCTTCTTCCATTTTTCAAGTTAAACCTAACTATGATGATACAGCTACTCTGAACCTCACTTGTTTGGCTAGTAAAACAACATTCTTTATGTTCTGATTGCAAAATCTGATTAACCAGGAAATGTTGGTCAACACAACAAGTCCTTATAGTAGCCCGCGAGCAGGACTCATCAACGGGGCCACCACTCCGTCCGTGCAACCTTTCTATGGAAGTCCTCGTGCCGTCACTGTGAGAAACGGTTCATACAACAATCCACGCATCCCCACTGCAGTTTCATCCAATGGTGCGAGAAACCAACAACGAGTGTTTGGAACGAGCCCACTTGCAGGAACCAAAGGCGTCAAGAACTCTTCGTATGGACAGAACAGCGCCACAAAGTTGTACAGAGGAGGAGTAGGAGGCACTAAAGGGCACAATAAAGGAAACAAAACTCAACGCCAACACCAATGACATGAGACCAAAACATGGGTTCTGAGGAGGGCACAGTTTTTAAAAACGCCTCACACTCAGTCTCACTCTCACATGACTCGATTTTGTGTGTGTGTTTGTACAGCAATTTCAACGTTATTGATCTCTTTCTGATACGATTGATGTGTGTATATATATATGGGAAAAAGGTTTAGTTAAAAAAAAAAAAAATTGTTCCGTTTTGAACCAAAAAAAAGCTCAACAAATCTTCAGGTTTTATGTTCACCGAACCAATTTTGTTTCGACAACCAAAAAAAAAAAAAGCAGAGTTTGTGCAAAACGTTGTCGTTTCAATAAAACTTAAAATCGGCAAATTGAGTTTGAAGCTAAAATCCCTAAGTCGACCTCCTGTTCTCTCCGCCGGAATCGACCTTCTCCGGCGTCCCCTCAGCTTCCTCCGAGCTTCGCCGACGTCATTGGCCACCATTCTGTACGTCTCTCGTCACCTCCTTCAAAAATCGAACTGTGGTTTATGATTTCTCTCTCTCCCTCTCTCTTCTCTTAGCATGGTCGATTGGTTCTCAATAGTCTGCTGTTTGGCTGTGAATTTATGATTAGTTCAGTTACGTTGTGGTTCCGATTACTTAGCTTAAGTAGATCATTACCTAATTGGATCATCGAAGCTCCTCCTGTTTGAATTTCCGTTTGATACTTGGGCAAGCAAATTCTTGTTTAGCGAGTGTTGTCTCTGACTTTTTCATATGGTTTTTAGCTTGAAACAATGTTACATGTGTTCTTATAGAATGAAAGACGGAGACATGGAAACGAGAATCGAACAGAAGAAGAAAATTTCCGAGATTTTCAAAGATTTTATGACAGGGTAAATTTTATTGTTTTGCTTTGATTCTCTTACATATATAACTACTTTCAAGTATTGAGTCTCTCTGAAAATCTTTGAATCTTGGGTTATTGTAATGATTATAGAATCACACAGCTTGAGGAACTAGAGAATGCTGCAAACAACTTTCTTCTTCGGTTTCAGCAAGGACTAAGTACGTTTTCTTTTGAAATCTTTCTATGACATTGTTTCTTATGAAATTACTGTTTCAGGTTTTCTTCAACGCCCTCCAATGGTTACTTCGTCTAAGTTGATGGAGAACATTATCAAGAAGAATGAAACAAGACGGCTTAAATCATATATAGAAGCAGAATGTATTAACATCCATGATGCTGCACAAAGCACAAGAGCTTGTAAGTTACTGATCAACTCTTTTCATTTAAGTCTTAAAAGTTATGTGAAAAGTTTCGTGTTTTAGGAACATTTTTCTTTTATGTTCTGCTTACATGTTGCTCCTTTTTTTTTCTTGCACTTCTTCTTCTTCTCGACTTGGTCTTCCGTTTCTTATCTGAAATCAATAAAAATACCGGAATAAGAAGTGCATACATCCCTATCAGGACTTTCTGACCACCTAATCAAAGGTAATGTATTAGCTACTGTTTCATGTCATCACTCATTCGCTCCCACTTTATCGTATTTTCCGTTTTTTTTTTCTATAAGCAATTATATCTTTTTAACCTTGTAAGATGTGAATGTTGCAGCCAAAAGCTTGTTAATTGAGCTGGAGCGTCTCACTGATGAGGCCTCTCTTGCAATTGAGTCTGCCACACAGCTAGATAAAGACTCAAGTAATGAATTGCGACAAGTTATGTGTGATGAGGTAAGATGTCAACAGAATTTGTTCTCGAGTAAACTAACGTGAAAAACGGTTTCAGAAAAGAGTAATGTAGTATGGATGTGTTTGATTTAGGAGAACGAGACTGCACAATTACCTCAAGGACCTGAAGTTACAGAGTACGCTGCACTTATCGCAGTAATTTACAGTATGATGAAGCAGAACTATGCGATGCAGGTGGGCCATATGAACCCTTCTCTTCATGTTTTATCTTTAAAAACCTTAAACTTACTGAATAGAAATGGATACTTCCTTTGCAGGAAAAGATTGTGAGATCGCTTAGTTTGAAGACATCATCTGGTGAGCTAGAGACTTACAGTCTGATGTGGTCATTGCGTCCGTTTGTAGAAGATGAGATTTTGAACAGAGCATGGAAATGGATTTACTAAAAATACTATTTTCATCCAATTTTGTTTGAACAGAGCATGACTTTGAATGATTTTTGGATCAAAGATAAACATCCGAAAATCACATACGCAAACCATTACTCAAACAACTATAATGGGCCTAGTTCGGCCCATTAACTAAGACAAGCCCATCAAAAAGTCTTTTTTTTTTTTTGTTTTTCCTGAAGCAAAAACAAACAAATTCGTGCGCAGATCTAGCTAGCAGCGGCGTCTTCGAATTTTTCGTGGCTGCGTTTAACGTTGCCACGAAGAAGAAGAAGAAGAAGAAGAAGACGAAGATGGATTACCAGAACAAGCTTGTCCTTGCTCCCATGGTTCGTGTGGTAAGTCCAAATCGTGAAACCAGTTCCTCGTTTTTGTTTCTTCTTCTCTCACTTCCGCCTTTGCTTATTCCGGGAGGTGTTCTGTGGTTTAGGGAACGCTCTCTTTCAGGATGTTGGCGGCGGAATACGGCGCCGATATTACCTACGGCGAAGAGATTATCGATCATAAGCTTGTTAAATGCGAACGCCGACTTAATGGTAAACACTTTTGGTGTCTTCCTCGTGGTGTGAATTTCAATTTTGGAATTGATTCATTTGGTTCTCAGATTCTATGCTTGCTATCATGTACTATGTTATGTTCGCTGCATTTTACTTCAATCAGCTTAGTTTGAAGAGAAAGATGAGAGATATTCAATTACTCTGTTTTTTGTTTGTATAGAGCTAAGCAAGGATGAAATCGAACCAACATTAATTGAGATCTATGCAAAGAAGTATCTCGGTTTTGATATGGTGCCATGTTGGGGTCTCACTTCTGCTAATCGAAGTTTCTTTTGAAATAATAAAAACTCAGTCAGTGTATCGCTTGAGATGATAAGGAGAGACTTAAACAAGATATTTTCTTTGGTGTTTCCCTGTTTATCCATATGTAGGCTGCTTTTTGTTTGTGGTTCTTCCTGATTCTCGAATTCTTATTGTAGTTCTCCCTCTACAGTTGCTTATGGGACAACTGAGTTTGTGGAGAAGGGAACAGACAATGTCCTCTTTAGCACATGTGAGGAAGAAAAAAATAGGGTTGTTTTTCAGATGGGAACTTCTGATGCTGTTAGGGCTCTAAAGGCTGCTGAGATTGTGTAAGTTTAGTCATATTCGTCACATAACATTGGTTGCAAAGAGTCGACGTTCCGTGTGTTATACCAATTTTAAAATTGAATGCTTTTGTGTCATCATTTAGGTGCAACGACGTTGCAACTGTTGATATTAATATGGGTTGCCCCAAGGCGTTCTCTATTCAAGGAGGAATGGGTGCTGCTTTGTTAAGTAAACCTGAGCTAATTCATGATGTATGACTCTGTTTTGCATAGTTATGCGTTTACTTGTCGATATTAGTTTTTCCTCATATTGTTTCTTCTGCATCCCAGATTTTGGCAACACTTAAGAGAAACTTAGACGTACCAGTTACTTGCAAGATTCGTTTATTAAAATCACCAGCAGATACTGTTGAATTGGCTAGGAGAATCGAAAAACTTGGTGTACCTGCTCTTGCTGTACATGGGAGGTAAATATACACCACTGTTGGTTGGTTCTCATTCTTTTAAGCTGTTTTAATCATAGTTGGTAATTGGTTCCTCCTTCCTTATATACAGGAAAATTGCAGATAGGCCAAGAGATCCTGCTAAATGGGATGAGATTGCAGATGTGGTGGCAGCATTATCTATTCCCGTCATTGCAAATGGCGATGTTTTAGAATACGATGATTTCTCTCGCATCAAAACTGCAACAGGTACACATAATATAGACTTGTTGAATTCAGATTCATGATAGTAGCAAATATCTCCCAACAATTATCTACCATGTGCTAAGGATTACATTTGATGTCGCTGTTTTTTCTGGGTTCCCGTATAGGCGCTGCATCAGTGATGGTTGCAAGAGGAGCTATGTGGAATGCTTCAATTTTCTCTCCAAAAGGAAAATCACACTGGGAAGATGTGAAAAAGAAATACCTTAGAAAGGTTAAAAAAAAAAAAAGCCCTTTCAAGACTAAGATAAATTTCCCTGGATAAGATTTGATTTGCAGATTTTGTGTATTGTGTTACAGAGCATCTTGTGGAATAACGATGTTAAGAGCACGAAATACACGATAAAGGAGATGATAGCACATCATTCTTGTCTTGAACTACCGGAAGGAAAGTCTATCAACAAAGCAGACACTTTAGAAGATTTAGCGTAAGTTAACTTCTTACTTAACCTTGCTTTATACTAATTACACAAACTCTAAATGGGTTTTTTACTAGAGAACGAATCTGATCTAACCAAACTGAAACTTAATCCACCAGGATCTTAACAACTATAGTGGCTCGAGCCTCGAGTTTCAACCAATTCGGTTTAGTTTCAAGTCTAATATTGTTGTGTTGGGTGTGAATATTTCAGGCGGCTATACGATTTAGAAGATTACTTTTGGACAGTGAAGAACATTGGTCCACTGACACATGACTTAAATCATGTTTTATGATACTGAAAAGAAAATGCCAACACTTACCATTTTCTTTTATATTTTTTTGTAATCTCTTTTGAAATTTATATATAGAAGAATCCAATATACTGGCCGATTGGTAAACAAACTGTAGAATTTTTTCTTATAGTATTGAAATCAAATTACACAATTGATGTATTATTTTTTTTTCATTTATTTTAATTTTATTAAACTCGAAATCCAAATTAGTTAAAAGTACAGTGACCATCCAAAGTCCAACAAACCACATTAACTGTGTTCTACTAAATTTGCAAAGGTGGTCTGGAGTTTGTGAACCAGATGCTCTCCATAGACAACTCTTTTGAAAACTCGAGATGTTCCTTTTCCTGAGTACTTCTCTTTGAAGATATCCAATGGCTCCACCACCGCGTTGAAGTTAGTCTGTTTGAACAAGATAATTAGAAACATGATTCCAAAGCCTAGTGGGGAAAACACACAAAGAATGTTAAAGTTAATTTACCTCGTAGAAGAATCCGACGCAAACACGGTATCGAGGAGAGTTATTGATCACTCTATGAAGTGTGGATTCGTAAACTCTGTTAGAAAGAAACTGCATATATGATTCAAACATGTTTCTAGGAGTCGTTGAAATGAAAGAAAGATTAGAAAGAGAGGAGGAGAAGAAACAAACCTTTAGCATATCACCGATGTTACAGACAAATGATCCAGGAATCGGAATAACTGGTATCCAATCGCCGGCTAAGTCTCTCACCTTTTCAAAGAGACAACAATAACTTTTTAACATTTTTTCAGTCAAAAAATTATAGAAGATCATAGTAATAATATAGAGATGGCAAAATCATAGTTATGTTGGTTCATTTCATCTATAACTTGTATTTCGTGCAAGTTTTAACAAATACCAAATAAGCTTAGCAAATAAGATCAATAATACCTGAAGAGCAGTTTTGTCATCATCTTGATTTATAAGCGACAACAAGCCTGCAAAGTTATGGTTTGTTTTGAGATAAAATATAAAATAACTTATGAATATATTCAACTTGATTTGAGTTCAAGCTTACTTACCATAGTCAGTGTGAGCTCCACTGTAAGTGAAAAAGAAGGGACGAGTTATTTCACTGATAAAGTGAAATGAAAGTTCGTTGTAGTAAAAGATGAATGAGAAAGAAAAGAAATTACCATCCGATAACATTTTCTTGGTTAACACCTGGATAACCAAGAATACGCATGATCCAAAAAGGGTCTCTCATCATCTTTCCTTCAAACTCATAAGGTGATCCACCAAGGGCTAATGAGATTCCCCTTAAGATATTTCTAGAAAGATCTGTAAATCCATGAAATAAATTAAGAACTTGCCCTCTTGGAAACAAAAACACATGTGTAAAAGGGTAAAAGAAAATATAAAAAAGGGTAAATCACCAATGCAGAGCTTAATATACTCCTCCATCAACTCTTTGTACTCTTGTGGATTATCTGGCCTTCAATGAAAACACCACAGAAAACAAAAACAAAAACAAAAACAAAAATAGAGAAATGAATGTGAAATTTCGTTTGGCCCTCTATCTTTTTAATATATTTTTTTCAGCACAAGTAAAAAAAAATCAATCAAACTTATTACCACTGGTTTGGCCCTTCCAAAACCTTTCCAAGGTCCCCATACTTCCCTTCATTAAACTCTTTGTAACACTATAAGAGAATAAATCAATATATCAGTTATTTAGAATCACTACTTGGAAACATAATTCAAGGCAATGGCTACTTACATCAATGGCTTCGTGCATATCTTGTTTCCCATTCGTTAAGTTTAGTCCAATTCTCTGATATCCTCTGTATAACTCAACATCCATGAATAATCTTCGTTTTTTACCCGAATGGAACATCAATTTTTTATTTTTGTTATATATATACACAAATGGTTGACAATTGGTTTGATTTAAATTCCACGGAAATTTCAATTAAAATTAATAATAAATATCAATAGAGATATATAGTAAAGAACTATTTTTACGTACTACTACATGCTACAGCTTTAATTGTTAACCACTAACCATAGTTTAGGATATATAACCTTCTAGGACCATTATTGAACCTTTTTATAAGGTGCTTGAATCGAACTCCAATGTACGTAGAAGTAGACTTTTAAGTTTTAACTATTGACTTTTAAATGATGATTTTAAGTTGACGATATTAATATTAAGAACAATACATAGTAGCGATCTAATCTAACTAATTGTGATACCAACTTTGGCTCATATTTTGAGATCAATGGAACAAACCTGTAACCACAAGCTGGAGTAATCTTGATCTTAAGTTTCTCTTCATAAGGAAGCTCGAAGAATTCATGTGACATCACTCTCACCTTCCTTATAAGATCCTCCGATATTCCATGACCAATCTGGTCCACATTCACCGGCCAAAATCAAACCCTTTAATAAAACCCACCAAAAAAAAAGAAATTAAAACTCCATTATTGAAAGTGTTTTTAACTTACTACGTAGAAGAATCCGGCGTCCCGACAGGCCCTGTCCAGTTTTCTCACAACCTCAACCACGCCGGCATCCTCAGCCATGTTGGAATCATCACATTTGACCACTAAAGGACTGATGTCTGCAAAAACATTGTCTCATGCATTTTAGTTTCCTTGAGATTTGATATGAAAAATTTGACAATGAGAGCGATATTTACTGAAAATAATGAATTTAGGGTTTCATATATCCATACCGATAACTGGTAGTAGGGATTTGAAGTGTGTCGCCATTTCAGATACTTAGAGATTGGCGGAAAACGCTTTGCTCTAACAACATATATATAAAGGTAAAAAAACTCTTTGCAATGAAATATTTTATCATAAAATGGTTTTATAATTTGTAGTGCAACTAGGTTTCGATACCCATGATATTAATTGTCCCTTGTGGATCTGTAAAGGCCAACCACAGCCGCCCACGTGGGAATGCATGTTTGTGGTTTTAATTTCTTTTCTATGACAAATTAGGTAGCTAGTCAAATTCTAGCTCAAAATTAGAAAGAAAAAATAGTGGCAAAACTGTAAATAATAGATTATTTTAGCGGGAATGATGTAAAATAGCGTGTCATTTGAATTAATAGTGTGTTATCTAGATTTTTTTTTTTGAAACTTTTTAGTTGCTTTATATATGAATTATGATTAGTTTGATGAATAATGTTCAAAAGTCAATACATGTTTAGATAAAAACAATTACTAAGATTGGACGAATCATCTTTTATTATATCACGTGTAACTAAATTGGTAATCCAATCCCTTGGGCAAGGTAGTAACTTGTTTTGTTTCCTAAACATCACTTAAGCATTATTTGTTTGGGTGTAAGGTAAAAATGTATCCGTTGGCAGTTTTCTTCATTTTTATGTGCAGAGTAGAAAACGGTTAAACTTCAACTCATCAAACAAAACGGAATCTAACAAATAACTAGAATGTGTGTTTTTTTTTTTAAAGGTTAAAAAACTAATTTCTGGTTGCTAGATTACATCTTAAATATGATATGCATGGAGCATGGTAACATATATTTTTTTCACTGAATTTATTTCTTGAGCTAGAATGTGTGTGTTTTAAACCTCGAAAGTCAAAATGCTATACTCTTAAAGAACATCAATGATTATTTATTTTCCGTATTATGTTGGTACATTATGATTAAAAAGCAATAATTGAACTGAAATGTAATACATGAACATGAAGCGTCGTGTCAGCTGCAACAAGTAGGGATAATACGGATGACAATAAAAAAAAATGATTGCTCTGCCCGTGACCTTGTTGCTGTGACAGAATCCAGCGACAGAAAATATAATCCAAAAGTTTCAATCTAACTCCAAAACCAGCGACGAAACACTAGCTAGGTGAGTAAGACACCAAGTGTCGATGGCATCGGTTAGGAGTGGGACTGATCAAATACTTTATAAAGGAGATGATAGCACATCATTTTTGTCTTGAACTACCGGAAGCGAAGTCTATCAACAAAACAAACACTTAAGAAGATCTAGTGTAAGTTAACTTTTTACTTAAACTTTCTTCATAGTAATAACACAAACTCTATATAGGTTCTTACTAGAGAACGAATATGATCTAACCAAACCGAAAATGTATTTCACCGAGATCTTAAGGACTATAATGGCTCGAGTCTCTCATACCAATTATTTGGATATTTCAGGTGGGTTTACGGATTAAGATTATTATATATAGGACGGTGAAGAACATTCGTCCACTGACACATGACTTACACTATGTTTTGTGATATAATGAAAGTATGTGCCTAAAACTTTGCAATTTCTTTCCTATATTCTTGTTATCTCTTTTTGAATTTTACATATAGAGGAATCTCATTGTTTTTACTCAAATTAGTAAATTACTAAAACTAGCCGATTGGTAAACAAACTGTTGAATTTTTAATATAGTATTTAGAACCAGTTACATTTCTTTTCCTTTATATTTTTATTTTTATTGTCGACTAGAACTTTATTTTATTTTATTAAAACTCGAAATCCAACTTAGGTAAACAATTACCATCCAAACTCCAAAGCCAACCAACCATATTAACTGTTTTCCACTAAATTTGCAAAGGTAGTCAGGACTTTGTTAATCAGATGCTGTCCATAGACGACTCTTTTGGCAACTTGAGATGTTTCTTTTCCTGGGTACTTCTCTTTGAAGATATCCAGTGGCTCCACCTCCGCCTCGAAGTTAGTCTGTTCATTCAAGATATTAAAGATAAACATGAATCCAAATCCAAAAGAGGAGTACACAAAGAGTGTTACAAGTTTTTAGTACCTCGTAGAAGAATGCAACACAAACACGGTATTTAGGAGAGTTATTGACTACTTTATGTAGTGTGGATTGGTAAACTCCGTTTGATAGTATCTGCATATACGATTTCGCCAATGTTTTCAAGAATTGTTAAAACAAAAGAAAGAGAGATTAAAGAGGGAGAGGGAGAGGGAGAGAGAAGAAGAAACAAACCGTTAACATGTCACCGATGTTGCAGATAAACGATCCAGGGATCGGAATAGCTGGTATCCAATCACCGTCCACGTTTTTCACCTTTTAGAAGTTGCAAAAAAAAAAAACTTGAACCATTTTTTCTATCACAAAATGATATATGGTTGTAATAAGAGTGTAGAGAATGTTTCAAAAAAAAAAAAAAAAAAAAAGAGAGAGAGTGTAGAGATGTGAACTAAATATGCAAATTATATCCCTTATTTGCAATAACAAAATGATGACAAAATCAGAAATAAAATGAATAATTTATCGCATGTATTTTTTTAATTACAATGTAAATATATATTACACATGATGTTACCAAACATAGTGTTATTTTTCACAACATCATATATCATGTCATATCACATCTTATTTACGGTTTAATTTAGCTTCGTTTTACCAATTTTGAAAAGAAAAACGAAATTTGGCTATCAGCAAATAATTAAAGCCCAATAATAGATACCTGAAGAGCAGTTTTATCATCATCTTGATTTATAAGCGTCAACAAGCCTGTGAAATAACCCGTTTGAGACCAAACAAAAAAGAAAACTATGAAGAAAGTGAACTTGATTCGAGTTCAGGCTTACGTACCATAGTCAGTGTGAGCTCCACTGCAGGTGAAAAAAGAGAAGACGAGCGAGTTAGACACAAATGAAGCTTGATAAAGTTAAAATGAAAAGTGGTCGTAGTAAAAACATTACCATCCAATAACATTTTCTTGGTTTACACCTGGATAACCAATGATACGCATTACCCAAAAAGGGTCTCTAAGCATTTTTCCCTCAAACTCATAAGGTGATCCACCAAGGGCTAAGGAGATGCCCCTTAAGATATTTCTGGAAAGATCTAAAAAACCCATGAAATGAAATTAGAAACTTATACATTTTACTGAGAAACAAAAAGGGGTAAAACACACCTGTGCATAGCTTAATGTACTCCTCCATCAAATCTTTGTACTCTTGAGGATTCCCTGGCCTTCAAAATAGAGGTCGCAAAAATACTCAGTAACAAATTACTATGGTGTGTGACTGGTAAACAATGTTTTTACATTTTCATGTTTCCAAAATGTCAATACATTATTTTTTTTATCATCCAAATTAATTCATTTATTATTCACATTTTTATTCAAAAATATATATTTACAAATATAAAATCGTTAATCAACTAAAATTAGCTTTCAATGGTTTTATGACAATTCTGCGGAGTCTCTATTCAGTTATAATAGTTCTGCTAGCTATATGATATTATGATTATTTCACCATTCTTATTCATATGCATCTTAAACGCACAATTTTTTTTTGTGTCAATCTCAATAGATTGTGTTTAATTTAAACTAGTGAGTTTTTCTTTGGCCCGCCCTTTCGTTCAACACAAACGTAGATGCAAGAAAAAGAAAAAAAAATCAATTGAACTGATATTACATACCACTGGTTTGACCCTTCCAAGACCTTTCCAATGTCCCCATACCTCCCTTGCTTGAACTCTCTGTAACACTGTCTTAGTCGTGGCCGATCCATAAGAGAATAAAACCATATCAGTTAGTTAGAATCACTACTTGGAACACATACATCACTCAAGCCAACGGCTAGTTTAGACAAACTTACATCAATGGCTTCGTGCATATCTTGTTTCCCACTCGTAAAATTTACTCCAATTCTCTGATATCCTCTGTTAAACACAACACCCAATGAGTGATTCTATCTATTATCGGTAAGACTTTGTTTTCTAGCGTGTTCAATTCGTGTTTTTCTTATCCGGAAACTAGCAAGGAATGTAAAACCAAATCTATTAATGTTTGTTTTTTAGATATTTCAAAATAATAAAAACCATTTTAACCAGCATTTTTATGACATATTTTGTGTCTGGATTTAATAATTGCACCAGCCAGAGTCAGAGATACTGTATCTATCTTCATTTTTTCTTTAAAAGTAAATAATTGCACCAGCCATATCTTGATAATTATTGTACCAGCCATACTTGTGAATAATTGCACCAGCCAGAAATATCTATATTTTCTTTTCTTTTTTTTTGTTAAAGTTGCACAAGCTGAGACTATCTTGTTAATTAATAATAATATATTGTTTCGTTCGTTATGAACATTGAACAAAATTGCAAGGATCGGTGATACCAAGTTAGCAACTAGACTTTTGTTCATATTTTGAGATATATAATATGGAAACAAACCTGTAACCACCAGCTGGAGTAATCTTGATCTTAAGTTTCTCTTCATAAGGAAGCTCGAAGAATTGATGTGTCACCTCTCTCACCTTCTTTATAAGATCATCCGATATTCCATGACCAGTCTGATCCACACTCATCAACCAAAATCAGACTCTTAAATATAAAATCCTAAAAAGAAAAACTCAAATTTCGAAAGTTTGTTACCACGTAGAAGAATCCGACGTCCCGACATGCCCTGTCTAGTTTTTTGACAACTTCCGCAACCCCGGCATCCTTAGCCATGTCGGAATCATCACATTTGGCTAGTAAAGGACTGATGTCTGCAACAACATTATCACATTATTAGCATTAAAACAAAAAAAAAAACTCTATCACATTAGTTTAATTAGTTTCCTTGGCATTATATATATATGGAAGCTTTGACTTTGATGATGAGAGTGAAGATTTGCTGAAAATAATGAATTTTGGTTTTGTACGTACCGATAACTGGTAGTAGGGATTTGAAGTCTGCAGTCACCATTTCGATATTAAGGAAATGAGAGAATCGCTTTGCTCTTACGTACGTAAAGACGATTTTGCGATGATATAAGTTATGACTTATGTCATATGATTTATATACACATCGAATAATTGCCCCTTAGGATTTCTAAAGGCCAAACGGAGCAGCCCACGTGGGAATACATATTTGTGATCTGTTATGGGACATATTTTTGTCAGTAAAATAAATGTAGTGATAATTAATATTCCGTTTTTTCTTTGCTATTTCAAAAATAAATAAAAAGTTTCCAATGTATATAGCAGCTTTAATGCTACGTCCATTGGTGAGTTGATGGAGGGGTTGAGTGTCTTTATAAAGCAAAGAAGAAAAAAAACAAAAATTAGACACCCATTTTGTTTTATAGGGTCTGACTGTTAGTATATTATAGAATAAAAATAAAGAGAAGAATTCTAATTTTTCTATTTTCTTCTAAAAGTTAATCAATCAAGTAAAAGTTGGAAGAATTTCTTTTCTTCCCAATTCATCCCAAAAGTAACATATAAAAGAGTTAAAACTTCACAGTGCAAATTGAATAATAAAAGAGTTAAAACTTCACAGTGCAAAAATCGGATCACCGTCCCAATTTTGTCCAATTCATGGGGTATCATCAATAAAGATGGTTTAATAATAATTATTAAATATACCTACCAAATAAAGAAATAATAATTACTAAATATTATACAAATATTTATCATCACGTGTAACTTAGCTTAGAGAAAAATAAGAATAAAAAGCAATGGGTCATCCAAATCCCGTGATAAGAGTTTGAGCATTATGCATGGTAGTATCCTTATCTAGTTATCTTTGTGGAATTGTTCATTCTTATCAGATTCTTGCGGAAAAAAGAAAACGCATAAACTCAATTCACTAAATAAGTTCGTTAGTTAGTCAACAAACATCAAAAGCATAAAGTACACGGCACCTCCAATAACAGTAAGAATGACACGTTGGCAGTGGCAGCTAGCACAAATTCCAACCAAACGGCCGCCGGCGTTAGCTTGCCACTACATAGCCCGGCCCACCCTAAGGTCTTGGTTCCAATTCACTTGTCCAGAGATCACATCTTTTAATTTAAACAATAAGATTAGGAGTATGAAATGCACGGCAAAATAGATTAACAAAGCATAGACATTATACACCTTGGATGATCTAGCATAATTAAGAAAATTTCTTAAAGTAATATACTTTTTTATAATTAGCACACGACTTATGTGATTTTTTTAATTAGTAAATAATAAATATTCTTGCTAGGAAAACACAAACTATAGTGCATGCCTACATGGCTGCATGGCTCGAGTATCATACCAGTTTGGTTTTGTTTCAAGTTTTATGTTGTTGTGTGTGGTGGTTGCATGTTTGAGGATTTTACTGGTTGAAAAATATATAGTATTTGTTAAAATAAAATGAAAATAAAGAAGATTTGTCTCGTTAAGTTTGATTTGCATTACCATTTTTGATACTTAAAAAACAAATTAAAAGGCTAAAAAAATTGAAGATATAATAAGGAATATTCGTCTTGATTCGAGTTCAATGGCAATTACACTACTTAGCAGAGTTCCCCTTGAATTTTTCAATGGCTTCAAAATAAGAAAGAATTTTCTTGCATACACTTGGAAAAGGGTCAAAGTTCATCTCTTATTTTTATTAATTATACACATTATTTTATTGAGCCAAATTCAATATTCAAGTTTCTTTTTTTGGCAACCAATATACATTATTTCAGTAGTCTAAAGTCAATATTGGTGCTTGTTGCATCTTGCAAGTATGGGCCAGTGCTTTTGTTTACGAGTTCGAGTGATCAAACACAAACACACTTAACACAAAGAAAAAGAAGAAAAAAAGTCAATATTGAAATGCGTAGAATATGCCTGTCTGAGTCTCAGAAACAAAAAAAAAAAAAAAAAAAAAAAGAAAAACAATAATATTGTTTTGAAAAATGTATACTATTTACTTGCATGAAAAAACGAGGGTGCCATAGGGCCCAATATTTGTTCGAAGTCCAACACATAATTTGGAATCTAATTTGTGCTTGGATGTAGTGCATGATTGGTTAGACTGAACCTTAATTTTATTTAAAGCCTCAAATAAATAATTTCTTTAAACTTATAACCTAATTTTTTTCCTTAAGCTTAAGCTGTAGTAGAGTAAATTCTCACAACCCTATTTTCTTGGCTGTAGAAATTTTAATTCATTAGATAAATACAAAAGTTAGAAATTATCTACATAAATAAATAACAAAAACAAAGATAAATTCTAGAAAACAGGTAATTATCAAGCCTAAAAAAGAAAAGAAAACAAAATGTTATACATCATACGTGAGCTTCCAAAACTCATTACTTTGATACCAAACAAATGTAAAATTTGTGGCTGTAAAAAAAACAAAAAACAAATGTAAAATCTGTGTTTCCATAGTTCATCAAAAATCTTTGAAAAAAACAATCATAGGTAAAATTAGATTTAATTTATCAAAAATTTATAGGCTTATCTGTTTTTACTAGGATTTTCTTAAAATATTTGTTGTTTTTATTTTTATATGACATCATTATGTATTTATTTAAATTACTTATACAAGACATTTTATTTACTATATAACCAAAAAAAAAATTATGACAAATATTACATTTACCAATCATTTTTTTTATAAATATCTAAATTAAAAAACTTACAGCTACAGTTAGAGTCCAACCTATATGCACATAATTGACTTGTTCTTCTGATAACTGACTCTAATGTCTAAGGTTAAAATCAAAATTAAATAGCCCTGGAAAAAAATAAAAAGATCTTAAACTGTATTGGGCCTAAGCCCATCAACGATTCTCACACGGTTTTATGTTGTGAAAAAATTGAAAAAGGTTATTGAAGCTGAACTCATCTACAGTAAAACCTCTATAAATTAATACTTTATAAATTAATAACCTCTCTAAATTAATAAATTTTTCCGGTCCCAAGTTGGGACCAGTGTAAAATATGACATAAATCGATAAATTATAAGATAATAATTTTTTTGAAAATCCTATGTAAACATATGGTCTCATCTATACTATAAATTAATAATTATATAAAATTATCTATATATATATATATATATATATATATATATGTATATTTAACCTAATATATATATATGATATAAATTTATATATGTCATATATGAATTACTATGATATATATTAAAATTATTATATGTAAAAATTTTAATAAAATATGACTCTATTATTCGAAAAAAGTCTGTGTTGTTTTTTAAACTTAATAATTGCTTCTCTACTTGCAAGGTTTTAAAAAGATATTGCTTATAAAGAAAATTTTTATTTTAGAAAGAATTTTTTTAAGAAATTACCAAATTAGAAAAATCTATCTATTAATTAATAATTATTAATTTATCGATAAATTAATACCTCTCTAAATTAATAAAATTTTCTGGTCCCAACATTATTAATTTATAGAGGTTTTACTGTATTTGCTTATTAGGATAGATTTAATAAGATTTTGTGATTATCTTCACAATTTATTAAATTTACACAAATTAAGTTTGTTGCCAAATAAAACCCTAATGTAGGTAGAGCTCGTATAAAACCAAACAAAACGAAACAGGTTTTATGTTGCAAAGAGAGCAAAACAAAACGTAACTTTCGTTCAGTTTTTTTTCTTCTCTCCCTCTCTCTAGTTTCCTTGGTCCTCAAGTTTTAGCTTTAGAAGCTTGAGTTTTCGGTTCGATCACAATGAATTTATATCATCATGATCATCTCGGTACTGCAGGGATAGATATGTGGTCGCGTTTTTGTGATTTGGCGGATAAGGCTGATATGCTATATGAAAGAGAAGGAGTATCCAAAGACCGCAAGAGTGTCTCAGAAGAAGAAAAGAAGACGAGGTTCAGTATTTTGGTGGATTACGTGGGTATGTTATGTGATGAAGAAGAACGTCGTATGCTTGGATCATCTCCCACAGAAACCAAGACTCTCTTTGATGATATCGAGAAGAGCCTCTTGGATCATCTCCCACAAAAACCAAGGTCTTCCCTTGAGTATTTTTTTACTAGAGTATACACACGACGAAACAATGAAACACTTAATAGAGATTCTGTTTCTTCATCGCTCTTCAACACGGCTGAGTTTGAGAGTACGGAGACTAAAAGCCCTCCAAACCCTAATTTGCAATCTTCCCCGTCTTCGTGTCTAATGGAGAACACAAAGCGCAAGAGGTATCAGAGAAAGAGTAGTGGCAAATCCAAGAAAGCAAAGGTTGATCCTTTATCACAGACAGCTAGAGAGGCGCCAGAGTGGCTTTTGGATATGATGAGAAAGATGAAAGAAGCTGAAGGCTCGATTAGGCTGATCTATAGGAAGACTTTGACCGCCAGTGACGTCAAGCCAAGACAGAGCCGTCTCTTAATACCTTTCAGTCAGTTACTCAGAAACGACTTCTTGACTCCTAAGGAGTCTCAAGCCATAGCCATAGATAAAGAAGAAAAAGCCGACAACAACAAGAATATTGGTATGAGAACGATTGTCGTGGATCAATTTTCTAAAGAGTGGGCTTTACGTTTTAAGATATGTGTAATGGAGAAGAAAAAATCTGGAAAAGTAACCTTGAACTACGCTTTGAATCGGGGGTGGAACAACGTCGTCAGTGGTAACAAATTGAAAGCCGAAGACAAGATTAGTCTTTGGACTTTCAGGTGTGGTGAAGACCTCTGCTTTGCCCTTGAGAAAGAGTAGCTCTTTTCTTTAACTCTCTCATATGTTTCATTTCTAGTTGGAACATTTTAACTTGGTTTTATCTAGTTTTCAATAGGCAGAGTAGAGGTTTTTGTTCGACAGTAGTAGTAGTAGTAGTTTCTTGCAAGCAAACTTAGGGTTTTACTATGATTGTGATCTTACACTTTAATGCTTTATTATTGCTCTTCTCTCGTCTATCACTATTAGTAACTTGCGCTTTCTCTTGCTTGCTCTACTTTAGTTACTGCATCAATAAATACCTATGATTTCTTCTCAAATCTTTTACAAAGTCTAATCTGGTGTGATGGAATTGATCCAATCGTGCAATCGTTTTAGGTAAATTCCTCCAAAATGTGCTCATAAAAACCAAAATCAGGAACAAAATTTGTTGCCAAGACAGTTTTTTTTTTATTTGGCATGTAATATATAATCTGTTTAGATTCAGTATGGAACTTGGAACGTTTTTAATTGTTACACGCCACTGTGATGAAACAACTAAAGTGCTGCAAAATTTACTGAGATTACCAACTTCACCTAATTGCCTCAGTATAGCAACAAACATTGTGATGAGATTAAATAACACTCGAGATTGTTCTTTTGCGCAGAGAAGAAGAAAAATTTTCTGTTAAAAACCATTAGAGGAACATCTGAGTTTTGCAAAAATACATGTTAGTTTAGTTTCTTAGCTTCTGTCTTTTCATAAGATTGAGAGATCAGAGTTTTACGTACCAAACCCTTTTGTTGCCAATAAGTGCTCATTAAATAAACGTATTGGGCCTTTTTACCAAAACAAAAACCATATTGGGCCTAAGCCCATCTAATACTTGTATAGACATTGTTGGGGAAGAAATTGTTAAACCTCTCTGTTGGTTCTATCTTCCTCATCGTCGTCTCCTCCGAGTCCGTAAGCATCGACGATTCTCTCATCTTCTCTCATACACGACGACACTGGTAATTTTGGTTTTGATTGTTTTCCACTTCAATCTAAGATCTGTTGCTTTTAGCTTCTGTTTGGTTTCATACTGTGATTTGGTTTCGTTTAGGGTTTCTTCCGATTTGAATCTGAAACCCAATCTCTTCCCTTTTTTCGATTTAGGGTTTGATTTAGAGTTGAAAGATGTACAACGGAATTGGGTTACAGACTGCAAGAGGATCAGGAACTAATGGTTATGTTCAGACGAATAAGTTCTTTGTGAGACCTAGAAATGGTGGTAAGCCTGTTAATGGTGGTAAAGGGTTTGAGGATGATCAAGGTACTGCTGGTTTATCTAAGAAACCCAATAAAGCTATTCTTGAGCATGACCGAAAACGTCAGATTCATCTTAAGCTTGCTATTCTTGAGGATAAGCTCGCTGATCAAGGCTATTCTGATGCTGAGATTGCTCAGAAGCTTGAGGAAGCTAGAGTGAGTCTTGAAGCTGCTGCTAATGAGGAGAGTGATGGGGCTGGTGATTCGAAGATTTCTGATACTCAAACTCATCAGGTTGCTGCGAGGAAGGAGAAGCAGATGGAAGCGTTTCGAGCTGCGTTGGGTTTGCCTGATCAGAAAGAGGTGGCTGAAGAGGGTATTATTGATGATGAGCCGATGGTGGAGGCTTATGAAGGTAGATTGAAAGAGAGGCGGGAACATTCTTTTTTGGATCGAGATAGTGGGAGGAAGAAGGTAGATGAGGATGTGGATGAGAAAGATGGTAAGGTTAAGGAAAGCAAGAAGCCGCGGGGGGAGGATGATGATGTGGATGAAGTGAAGCGTCACAAGAAAAAAGAGAGCAAGAAGAGAAGACATGGGGATTCATCTGATGACTCTGATGAGAATGGTCGTGACCGTAGACGGCGCTTTAAGAAGAAGGCTAAGGGGCGTAAACAAGAAAGTGAAAGTGACTCTAGCAGCTCGGATTCTGAATCTGACTCTGACAGTGATGATGGAAAGAAGAGAAGACGGAAGAAGGCTACAAAGAAACGCAGTAGAAGCAAAAGAAGTGTCTCTTCTGATTCTGAAGAAGTTGAGAGTGATGACAGCAAGAAACTTAGGAAGTCACACAAAAAGAGTCGCCCCTCCAACCGATCTGGCTCTAAAGAAGTAAGGGACAAACATGATGAGCAAAGCAGAGCTGGACGAAAGAGGCATGACTCTGATGGTAGTGAGCCTGAGTCTGAGGATATTAAACAACCACTACGAAAGAAAGAAGAAGCTTACCGTGGAGGACACAAGCAGAAAAGAGATGAGGAAGACGTGGAAGCGGATCATCTAAAAGACAGATATAGAGATGGTTCTGGTGGCAAGAAGTCTGCTAGAGACTCTGATGACAGTGAGGCTGAATATGAGAACAAGAAAAAACTGCGCAGTAAAGTAGAAGCTTACAGTGCAGGAATGAGCCAGAAAAGAACTGAGGAAGAAGATGTGTCCAAACATGGCAAGGACCAGTATAGAAGTGATTCTCGTGGCAAGAAAGTTGCAAGAGACTCTGATGACAGTGAGGCTGAGTATGAAAACAGGAGGAAGCTAAAGGATGAGAGTTACCAAAGAGGAAGGAAGAACATAAGAGAAGAGGATGAGGACTACAATAACCATGGTAGGGACAGGTATAGAAGTGATGATACTGTCAAAAGACATGGGACAATTAAGGAAGATGATAGGTATAGAGGTCGAGCCAGCGAGGAAGAAGACAGCGATAAAGGAGATGATGACAGGGGTAGATACAGACCGAGACGTGAATCTGTTAAGGACGATGAGGAAGAGTATAAGCATGGGAGAGACAGGTACAGAGGTGATGAGGACAGGTACAGAGGTGATGAGGACAGGTACAGAGGTGATGCAAGACGTGCAACGGGTAAAGAAGATGATGATAGAGTAAGCAGAGAGCGTGAATACTCAAACAAGGGTCGAAGTCGTTACGATGATGGCCGATCAAGTGGCAAGAGATCCTCCCGTGGTGATGATAGAGCTTGATGATTATGTTTCATCTGTGTGTCTTCTTTTAAGTTTCTTAAATGTTTGTTGTGTTTTTATGGGTTTGTCACAAACATATAATCCTGTTTTTACTTTTGAGACATTAATTAAGGTTACATGTTGGTCAAATGTTGTCTTTTGGATTGTAGCCAAATCTCACAACACCTGGCTCAATCTGGTGAATTTGATCATTTTGTCACATTTTGAGATTCGAGTATTGGGACAATTAATGCTAAAATCTAGATTTAGCTTTATGAGTTTTTATTTGGTATGAAATCTCATGAAAATGGATATAAATCTACGAGAAATTGTAATAAAATCTTTAGTTAATTGATGATTTTCGTTTTTTCTTAAGATGTTTATATAATCTGAAATAAGAGAGCGCGGGACGAGAGAACTGGGTGAGAAAAAAAAAGTGAAATAGAATTAAGAAAAAAAAAAAAAGAATTCGCTGTGGAGAAGAAGAAGACGAAGGAGTTGAAGAAGACGGAGAAGCTTGAGCTTGTGAAGCTCTCTACTTGCTAAACTGGTTCTTGTATAGATTCTCAGGTACTTTCTCTTCTTCGCTCTTTTTTTTATTCTCAATTTTGTTGTAATTTCTTGGGTAATTATCACTGTTCCTTTCTCGATCTGGGTTTCGAGGCTGAATCGTTTAACCCTAGATGCGATTTCATCTCCTTGAGTTTGCATTTTTGATTAGGTTTTTTTTTTCCTTGAAACGCCGTGATAATTTCCAAATTTTCGTTAAATCGGAATTGTTAACAATGTTGGTGTGTTTCGGTTTTCTAGGGTTTTCGATTGTTACTGGGGAAATTTTGGTGGTGGTGACACAATGAGTAAACCTAACACCCGAAACAAGAACAAAAGGCAAAGACCAGACGCTGTTGATTCTTCTTCTCAGATTCTCCGGTACGATAACAAGACTCACCTTAGCTTTTCACAAAACTAGTATCTTTTTTTTTTTGTTAAAAATGCTTTCTTTTTGCAGGAAAATTCACGAGGCTAATGATGTAACTGATGATGACATAAACCAACTTTTCATGATATGGAAGCCAGTTTGTCAAGGTTGTCGTGTAAACACTCGTGACAATCCTAACTGCTTTTGTGGGTTGGTTCCACCGGTTAATGGAAGCCGGAAATCGGGTTTGTGGCAGAAAACGTCTGAAGTTATTCAGTCTCTTGGTCCAGATCCGACCTTGGACCGTCGTGATTCTGACTCTACACCGGCTGGTCTGACCAATTTGGGTGCTACTTGTTATGCCAACAGTATACTTCAGTGTTTGTACATGAATACTGCTTTCCGAGAAGGAGTTTTTTCTGTTGAGGTTGATGTCTTGAAACAGTATCCAGTTTTGGATCAGATTGCTCGGCTTTTTGCACAATTGCATGCTAGCAAAAAGTCTTTTGTTGATTCAGATGCTTTTGTGAAGACGTTGGAGTTGGATAATGGGGTTCAACAGGATACCCATGAGTTCTTGACATTGCTTCTCTCCTTGCTTGAGCGTTGCTTACGCCATTCTGGAGTTTACAAAGCCAAAACAATAGTTCAAGATCTCTTCAGTGGTAGTGTCTCGCATGTGACCACGTAAGATTGAGCTTTTTTTTTTAGGAAGATTTATATGGTTTTTAAGGCAAATTAGTATCTATGTCTGAGTTACTTATGTGCAAATGTGATGAATCATGAAATGACAAATCATATCTGTTTTTTTTTGTGTCATGGTCATCCGTTGATTTTGTCTATTGTCTTGTAGGTGCTCAAAATGTGGGAGGGATTCCGAAGCTTCGTCAAAGGTGGAGGATTTTTATGCCCTTGAGTTGAATGTTAAGGGCCTCAAAACTTTGGATGCTAGTTTGAATGATTACCTTAGCTTGGAGCAGCTTAATGGCGATAATCAATATTTTTGTGGAAGCTGCAATGCTAGAGTAGATGCCACACGCTGCATTAAGCTGCGCACACTACCTCCTGTTATCACTTTTCAGCTCAAACGATGCATTTTCCTTCCTAAGGTGCTTTCCTCGATCTTAATATGCCATTGTTCATGAATCAAGAGAAAATGATCTCCACTGTTTTACTAGTCATTTTCTTGTGAATTGCATAAAAATCCAAACATCTTCCTGCATACTTTTTTTCAACGAGAAGCCTCATTACCTCTTGTCTGTCTTTGTGTGTTACAAGTCCTGAGGCGATTTTCTTGTATGCTCTCTTTGGCTGATTGAGTTATCGACTTTTTACTCATGGTCATTCTCATACCTTTTCCCTCCTTCTCCTGATACAAACTTGCATGTTTTTATGCTTAAATCTAATCATTATTTCTGTCCTATTTTAATCCTAGATAAGACCTTGTTAAAGTTGCGTAAACTTTTCCTTTTCTTTGGCTTGATCATGTCAACAGACAACAGCTAAGAAGAAAATCACCTCCTCATTTTCCTTTCCTCAAGTGCTGGATATGGGATCGAGATTGGCAGAGTCTTCTCAAAACAAGTTGACATACGATCTCTCTGCTGTGTTAATCCACAAAGGAAGCGCTGTTAACAGCGGACATTATGTTGCTCACATAAAAGATGAAAAGACTGGCTTGTGGTGGGAATTTGATGATGAACATGTGTCAGAACTGGGTAAACGTCCATTCAATGAAGCTTCTTCTTCAACTCCACAATCTGAGAGTAATGGTACGGCTAGTAGTGAGAATATCACAGATGTCATTCAATCAGGCTCTTCAGACTGTAGGTCTGCTATTAAGTCAGAGGTTTTCTCATCCAGTGATGCTTATATGCTGATGTATAGTCTTAGATGCGATAAACAGGAAAATCAGGAAGGACAGAAAGAAAATCCTATTGACATATCTAAAGGAAAAGTTGATAGTGTTCAACAGCTTAAAGGTGGTTATCTTCCGTTACATCTTTATGAATGGATCAATAATATGAATGCAGTATTCCTTGAGAGTTGCAAGCAATATGATTTAAGAAAGGAAAAAGAATTGAGTGCTTTGACTGAAAGGAGGCAAGAAGTACGGACTATCCTTTCAGAAGCTGCTGTTCAGTCACTTGAAGAACAATATTTTTGGATCTCCACAGATTGGCTTCGTCTATGGGCTGATACCACTTTGCCTCCGTAAGTAAAGCTCCTCATACATACATTTGTTGTTAATCTCTACATACATGTGCCAACTGCATTGCTTTCAACATACAATGCATTTAAATCTGCAACAAAATATTGTATCGTTCAAATGCATCATCTACAAATTATCAGAATATGATGGTGACTTTGTACCCCACACCAAACTTCTAGACATTGTTTTCCCTTTGAAAATTTGTATTGGTAAATATGATTTTCTATTTAGCAAATCATTTTGAAGTGTTCTTGATTATATTTGTTCTTCTATGATGTAGCGCTTTGGACAACACCCCTTTACTGTGTTCCCATGGGAAAGTTCTTGCCTCAAAAGTAAATTGCATGAAGCGGATATCTGAACTTGCATGGACCAAGTTAGAATCAAAGGTATGCAATGTGTAGCTCATGGGTTAGTTTCTTTCCTTTTTCAAGACGGAAACTTTATTCATTTCAAGTTTGCATCAGCTGCCATCTTTGTGTAATTGTCAGACAAATTTAAAGTTTGTAGATTCCAGTAGACTGACTTCTGTTCGATTATCAACATTTTTCTGATGCTATGTTATTATTTCTGATGGAATCATTTTCTCTTACATTTAGTTCAATGGTGGACCAAAGTTAGGGAAAGCGGACTACTGCAGGGACTGCCTTATGGATGGTGCTCGCATGGTTGTCTCTTCTGACAGTTATAGGGATCGAAGAACATTCATGAAAAGCATAGCAAATGATGTTCTTTCGGGAAAGTGTGAGGACGGAATGTATTATATCTCTAGAGCATGGTATGTATTCAAGTGTCTTGTAAGTTTGATGCATATGCAGATGACGCTTTTATTATATGGAGCACTTAATTACTATTATTTTGTGCGGTGTTTCCACAATTAGCTGCTTCTAAAGCGTGATAGCATGTTTCCAGGTTGCAGCAATGGATAAAAAGGAAAAATCTTGATGCTCCTACTGAAGCAGATGCGGGGCCCACAAATGCTATTACGTGCAATCATGGAGAGCTGATGCCAGAGCAAGCACCAGGGGCCAAAAGAATTGTAGTTCCAGAGAATTTCTGGTCATTCCTTGTTGAAGATGCTCTAAAAGTGATGCCAGAAGATGCTTCGGATTGTACTTGTTTCCCTGTGGACTCCAGCCAATGTTGTCATTGCACAGAGGAACTTTCTGAGGTTGCATGCCTTGAGGATTCACTAAGGTTAACCATGATTAGTAATTATTTTTGTTGGTCGTGACACTCTTAAATATTTTCTTACCTTCTATTTGATGCAACAGAACATTGAAGGTCAAGCAGCGCCAAAATCACGAGAAGTTAGCCACGGGAAAGAATATACCATTAACGCCACAAAGCCGATATTTCTTGTTGCCTTCTCCGTGGCTAGTGCAATGGAGAATCTATATTAACATGACTGGAAAAAATAGTTCTTCAGCACCAGAGCCTGAACGTCTTGATGGAGTAATTAATACTCTCAAATGCAAAAAGGTAAGATCTGTTACTCGGCAGTGAGTCGGTTTCCAATTTACTGGCGTTTGGATATTGTGGGGTAAAGCTTTATGTGGACAGAAGTGATTAATTCTAAATCAGTGTCCCTGACCACTTTCTCTGTTTCCTGTCATAGAAATATTTCGATATATGTTAGTAAACGCGGGTTTGAGCATAATACTAATGGTTTGTTCCTATGGCTGTTTGTTTCAGCACACACGACTCCTTGAAAGGCTCCCTGAACTTGTCTGCAGACGTGGCTCGTATTTTCAGAAAAATCCATCTGTAAGTGATCATATATACCGTGTGATGATTCTTAATCTATTTTGAGACCGTTTATAACAGTAAAGCCAATATCGGAATGGGAAACTGATAAGTGTTCATCACAACACAGAGAGGCTTCAACAAACACTTTTCATGACTCATGTGAACATAAATAACTTGTTTCTGTATAAGGATATTATTAATAAGAGATTAATCACGAGTAGAGAGGTGTCTGAGTGTTTTGGGACTGGTTTTAGAGCTTGGAAGTAAGGTGTCTGATAGTATGGTTCTGTGGTTCTGTGGTGTGATTGTCTTTCAGTGAGAAATAAAGGGAATCATGTTCTGAATTTAACAAATTGGTATTGTGATTGTCGATTCAGTTTACATCCTCTCTCGTGTTCCGTGGCTGTTTATAGTGTCAAACACAGACTTGGGGAATCCTGACTTTGATCTAATCTCTAGTACTTTTGCACCTTTTTCTAGACAGACAAGCTGACAATCATCCCTGAGATTGATTGGAAATATTTCTGTGAGGAGTGGGGAGGGCTCATGGAGAATGGAATATCTGCTCTTATTGAGGTTGGTAACAATACAGACCAAAGTTCATCCCCAGACATCATTGACCTTGAGAAGCATTCTTCTCCGGATGATAATATGGAGGTTGATGCTCAACAGCTTATTCTCAGGGCATCCCCAGAGGTATTTGCATTATTATCTTGAGCCCTTATTTTTGGTCAACATCTTGAGCTTGTGATATAATATTGAATGGCAATGTTGGCTTAGCATTTCACATTGGTCCATATATGAGGTTCAGATGCGTTACAGTATGCTGTTTTTTTTCTTAAAAGCTAATGTGATCATTTGCTTTCACATTGATTATCCATTATCGTATGACTTCGATGAATAGAGTCGTATTTAACAGGATCTTTTATTTTCGCTAGATTTGTGAGGAATGCATAGGAGAGAGAGAAAGCTGTGAGTTGATGCAGAAACTTAGTTACTCTGAGGGAGATGTATTTGTCTGTCTTGTGCGTGGCAAGGAAGCTCCAAAAGCAATGTTAGAGGCATCTGACTCTAGCTTTGAGGTGGATCGGCGTACTTCAAAGCGATCTCGGAGAACAAATTATGGAAACCTGACAAGCCTGAAAGTGTCTGCGACAACGACTGTATACCAATTAAAGATGATGATATGGGAATTACTTGGGGTAAGATTCTTTTAGAGATAGTGTTTTTTCGTCTCAGTAGATTACTTGCAGATACACGACAAAACGGGGCTTCGATAATATATGCAGGTGATGAAGGAAAACCAGGAACTTCACAAAGGCACAAAAGTGATTGATCAGGAATCTGCAACCCTTGCAGACATGAACATATTCCCTGGCGACAAGCTTTGGGTGAGAGATACCGAGATGCATGAACACCGCGATATTGCTGGTAACAAATTTACCATTATTTGCTGTCTGGTTAGAGAGATGTCCATGAAAAAATATAATCATCTTCATGTTTGAACAGATGAGTTATGCGATAAGAAGACAGGAGCTCAAGATATCGAAGAAGGGTTTCGAGGGACTCTATTGACTGGGAATATCTCTTCTGAAGCCTGCTAGAAATTGTAATTTGAGATCAGAGTGTAAAAACAAAATGCGTGAGAAAGAGTCATTGGCGGATCATCTAGAGGAGGTAATACATCTCATAAGAGCTACTTTCTCAAAACTATAATCTCTTATCTTCAGTGGTCTTATGTTTTTTGTGTTTCTCAGTAGCTGTGCAGGAGACGGATGACACATTTTTTGGGTCAGTTTTTTGTAAAGGCAGGCAAGGCAAGGCTTTGGAGCTTCATTTTGTGTAAAAAACAAACGCTATGATTTGGAAAAAGCTTTTGCACAAGCTGAATTTGTGTAGATTCAAAGGCTTATTGTGGATGGCTATATTTAAAGCTGACTTTTGTGTGTGTATTTTTTTAGTGTACTCTTTATCTTAACGGGCGTTGCGTTTTAAACTCTTCTCTCTCTCTAGTTGAAGCTAATGTCTTAAATACCGTTTTGTGCTGCTCATCTTGTGACTTTAAACCCATATATAGATTGTTATCACAATAGGAACTATCATATATTCCATGTTTCATATAGAAAGAGGTCCTGATGAGAAAACAAATCATTGATCAACAACAGCAAAACCCTCTATAAATTTCACTACTTCATAATGAAATGATTCAAATTTTATTAGTTTTTATGTGCATATTCAGAGGCAAGTTCTTTTACAGAAACTGAAACGTGATTGCTCTTTGGCATTTATACAACAGAGTTAAGTACTCGTCATCAAATCCATATTTACAAACATCCATCCGATAACTCATATCTTGATCGCTCTTCGATTTGGCTCAGTGGACACGAGTTGCTCCAGACCCACTTTTGGATTTGGAGAGAAGCAAGTCTTTGAGCTGTTTGTAGTTTCTCAGCTCCTCTAGTGCATCTGATGTGCTACGAGCCATCGAAAATTCAGATTCTGTACCTGACACTGAACCTTCTCTCTGAACCCCAGACATTGACGCCATGTAAGTGCTCGAGTCTTGTCGTAATGGCGGTGCTGTCTTCAGCATGTGAACCAGAACACCAACAGCTGCATCCTGTGATGACCTTCTCCCTAGAGGTAGCGACTGTGATATAGAGCTTGAAGTTTTCCTCCGGTCAAGACTTTGGCTGCACCGGAAAAAATTGCAAAATTTATATCACTTTATATTACCAAAGACTAAAAATCCCAAGAGGAAGTGAAATTGACAGACAAAAAAATGTTAAAGAAACAGTAAGAGAAAGGCCGAGTATAGAGTGTGAATGCCAACAATTTCACATTAAACAAAACAGCCAACACATTAGTGTTTTCTTGATGACATCTTGTCATTGACCAGCTCTCTGTGTAAAGATTTCAGAAAACTAATCCATGTATATAATATTTCCTTTAATTGATTTAAGTCAGGTAGTGGGATAAAACCTGTACTGAAGTCCTGACTCGTCAACATCATCGAAATCAAAAGGGCATGAACAATCAGGGTCATCCAAGTCGTCTTGGGAAGATAATCTACTGGGGCTCCTAGAAAACCCGAATCTTGGTGAGTCACTCGAAGACAGAACTCCTGAGAAGCGTCCTGAATCGTATTTGCTGTCCTTTGACAACTGAAGAGTAGATATCAACCAAACAAAAAATTATCAGATGAGGCAATACAAAAGATTGTGATATTGTTTCTGCATCAAGCAAGACATATATAAAGTAAGAAGCATAACCTTCTGGGCAGGGTACTGGTTCATTAATCCAGATGGAGACTCTCCACTTCTAGAACTCCTGTACAATGCAATCCCAGGCAAAGAGTCCTGCGATGAAGGGGAGCGTCTTGTGCTTTTGGGGGAAAAAGGAGGAAGTGGATTCCTACCTGGCTCAGAGAAGTTAGATGAAACGTATCTATTGAATGTGGCTGAAGAAGGAATGGTCACTGGAGCAGTCCCTGGTCTCACATTAATGCGTGGACTGTTACTCCCAGATATGTATCTTGGAGTAGACGGAGAACCTGATGGCGAAAAAGGAGGTGAAAGCTGGTGATTGTCACCAAATGCATCTGTACGTGACCAGTGGAAATCATGTAACCCAGGTGAAAATTGATGTGAGTGAGCAGGCGAAAATGATTGGTTAGGTGTTGGGTATTGAGCTGGAGGTCTGTGAAAGCCGCTGGTCCAGCTATGCGGACGTTCAGCAGATGAACCAGTCAATGGAGGCCGACCAGCTCTACCAATAAAGGAATTGCCTTCAACACTTTTCCCTGGAGAAGGGAAAAACCTCATAGGATCAGTTGCAGGACTTCCTACATAATCAGTTATTATCCTCGGAGGCAATGTGATATGAGCACCGAGATTGAAATCAGATAAGTCAGAACGGTAAGTAACCGATGCACAAAGACGACCAGGAGGTACTTCAACAGGAGCAAAACGAAACTCTTTCATTGTTTCCGTCACAGGACCAGAGAATATATCACTGAAAGATGAAACCTTGTAAATCAAATCATAACCAGAAGAAGCAAGAGAAGAACTCAGCTGCCTAGAAACACGATAAGCAGGAAGAAGCCGAGTCTGCGCATAAAGAGACCGCAACAGAATAATAGATTTCTTGTAAACCTTCTGATAACGCGTAGCAGACTCAGAACTCTGAGGAGACATAATCAAAGGATTCTCATACTGAACAACCCAACGCTCAATCACAGTCTCAGCTGATCTAACAGTAGAATCACCATGATGATCATCATCAACATCCAAAGTATCGGTTGAAATCGGATGAACAAGAATGATATCAATAATCATAGAATCCAAAATATTCCTATGCCAAGAATGCAATTTCTCCAACGCAGGAGGACGATCTCCCATAACAAGATTAAACCATTTATCACTTTTTCTAACATTAAGACCTGATAAACGCTCACGACTACGACCACGAGATTGCAACGAAGGGATTCTAGAATTGAGAACTATGTGTAGTGCTTTTGGGAAGAAATGAGAAACAATCTGCTCTAATCTTCCTATATCTGATGGCAAATTCTCTGGAAAATCCATTGTTCTTCACACAAATCCCTAAAATCGAAACAACAACTAAAATTTCTAAAAATATCAGCAGATCCGAAAATAGAGATCAAGAATCGTTGTTTTGGAGAAGGATCTAGAAACTGTGATTAAGGAAAAACAAAGCTTCAGGAGAATGTGTATCAAGAGAAGAAGAAAGTGAAGAGATAAATTCGATAGTTAGGGTTACCGTGAGGAAGAAAGAGATAGAGAGAAGCTTTATGTTGAAGATCTGAGACGTCAACGATGGCGTGAATGTGTTTTACACGCAGATGATGATGATGATGAATTGATGATCATGAACATTTAAAAAAATAAAAAAGAGTTTCAGAGGTAGAAGAAACACTCACGAACACGATTTGAGAATACTGTGAAATTAATTACTAATTAATTAATTTTATAATAAATTCGATTTTCGTGAATGCAACCAATGAGGAATAGCAACGCCATTTCTCTTTAGTTGAAAATTTTGTTTCTCTAGTTTTATCCTTTATCTTATCTTGTTGAGACAATAGGCTCTTGTATACAATAAACTTAAATATCACACACCTTTTTGGTAGAGACGGTGGAGTATACGCGCCGTAAGAGTTAAAACGCTTACTGTTATTATATGGGCTTTAATGTTTAAAAAATTTAGGCCCAACATTTATTGACAATTGGAATACTGTATGGAGAGTTGTGCTCGAATATAGAGATCAAAATCATGTGTGTCTCTTGAAATTACTGTCTTGTTGATAATTTAAAACGGGAAAAATGTCAAAAAATTCGCGAACTTTCAAATTTGGGACGAAAAAAACATGAACTTTCGAAATGTCATTTAAATCATGAAGTTTAGGTTGACTTTTGACAAAATAGTGAAGTTTAGTTTGACTTAGCCATTTCGGGCATGCCGTTAAATTTCCGTTAACCAAACGATAACAGTGTTAAATTTCCGTTAGAACTCTCGTTGAGTCCAAACGACGTCGTTATGAAAATCTGAAACGACGTCGTTTCATTAGAAAATAAGATGAAAAAACTGCATCTGTCGGGAATCGAACAGCTGACCTACTGGACTAATGAGAGGTGCTCAACCGTTGGGCTACGATAACATTTTGGTATTGTACCAAACCGAACATATATATACTAACAAATAACTATGTACAATTAATTAAAACAATATACAATTTATTAACAATAACAAAACTAAAAAACAATAACCACACATATAAAAATATTAAATATACTTCCATAAATATATATTTTGAAATTTTTAAATATTTAATTTTATATATAAAGATTTCTTCTTTATTTGGAAAATTGTTTTTTTTCCTAAATTATAAAAAAACAAAAATGAAACTTATAGAATATAGTAAATTAAATATATGAAAAAAAATTATACAATCTTTCTCACATAAATATAAAATTTATACAATTCTTCTCACATAAATATAGGATCAAAGATTGTATAAATTATAGGAATAAAGATTTTATAAATTATAGGATTATAGGATTGTAAAAATTTCAAAATATATATTTATGGAAGTATATTTAATATTTGTATATGTTTGGTTATTGTTTTTTAGTTTTGTTATTGTTAATAAATTGTATATTGTTTTAATTAATTGTACATAGTTATTTGTTAGTATATATATGTTCGGTTTGGTACAATACCAATATGTTATCGTAGCGCAACGGTTGAGCACCCCTCATTAGTCCAGTAGGTCAGCTGTTTGATTCCCGACAGATGCAGTTTTTTCATCTTATTTTCTAATGAAACGACGTCGTTACAGTGTTTCAAAACGACGTCGTTTTGACTCAACGGAGAAATCTAAAGGAAATTTAACACCGTTATCGTCTGGTTAACGGAAATTTAACGGCATGCCCGAAATGGCCAAGTCAAACTAAACTTCACTATTTTGTCAAAAAGTCAACCTAAACTTTATGATTTAAATGACATTTCGATAGTTCATGCTTTTTTCGTCCCAAATTTGAAAGTTCGCGAATTTTTCGACATTTTTCCCAATTTAAAACCTACATAATTTTAAAATTTTATTGATTGAATAGCTACGTCTTTGTTCTCTGTACTTGAAAATTTTGTTTCTCTGGTTTTACTATTATCTTGTTGTCTTAATTACAGGAGACAATAGACTCTTAATGTATATAGTAAATCTGAATATCACGCGCCTTTCTGGTAGAGACAGTGAAGTATACGCGCTGTGAGAGTTAAAATGCTGACTGTTATTATATGGGCTAGGGCTAGGCTCCGTTAGAATCGTTTCAATTCGTTATTCGGTTCGATTTGATTTGAACAATCCGAAGACTGTAATTTTATGGAACAAATCAAATACTAAAAATTGATATTTGTTAAAAGGTGAACAAATCACAACTACTAAAATTTAAATAGGCGGATATCCGCTATGCTCCGGTATATATATATGTACATATGTATATTTTTTTGGACAAAGCATGTACATATGTATATATATATAAATATATAATTATCTATATATATCTATATTAATAATTTTACTATTTATATATAAAAGTTTTATTAGTTTGTGTTCATCAAATTAATTATTTAACTATTAGTTTGAACAATTAAAGAAGAAATATTTTTTTCAATGAAATATTACGTATTTTGGATTCATTTTTGATATTTTCTATGTTTAAAAAAAAAATTATAATTTTTTTTTAATTTTCCAAACGGATCAGATATACGAAAAAATAGTTTAGATATTAACGGATATCCGAACAGCTAAATATCTGATTATTTACGAAGTAAATAACGGATTCGTAAATAACGGATCAGAAAACTAATTATTCTGATGGAGCAAAGCAGATCACGAATACTACTAAAATAGAGGATATCCGCTCCATGTCCAACCCTAAAATGGGCTTAATAGAACATTTAGGCCCAAAATTTATCGACAATTAGAACACTGTATGTGGAGAGTTCATGGTGGTGGAATATATAGTTCAAAACCATGCATGTCTCTTGAAATTAGAGATTGTCTAGTTGATAATTTGAAACCTCCAAATTTTTTTAATTTTATTGATTGAATATACTCATATAGAGACTACATATTTTTTTTTTTAATAGCATAGAGATATTTTGCACATTTACTTGGGTAAATTCATGTAGGCATGCATATACATACGCTACTTGTTTCAAATTAACGTAGGCATGCATTTGCATACTCTACTTGTTTCAAGTTAAATGTCGTTTTTATAAACCAAAAAAGGAGTATGTAATGTTATATTGTATCATTTCAAGATAAGCGATTCTTGCAATGTAGCTTAGTGTTCTGTGTTCTGTGTTAGTATTATCATTGTGTAATATGTATTCAAACGAACATAATTAATGCATGTTACTAACAAATGGATAATGTTATATATATGTCTATTATACTTTTATTGTATACTAAATTTTCTATTTGATAGTGTTTGTAGAGGTATAATATATGTCTTGAAAGTTGAAACAGTTAGCCTAGGGTTCTTCCATCATAAGTATAACACAATATTGATTGCGGCAGCGTTTTCCCTATTTAATAACTTGTTATCATGTGAAACAAAAAATTCCTTAACTTTCACAATATCACAAGAAACACTATAGTGATTGGCTTCAGACGTCAGCTATTTCAAGCCCTACTAACTCAATAATCAATAATGTAATCAATATACACCACATACACATATCAGACCAACACACTTTTCCTAAAAGGCTACGACAAATTTGTCGGATCAGATTTACATATAATTAAACTGAATTTGTGTAAACCACGGCACTACAATTATTGATTATTATATTTACATGTTAACCATGTCAGTAATTATCCATTTATCAATTTATAGTAGCATAAACGCCTATTAATTTGTTTATTTTAATTTTCAAACTAGTTAACCACATTGATAAACTGGAAATTTCGAAACTATTATTGTATAAGGTTCATATAATAAATATGTGAGTCGAACCTAAACTGTGATAGAAAATAAAATTTAAAAAATTATAATATGATAAAAAATATCTTTTGGGTGGTTCTTCAAAATTTTAATTTGTTTATTATTTTACTCATGGCATTCATAAGCCATGAGTATGTTTTAGTTTCACGTAAAGGAGAAAATATTGACCCAAATAAAAAGTGAGGAGTAAAATAAATACCAAGAAGCAAATACATTGAACCTGGACATGGTAAAGCTACACAAAACGCCTATTAAAGAACATCATCAAACCCTAACACTCTACAAGGAAACAAAGTAAACATAAACCAATCAACTCCTTAATTTACACATAGAATCTAAAATTAATTAATGGCGAACGGAGGAGGATACGTGACGGTGGCAGCGGAAGAGATGGAGGAGCTAAGGAGGAGGAACAAAGAGCTCTCGAGAGAAGTGGAGGAGATGAAGACAGAAATGATTAAGTTGTGCATGGCAACGAACGGTGGTGGCGGAGGAGGCGGAAGAGCGACTCTGCTCGCAGCTAGCGGAGCTGGAGGTCGAGTCTTTAGATCAGGCACGTGATTATCACGATCGCATGCTCTTCCTCATGGATCAAATCTCTCGTCTCTCTTCTTCTTCTCTCGCCGCTTCGTCGTAGAATTAAATTTATTATAGTCATGTATATATTTATCATAATTTATGTATAGTTGTGTATGTGTACATATATACGTTTGGTATACATGTATATGTTATGTTTTCAACATAAATTAAATGTTGAATCAATTTCTAGTGAATAATTAGTATTTCTGATAATTATACAGTTTGTTGAGATCCACTTCTAATGAATTAGTATTTCTTATCATAATTGCACAATTTGTCTATGGAACCATAATAAGAAGAAGTTTTTTTAACATGAGTTTCATGGAAAGTTTCCACAACTTTCGGATTTTTTTTTGGGTCAATGGAAACCATAGAAAGACTTCATGAAAATCTTATGAGAGAAGAGAAGGGTTCAATGATTTTCCATGGAACCATAATAATAGTTTTTTACGAGACGTAAAACATGAAATTGTGTAAGCTTTCTATTGGTCAAGGGTCATTTTCTTTTTCTGTTTCATAATTAATTATATAACTTTATTAAATTATATAACTTTATTTTGTTATATAAAATTCATTTAGCTCAATAGAAATAATATGATGATATGTGGTGCTGGCAAATTAAGAGGGAAGAGTGACATTTCGATTTTGACGTGATTCTGTTTGTTTTGCTATTAATTAACTGTTTAGATCATAATAATTTAAGATAGTACCCGACGAGAATATTCCATGCGTAGATATAAAATTATTAACATCTGTAATCTCTATTTTAATCGACAACGGTACCGGAATAAACCGAACCTGCCAAAGTTGAACCAAATTAGTATAAATTAAACCGAAGTGAGCCAGTACAGTATATGTGATTTGGGAAGACTAAACCGGAAAGAAAGCAGATACATTGAACCTGGACATGAAGGAACTCAATCAAGTTCAAGTTGTGTGGTCTAAAATGTAATCATCCCACGCTCCGAATTTGTTCATGTCGCAACTCTTTTTTGGCATTTTTTAATAATTGGGCAAAATAATACTATTCATGATTTTTTCTTCTTTGGATTTTTCTTATGCTACTTTATCCATGATTTTGACATCTCTTGAAAATAGGGATCTACCATTATTGGAATCGTTTGTCTACGATATCGACCGTCGAATTTGACTGTTTACCAAGCTATAATTCTTTTGATATCGGGTGACCAAGCTGTAATTAACAATAGTTCCTGAACAATTTTGGAAATAATTACATTATAGTATTATACAGTATGTGCCAATAGTTTGAGATAGCTTAAACTTTGGCCTAAATTAATGGGTTTAAAGAAGGAATGACTATATTGGCAGATTCAAGAATAATTAAATTAGTAGGAATAATCGTTACGTGTTTCATTGGTGCGACGGCCATTGACTTGGGAGAAGTAGAAGTGGTCCAATGGAGGCACAAAGAAATGGGAAATGACACTTATATGTATCTCCACGACGTTACTACATCGACGTGGTTGGTGAAGTCACCTATATGTATGATGTATCTCCACGACGTTCACCGGTTCCTAATATTCAATTAATTCGCATAATACTAAACAATGCATTTATATATATGGTTCGTCTTAATATGATTTTCTAACTTTTTGTGTATTTAATTATGGTGATGATGATAAAAGAAAGTTGACACCTTAATAAGCTAGTACGTATTAATAAGGAGTATAACTATAAGATATTTTCCTAATCACTATGAGCTATGATGAGCAAATTATATGAAAAGTTTGATAGAATATGAGATTTTCTCTTAAATATGTCAAATTTGGGATATAAGATACATATCTACAATAGGTCAGATATACAGTACTTGTACCAACATGGACATGTATGGATTTTGCATTTTGAATATTCATTTTAAACCTTTTTAATTAGGTAATTACTAGTATATCTAGTTAATATTAGTCATCATTAGTGTGATATATCTTTGTATATTTGGTTTGTATTATATATTTATCTATTTTTGTGTGTTTACATAATACTAGTTCATATCTAAATTATATATTTTCTGATAACGATATCTAATTTATACATTAATCTAAATGATTTTCTTTTAAATATTGCTTTAAGAAAACTTGAGATGCATATATATTCAATGGAATATTGTGGAAAAAAATAGATATCGCTAAAACGTTGGGATAAAAATCGAGTGATCGTATATTCGTATGCAAGTTCCGTGCAAATACAAGTCTTCAAAAATAATAATTATTGTGATGGTCTTGCATGATATGCTGCACCACGTGTTGTTACTTTTCTAAGGCAAAAGACAGACAATGATGTCGACAAAAAAATAAAAATAATGAAAAATAAGAGACCACGAGATACATTGAACCTAGACACTTTGCAATTCCAAAGACCAAAACTCAAAAGATGCCTATTAAAAGGATCTTCACAAGACAAGAGAGAATTTAACAGTTTAACACACAAAAAGCAGCAACACCACCTAAAATCAATTGTCTTCTATATATCACAATTCAACTAATGGGGAAAGGAGGAGGTTATGTGACGGTGGCGGCGGAAGAGGTGGAGGAGCTACGGAGGAGGAACGGAGAGTTGGAGAGAGAAATGGAGGAGATGAAGAAGGAGATGGTTCAGTTGTGGCGGCGGACGGTGGTGGCGGAAGAGGCGGAGGAGAGACTCTGCTCGCAACTGGCGGAGCTTGAGGTCGAGTCTTTAGATCAGGCGCGTGACTATCACTCTCGTATAGTCTTTCTCATGGACCAAATCTCTCGTCTATCTTCTTCCTCTCTTGAAGTCGCGCGTTGTTACAAATTCGTAGATAAATAATTGTATTTTGTCTTTAGAGCTTTTTATTGTGAGATCCAAGTAGTTTAATGTTAAAAAGATATGTAGATAAATTTGCATAAAAGATTACCAATTTTCATTTTCATCGTAATCCTATAAAATTATGTCCGGAAAAATGTTTTGAAACCCATGTTGGCAAAAATTTGTTTGGGGAAAAATTGAAATTATATTTTCTTTGATAAAACAGACATTACAGTATTCATGTAACGTTTGTGATTACAGAGACGTCTCAGAAAGTTTATTATTTCGTGGTCACGCTTATTGTTCTATTGAAGATATTTTGATCCACGAAGTTAACATTTTCCTTCATAAAATCTGCATTAAAACAAGACATTATTGTATTCATGTAACTTTAGTGATTACGACATAATCAGAGACGTCTTACAAAGTTTCTCTTCTTTCGTGGTCACGCTTATTGTTCCAAAAAAGAAGACGACTTTAAATCAAACATTAAAATAATTCAAGTATATGGAGTTTCAAAACAACAACAAAAATTAGGTAGAAAGAGTTTATCGAATCCCTTTGGTGATTGGCCTTTTGTAAGAACCGAAATTTATCGAATCTTGATCTTAAGCCAATCAACTACACATAATATAATCATCTTATTCTCATACAAAGCATATTCCATTTTCGTTTTATTCAGAAACCTATAATCCAATTCGATTTGAGACGAAATACTCATAAAGTTTAAATGAGAATCAAACATTGCTAATAGAAACAGAAGAATCTAACAAGAGTTCTTCCTGCAGTCAATAGCAGCTAAAAGTAAAAGGCATTACATATGATGTGTTTGAAGATCGTTACCATCAAAACAGATTGATTAAGGTGATAACCATATAAACAACAAGGCTTTACTTTCGTTTGCCCTTTATCTCCGGGTCCCTGTACACTCAAAAGAACAAAGAACAGTTTGATCCAATTGAGTAATTTTACTAATTCATGTTTTTGATCAATGGAATATCAGAGAAGTTGAATTCAAACCTCTGGATATGGTCTAGTATCATAAGTCTTGGTCCTGGTGGGATGTTCGCATCTTTCAGCGCGCTGGATTCATAAATTATTAACTTTAGTTGCTAACATAAACAAAGGCTAGAAACTTGAAGAGGACTTTAGATTATTACCTATCAGTGAGCAATGGCAATGTGGGATCAGTTAAAAGTCCTTTCTTGAAGTTCTTCTCGTATTTCTCTAAACCTAACTTCACTAGCATTGTCCTTCCTCGTGTGTAAAACGGATCTTCAGTGCTCGGTTTCGAGAATCTTTCCCCCAACTAAGTAAAAAACACCGGAAAAACGGGTTAACAGCAAATGCTTAAAAACCGTTTTCATGAGTAGAGTTTCCAATATCATCACTCACCTTAAAAAACACTCCTTGAAAAACAGCGAATCCCGCCGCAGTGGTGATTGCATTCATAGGTTGTCCTTGCAATCCTTGGCTCACCAAAGAGTATGCAAATCCAGATCCTAATGCAGCTACCACTCTACAAAGTTCAATTAAATCATTACTTTCTAACAATTTCATTCACAATGATAACCAAATCGCAAAGATTGAAACTTACGCAGATTCAATATCCTCTTTGCCTCGAATCCGCTTCATTACAGAAGCAATTCCAGCATTAACACCAGTAATGGCAGCAAAATTCCGAGCTTGGACCCAAGGACCACCCACAAGAGCCTACAGATTCACAAACCCTAATTCTCATACCTCAATTGGGTTACTTACTTATATGAGGATAGGGTTATATAGAGTGAGAACCTGAGCTTGTTTCAGCGAGGCTATAGCTTGAGGGTCAACGCCGGCTTGAGGCATTTCAGGAGAGAGTGTTCCCATGAGACCACCAATGAAAGCTCCTTGTACACCGCTCATGGTGGAGACGACGGCGGCTTCCACCGGAATCGACTGTTTCGACAACCACGTCTTGAAATTAGTTTCTACTTCTTTGAATTTGACCTGAAATTGTTGAATTGGATTCTGCTGATCGTTGAACAAACTCGCCATCGCCATCATTTCTCCGCCGCTTCTCTTCTGATCTCCTCCTCCTCCGCCGCCTACCACCATATCTCGTTTCTTTTCTTTCTGTTGCGACTTTGAGTTTTGTTTTTTCTTCTTCTTTCGGTTCTCTGCTTCTCAGTCTTATCTCTCCCTCCTTACCATTTCCCATTGGGTTATATACGATATGTTGGGCCTCACAAGGCCCATTTATCGTCTTTTGCCACATTTTTACTCAAATTGCTCAATATTTTTCTTATTGGGAATTTGCAGTAGAACCAAAACACCCATGGTAAAGATTGCATAGAGAAGCTTGATTTATTTCTGAATTTAGACGATGTTTGAAGCATGAAAGAAGCTCAAATAGAAATTTGACTTGTTTGCATATATTAACTAAAGAGAGATATTGTTTCAGTAGACGGAGCTTACTGGTTACTACAATAACAAATGAAAACGCGCATTGGATGTGTATAGATAAGACCGATGCTGATTCACCATAAAGATTCTCAAATCTCAAGGTACTAGGATGTTTGGATCTTGATGCTGATCTTGGGAAGCCAGTGCCACACCTTGCTGTTTTGATTCTGATTATGATTAGGACTAGATGGATCCGAGATTTGGAAGCTCCGTTCATCCTCTAAACATGGATTTGATACAGAAGAACAACAACACTTAGTACAGATTCGATTAAGAAAATGTCAAAGATTAATCAGAATGTGCACAGATTTCCTCAAAGTTTAAGAAAGCATTGTAGCAGATTGAAAGGCACAGAAGACTGTAAGAATATGTCATAATTTAGATATTACGTTGATTTCTTCATACACCAAAAGATCTATGTCATATATTTGGCTCTAAGTTGAATATAACCTCCATCATAATAATCAAAAGCTAAGGAGAAATGTTCCAGCCTTGTACCTTATAGCAGGTGACGAGTCAACAATTGATACTTTGCCAAAATTTTGGGAAATATTCTCTGAGATCCCAGTTAGAATAGTTGTCACACCAACCATCAAACCTTCACCTTTCTGTCATATATGATATAGTGCATTATAAATCCACCTAAGCTTTTTCTCACCAACAAAATAACATTTTCCGTTCCAACAATTACCATCACATGGGAAATGCAATATTATTTGATGTTTCTTTTAGCCCCTATTCAACTCTCTGGATATATTAAGTGAAGAACCAGACTTGTAAGTATGCTACTACGTACCTGAATCATCCTTTGTGGAATGCCAAGAAGAGCACCGACTTTATCTTTCCTTTCTTTCACGCAGTTCCATTGATGTAAGATATCATATTACTTTTTGTCTTCATCCGCAATCTTACTTTTGAGCAAGATTGAACCTAGTAACCAGGTGATAAACACTAAACAGAGGCTAAAGTTTGCAACATAATCGAACAAAACAAAGAAATGGACAATCGTCACGGGGATCTTTCACAAAATTTACCATGTTGGGTATCATTTCTTTCGACAACTGTCCTTCCTCTAATGTCTCGATCATCAGTTTACAAATTGCGCGTAGTTGCCTGCTGAGCACAAACATAGACCTACCTACAAAGAAAGGTTAAAGCTTTCAATTGTTAGACTTACTCATCAAACACTGAGAATTAAGAAAAATAACAGTCTTATCATTGTACAGAGAATAATGGTAACTAAAACTCTCTTGCATTGCAAGATTATGAAACCTGCACAAACAGAAAATAATTTCAGAACTTCTAGTGCTCATTAAACAAGGAAAGGAAGGAAATTGATCTTAACAAAGTATAGTTTACAATAATGTCTCCATTGAGAAGATGAAGGGGAATATTCTACAGGATGACAAACCAGAAATAATTTTGTCTTCAAGAACCTGGTGGAAACCTACACTGCAATTTTCAGCAATGTGACAAAAACCTGTCGCAATAAACTGACAGGAATAACCAATGGTATCTTGTACCAGTCGAAGCAAGCAAAACAAGATACAAAGATAAACAAAGGCTGCTTTGACACTGTGTCCATATACGAGGAGAAACTTAAGGTGCGCGAGGAGAATATCAGACAGCACTAGAAAGAAAGCTGAAACAAGCGTGTTATTCTACATTTTCTACTTCACCTAATAATATCAAAACAAGAACGTCCAGAAAGAGTAGTAGCAGAATTATAAAGTCTCTCCTACGTTAAATACTACATAGAGTTCAACAATACTAAGATAAAGTGCTTCTTCAGACAGAGAGCTAAGCCTAGTCTCTCTGGAAGAGCACATGGAATAATGTCTCTTATTGCATAGTTGTCCAAAATGAAAAAGGAAAGGAAGTTATTCTAGGTGAGATAAAAGAAAAGCCTCTCAAGAGATATAAAAGATCAACAAAGATCTAGTTCATCTCCATTCCATCTCCAGCTTGGCTGCAAATTGGGCTCACAGCAGCAAAAGACCTCTCGAAAGGAGAAGAATGAAACTGAGCATCACGCCGACGACGCTTAACACAACTTTCAGAGGGTTGTTGACTCTCATCATCAAGCTTCCTCCGAACTCCTTTAACCGCCTGTTCCTCAGCCGAAGAAAGCGGGAATATCCGACCACTAGCTCGGCACAAAGAGTTATGGTTATCATACAAAATCCTTTGGTTGCAGTTCTTGTCACAGACGTGAGTCAACCCAGTTAGTTTGCAACGGTACATATTCCCACAAACATTCTCATTCTCGCATTTCCAATCACATTTGTGACACGGATTGGGTCCATCGCGACCCAATAAAGCAGACAAGTAAATAACATTAGCAGAGCCAACCACATGAGATTTTCCAAATACCTCCATTGTTAAAGTTACTCAAAGCTCCAAACTTTCTTCACTCACTGCATAACCCAAGAAACCCCGAATGAATCACATATGCTATGGAAAATTCCGTAGCCTAAATACCAAATCGATCCACTACTAGAGATTATTTTTCCTAATTGGGCACAAATTTCAATCAAACAGAACTAATCGCAGCAGATAAATCGCATTATGAGATCCGACAAGAACAAGTAATGAAATAAGCAGAGAAATGAAACAGACCTGATCAGAGGCAGCAAATTTCAAACCCTAATTTTGACTCAGACTGAATAATTTTGCTGGAGAAGAAAGTATGTGAAGAAGAAGAAGATGAATTGGTCATTTAACTATTTATAGAATCAAACTAACTCCGTTACTAAAAACAAACGGTTCCACTTGGTCCTACCACATCCAAAATTTTTCCACTTAATTAGTATTTGTTTATTTATTTTTATAGTCTATTTTAAAAATATTTAAAGATTCCTTGAGCTAATTTAGTAATTTCTCCACAATTTCTTTTGTCTTTTCTTGGCGGTAAATGGGGAAATTCACGTGTCGATTAATTTATGGTTAGATACTACTTAAATATCTACTCGTATATTCCATAATAAATACCCTATTTATTAGGCGTGGGCAGGAAATGGTATTGATAATTTAATTAATTAGTTATTGGATATTTATTTATAGAGGAACACTGCAGAAAAAGGTCATAACCGTAACGGTAACGGTAACGGTAAGAAGAACGTGAAGTACTGAATTAAACCATACTTGTTTTCTCAGTCTCACTTTTTTCTAGACTCTTAACCATTGAGATTGAAATATATTGAAATTCTTTTTCTCTTTTGGCCAAAACAAAGAACTAAGAAGAAGAAAAAACGATTACAAATAGATGGCACAAGTCATTCATCACAAAAGAATAGCTAGACCTAGAGAAAGCTACCGAATATGTTATATGATGCCCTAAACAAGGATAAAACAAAAATACGTAAAATACCTGTTTTGCATATAGCAATAGAAAAAGTTAACGATGCTCAATTTGGAGGACGGGGTACCGAATCCATCCACCGTGGGAGCACAAATTGAGATAACATAATGATCGAAGTTTGATTACGGCGATTACGACGACGTTCCTTATGCTCCATATAATACTTAAAATCAGAAGTGTTTATGCGGCAACAACTTTCATCACTAGTCCAATTCTCCGAATCTTGATGATGAACTATAAACTCTTGTGTATGCAAGTTACCATATACCAAACACGAGTGTTTTCGACTCCATAGATAGATGATATCAGAATCAAACGGATTCATTGCCATGGGAAAACATTTGAAATTTAATCCGACATATGCCATGTTGATTTCCGGTGTTAACAATTGCCAATATCCATCCTCTAAGGTGTTAATATTCAGCCTCCAAATCTTCAATTTTCAATGGAGTATTTCAACGCAGATCACATCTCCTCGTGAAGTAGTCAAACATCTCTTAACATTCTCATTATATGGGACAGGGAGAGGTATAACCCGACATTCGGTTTCAGAACCATAGAAGTCATGAGCTATAAGGACTTTAGGTTCGGTAGGATCGCAATCTTTTTTCCACATATAAAGCATCTCGTCGATATTTACTGGAGCGTAATAATAGAAGGTCTCCACGGGACGAGGGGAGAGAAGTTGTTTGAAACTCCATAACCCTGTCTCAGAAGAATAAACACACACTCTCCATACATACATTCCCTTGTCTCTAGGTAATTTATCAGTCCCAGCATCCGTAATCATTTTGAAGCTTGAAACGGCACCGTTCTCAACACGCGTTACCAAACCAGTGGCCCCATATGGATTTGGATTTGGATGGGATCTTGGATTTGGAGGCGGAGGGATTTTAACCCATTGTTGTAAAACTGGATTACCCACAAAGTATTTATAGTTGTCCTCAGGGTGTTTACTGTACAAACTGATCAAAATCAATCCATTTGAAGAACATACGTAGTAATAATCACCCGGAGAGAGGTTCGGATACAGTTGAAAAGGAACAATATAAGAAAGTAGGGATTTGGGAAGACCCCATGTCTCGCATTTTGCGAAGCCAATAGTTTCTGCGATGTAATGACCCCAATACTCCGGTACCAACATGAGCGACCAGGAGGGGAAGGAGTTTTGGTGCAGAGAGACGAAAAAACTGCGGAAATACGACGACTCTATTACCGATTTTAATGTTTTACATACCGATTTGAATCTTGCGATGCTTTTCAACGGTAATCTCGCAATTATCTCCACCAACAACGCCTCTGGGAGTGTTCTTCTTCCTGTTTCCCTTGGGGTTTTGCTAACTCTCATCATAGGGTTAGGGTTTCTCATGACCAACTCTCTTCATATTACTAACCTTTTTATATGCAGTTGGGATTTTGTGGGCTACTTTAATTGGGCTTTTTACATTTTGCATTTAACATTAAATTGAAATCTAACTAAGAATTGTTTTTTCTACCCTCTTTTACTTCTTTTTTTTTGTTATAGATTTTTGTTACAATAACTGCTAATTACGACTATATGGTACGTAAACTACAAAAGGAGCAGGACTAGTGATTGCAGGTCAAATGAAAGATGGAGTAAAATCACAAGAATATAAAGATCAATGATCAAATCAAGATTTTGGTTTCCAGGGGATTTTGGATCTTTTAATGTTTTCGATATTATATGTTCCAGAGAAAACAGAATCATCAGAGATATTAATTCACACACGAACGTTCGACTTAAGAAATGTTGATTAGAAAGTTTCAAGAAGCAAAACTGATTTATATTTAATTGAATCAAAGAAGAATCATTTTGAGATACAAAGAACAAACAAAGCCAAACCAATCTGATAGTAGCAAATCAAATCAAATCAAGGTGACATACAACAACATTCAAAATACTTTCACAAATTTAATTAATCATCAAACGGTGACAACAACTTCTTTCTCTTCTTTTTTACTCTCCTCCTTTACTGGTTCAGCCTCGGTCTTTACTGGTTCAGCCTCAGCCTTTATTGGTTCAGTTTCAGCCTTTTTCTCCGCTTCCACCGCAACCTCAACCTTTTCAGGTGCAGCTACGGCAACCGCCTCCACCTTTGCTTCAACGTTTTCTGTTGCAGCCTTCTCCTCTTTCTCAGGTGCGGCTTCTGCAGCCTCACCAGCATCAGCAGAAGAAGACTCTTCGACGGCTGCAACCTCTGGTTGAACAGCAGGAGTTGTTTCCTTGGTTGGCTCGACCGGAGATGTCTCCTTAGCTTCGACAGAAGTTGTTTCAGTGGTTTCAGCCACTGTCTGGTTCTGTTTCTCACCGCTTTCTGTGTTGTTCTCCTGTATTAACCATACCAAAAGATCATAACCGGTTAACCCCGGTTCTATAACAAAACCTAATTAAATTTTGATATTTAAACCTAGAGATTAATTGTTTACCTTGGCTACTACGGTTTCAGACACAGGCTTGTTAGGAACAGAGCCTTCTTCGTTGTTCATGTCTGATTCCTTGGGTCTACTCGCACAGCCACCCATTATTATATTTTTATTGTTTTTGTGATTTTGGTTGGGCTTAGGCTGTGGAGTGTGCAAAAAAAATTACACAAGATTTTTTATATTTCTCTTCTTTTTTATTATTGTTGACCCGAGGATTGAGCAAATGAAGAGAACATAATCATGGTTATATAGATGAAGATGATTCCGATTTTTATGGAGAGCCTTTGGTATTTTTCTCTTGTGTGTGTTGAACTATTCAAATTGGGGATGGCTAAGATTAGAGTTTAACAGAGAGGTAAGAGTAAATTTAGATAGAGGTTTCTCTGTCTTTGAAAAGCTTTCATTGATATGGTCACACGTTTGGAAGTTTCGTCGACCTCTCTCGTCTCTTGTGCTCTATTTTTAGTCGGTCCTCCTCCTAATAATAATACTTCCATTTCATGGAGAAAGATATATACACTACACTACAGGAAAATCGGGTATTAATAAAATCGGAAAAACGCTACTATAAAAAACGACAGCGTTATAGAAAACGCTATGTCATCGCCCGCGATAATAGGTCTGTCCCTTTCGATAGCGTTTTTTCGGATTGCTATTATTAATAATTTAATAATAGCATTTCTTTATATGCAATTGTATAGTATTCAATAGCAGTTTATTTTTGTTATTAAATAGTTTATTTATAGCATGGTTTATTATAGCATTTTGTAATACTTTTGTGTATTTATACAAAATTGTATTTATACAGTATTTTTTTCGGTCAAATGTATTTATACAGTATTTGTACAAGTTATATACATTATTTTTGTTTAATAAATTTTAATTATATATAATTTATAATTTATTAGGTTTTTAGATAGATTAACATATTAAAAATCATATTTTATTATATTATACGAAATCATAATACTGAAAAATTAAATTACAAAAGAAAATTACAAAATTAAAAAGTAAAAGTACATTCTCAAGGCCTTGCACACTCTTTGATCACGCTTCTTCTCAATCTTCCCATCTCCCCAATAAAGATGTCTCAAGATAAAACTAGTTTTTGCTACATAATCAACCACCAAGAGTAATTAGATTCTTAGCCAAATACAAATCAAACACATTAAACCACAGAAAATAACAGTCTCAATCATATATAAAAAATTGATTCACATAATCTGCTTAGAAAAGAAGATTAGACAACCGATTGAATCTACTCGATCAGCTATCTACAGAAATAACACGAATCGAATCTTCTGCAAATGGTTTTAGCAGATCTGCAACAAACGCAACGTATTAACTTGAGACATACATACAGTTCACAAAAATCTAAGCTAGATTCACATGAAAGAAAGAGATCACTCCACCGTAACACACATCATGGCCAGAATCGGAAAGCCGAAGCATAAGTGGCCAAGTCCAAAAATGTCTCTTCTTCGCCACGCAGCCTCCATCTGTTTATTGGTCAATGATGAGTGAAGCGAATCACAATGAGGCGATCACATCCTTTGTCTGGGTAGCCATTAGTTCCTGTTCCAAAAACAGAAAGAAATCTCATGAATACCAATGATCCAACTGAGCTCTTAACACAAAGCAAAACCTCACATCTATCTAGACAAGTTATGTTAATCAAATAATACAAACCAAGTCTCAAGAACCCTAAAGTCTCATAAACATAACTTGATCAAATTCACCCTAACATCTAACCAAAACCATTCAGATTCTAAATAAACAAAATCTTCGTGACCTCAAGTAATCATTCAAACACTAAAGATTAAGACCAAAGCATCATAAACTATATCAATATGAGCTGAAATCTAAAAAGTAAAGAACTTGGCGAGATACGTCAAACACTTCTTAAGACTTAGAGAAACAGAATCAACACCAATTAATCAACAACACGATATCAGTTCATAAAACACTTATCAAAATCAATCAACCCAAGTACGAATCAAGCCCATGAGAAACCGAGAACCAAGTAAATCAAACAAAATCGAACAAGAAGAGTTATATGGTAGAGAGCGAGAACCAAGTAGTTTCCTGAGCTTTACAGATGACATCATAATCGAGAATCCCTAGGATGAATCGAGGTCACGAAGTCAGAGAGTGAGAAAGACGGATTCTCAATCCTCCTGATTCTCAACAGCTACTACAATTTTATTTCGATTCTTTAAATTTTGTAACTTGCAAAATGCAAAGATTAAGGAGGGGTTATTAGTTCATGGATTTATAAGGAATTAGAAATCCAAACAAAAATCATTTGTTATTCAATCATTGATTTTAAAATCTTAATTAAAATTATGTGTTATTGGTTTTATGATTTATAAATACTAGTTAAAATCTTATGTTATTCGTTTAATCATTTATTTTTGGATTTGAGAATCCAAATTATGTTTTAAATGGATTTGAATGGAATTGAAAGAGAAAAATAGAAGGATTCAAATCTATGGGTAAACATATGTTATTTCAAAATTCATATATATTAGAAAGATTTTTATAAATATACTAAATATAATAAGAAATTTGAAAATTACACCCAATTTTAAAGTAATTTGAAAACTACTCTTTTACTGTTAAAAATTGACCACAATACCCTTTACAATAATTTAAGTATTATTTAAATATTAATTTAAATTATAAAAATTAAATCTAAAACTAATTTTTAACGATATATTTTAAAATTTTAACTAAAAAACGTAATTAATTTTTTAATAATAAAACAATATGAAAAAATATTAAAAAAGTATTTACAATGGTAACTTTAATCTTAATCTAAAATTTTGAATTAAAAAATATAAAAAATTATTATTGATATTATTATTTATATTCATAATTTATTAATAAAAGAAGTAATTTAAAATTATATAATTTATAATACATAAAATAATAATTTAAATTTTTTCCTCCATATTTTTTTTAGACTTATTTCATTTTATGTTGATTTATTAATAAAATCGATTTTTTAAACTAACGACTTATTTTTTAATTCTGTTAACTTAATTTTTTGCATCTTCGATTTTTTTAAAAACAGTCGACTTATGTTTTGGCTCGTTGATTTATAACATAGTCGATTTTTTGAACTATTGACTTGATATTTTTGTTCATCGATTTATAACTTTTTTATGTCGACTTGTTTATTCATGATAGACTTACTTCATTTTACGTTGACTTATTAATAAGGTCGATTTTTTTAACTGACGACTTATATTTCATTTCCGTCGACTAAATTTATTTTCTATCGATTTCTTTTAAAACAGTCGACTTATATTTTTGTTGATTGGTTTTTTACATAGATGACTTTTTTAAACTGTTGACTTATTTATTGTTATTGTTGATTTTATAATTTTTTCCGTTGACTTATTTATTCTTGGAAGATTTATTATATTTTACGTTGATTTATTAATAAAGTAGACTTTTTGAACCGTCGACTTATATTTTATTTTAATCGACTTAATTTTATTTTCTATCGACTTATATTAAAACAGTCGATTTATATTTTGGTTCATTGATATTTTACATTGTGGACTTTTTGAACTACTGATTTTTTTAAATAATTTAATTCAAAACGATTTAATTTAAATTATATAATTATATTTGTAAAAACTATGAAAGAAATTTATTGTATTTAAATAACCAAAAATCTAGATAATATTTTATTTTGAAGAGAATCGACTTTTGAGTTTTTTTTTTTGTTTTTTTGGATATTATCTGATTTAAATATATCATTATCTAATTTGGATCTAAAATAATTAAAAACAAAATATCTATAACAAAATAAACGAATAATGTGGTAAACAAATTTTTGCTATAATATTTTGAGTATCTGTTTTTTTTTTCTAAATATGAACAAGTTTAATTTTAATTTAAAAATAATATAGTTTATATAACTAATTAATCAATTTATTTTATTTTTATTATCCGATTTTTTAATTAGTGATTAAGGGCAAAAATATCATTTTAGGAAAAATAAAGGTATGTTTTAAATATTTTAAAATTATGGTGTAGTTTTCAAATTTCTATTAAAATACAAGGTATCCATTCAAATTATATAATTAATAGAGATTTTCAAATCATATATGAATTTACAAATCAATAAACCAATAACACCCCCTATTTTGCCTTGTACATAGTTTCATAAAAGAAGTTTGATTGGGTAAAAGCATTTAAAGCACACATACCAAACTAAAAAAAGACATAAAAATGCAAAAAAATCTAAAATATTGCGAGAAATAAATAAAAAAAGACAAGTTTCCAAAAGTCAAGAAAGCGAAACATCATCCCAGGACTCAACAAAGTGACATGCACCGAAACTTCCTTTCCCTCTTCCATGTGTCATTATGTCATTCGTTATATGACATTTTCCCATCACCTTTTTTTTAACATGTCATCCACTTCTCACTTTTACCCCTGCATCTTTACTACTATTCCAAAGTCGCTAAAGGGCAAAATCGTACTTCCCTCATTCCCTAAACGCGTAACGTACTTGGTTTGGCGCGTGTACACACCACGCGCTGCTATCACCATCTCTCTATAATTCTTCTTATTAGAACCCCAAAGGAAAAAACCAAATCAAAGTTCACAATCTTCTTCTTCACTTTACCAAAATCATCGAATCGATTTTTTAGGGTTTTTGTTTATCTCTCTGAATTTTTATTGTTATCTTCTTCGTGATACCTTGGAATCGCATCTCTGAGATACATATATAATTCTGATTCGTATCTTTAAATCTTGGGTTCTTCTTCTTCTCACGATTCGTTAAAAAGCCGTATCAATGAATCAGAATCTTCAAGTATTATCAATGGATTCGTTACCAGTTGGATTAAGATTCCGTCCTACAGACGAGGAGCTAATCCGTTACTATCTCCGGAGGAAAATCAACGGCCACGATGACGACGTCAAAGCTATCCGAGAGATCGATATTTGTAAATGGGAACCTTGGGATTTACCTGGTACTTACTTCTTCTTCTTCATCTCTTGATTCATAAATTTACAGACTTTGCAGCAGATTTTTACTGGGATTTAGAAATGCTATAACTTTAGTTTCTATGGTGAATAAAGTTAGCAACTTTAGAACTTTAAACAGATCATATGTGTTTGACATAGATCACAAATATATCTCTGCTAATGTATAGTGTAAGTGACTGAAATTTGATTAAAAGATGTGATTTTTTGTTGTAGATTTTTCTGTGATCAAAACTAAAGACTCAGAGTGGCTCTACTTCTGTCCATTGGATCGGAAGTATCCGAATGGAAGTAGACAGAACCGGGCAACAGTTGCAGGCTATTGGAAGGCGACTGGAAAAGACCGGAAGATAAAATCTGGTAAGACTAATATTATTGGTGTGAAGAGAACTCTGGTTTTCCACGCTGGTCGAGCTCCTAGGGGAACACGAACCAATTGGGTTATTCATGAGTATCGTGCCACGGAGGATGATCTTAGTGGCACCAATCCTGGCCAGGTAAATAATGCATACTTGTAGATGTGTAACCATTGGAAAACTGAATTTGGCTATGTAGCTTATCATGTGCTTGTGTTGATATTTATATGCAGAATCCGTTTGTCATATGTAAATTGTTCAAGAAACAAGAACTGAATTTAGCAGAAGAAGATTCGAAGTCGGATGAAGTTGAAGAACCTGCTGTCTCGTCTCCAACTGTTGAAGTGAGTAAGTCAGAAGTATCTGAGGTCACTAAAACCGAAGATGTGAAGCGTCATGACGTTGCAGAATCTTCTCTTGTAATCTCTGGAGATTCTCATAGTGATCCTTGTGATGAAGCTACAACCGCCGAGGTGAGGACATTGAAAAATTTATCTTTGAAATTTATTAGATGATTGTCTTTAGTGTTGGTTTGAAAACTAATGACGTTTATTTCGACATGCAGCTTGTGGATTTTGGTTGGTATCCGGAATTGGAGTCCCTGGATTACACGCTGTTCTCACCATTACATTCTCAAGTCCAATCCGAGCTTGGATCCTCTTACAATACATTTCAGCCTGGCTCGAGTAATATTTCAGGGAACAACAACAACAGCTTCCAGATTCAGACTCAGTATGGTACAAATGAAGTAGATACGTATATATCCGAGTTTCTTGATTCGATTCTTAAGAGCCCAGACGAGGATCCAGAGAAGCACAAGTATGTTTTGCAGAGTGGTTTTGATGGTACAGCACCAGATCAGGTACATGGAGTTTCCTCAAAACTCATTTTATCATTTGTATGTACATTAAGAAAACAGAAATCATAATTGACTCTAATTACTCTACTTGATTGCAGATTGCGCCAGTGTATCAACAGGGCTCAGCAGTTAACATGAGCAATGATGTTTCAGTAACGGGTATCAAGATTAAGAGTCGGCAGGCACAATCTTCAGGTTGTACCAATGACTATATAGCGCAGGGAAATGGCCCGAGAAGGCTACGTCTGCAAAGTAACCTTAATGGCATTAACTCGAAGAATCCAGAGCTTCAAGCTATCAAGAGAGAGGTGAGAATAACACCCACCTTCTCATGAATTACTTGGTTTCTTTTGGTGGGATGTGGTTTCACGTAGCAAATTGAATTCGAACCGTGACACTAAATATGTTAATGCTACGCAGGCTGAGGACACGGTTGGAGAAACTATAAAGAAAGGGTGTGGAAAGCTAAAGAGATCAAAGAACGTAACCGACTTTGTGTTTAAAAAGATTATGTCGGTGAAATGTTCATACGGAGGACTCTTTAGGGCGGCGGTAGTTGCAGTTGTGTTCTTGACGTCAGTCTGCAGTCTAACCGTAGATTTCAGAGCATCTGCAATGCCCTGAACACAAAACTTTTTGTAAATATAGTGCTTGAACCGGCCGGTGTTTTTGCTTCTGTTATTGGTTTCAGGCTTTCGCCAGTTTGTAAGAGGTATTTGTTTTACATGTAGTTAGGCTGCTTATGTAAACGTTATGACGAGAGAGAGGTCAAGACTCTACTTACTTCTTTGACTTATTAGAATTCTTCTTACATGATTAAAGTTATGTTTTTTTTTTTGTCTATTAAGTAACATTTAAATTGGTATGTTCATTATGGCAATGACATAGCAAAGGTAATTTAGAACAATTCTGTAAATATTTGGAATACTACATATTGTACAACCCGAGAACTGTTGGCGAAGATGGAAACACTTTAAAACGAGAACTGAAACCGGTGGCGTTTGTGCCGGAATATAACCGTGGATGTTACCGGCCGCAAAGAACTGTTGGATCAGAAAATTCAGAGCTTTTGTCATGTGTTGGAGCTAATTGCGTAACACCCTTTGGTTTGAGAGGACCGAGCAATGAAACCCTAGTCAAAAGCGGTTACATAGACCGAAATAAAAAAGAGTCAGAAATGACTTTAAAGCAGAAGATGAGAAAGAAACTGGAGGCAGCAACAGGCCAACAGCTGAGAGGAAGAGACATAGGGAAGAAGAAGAAGAAGAGATAAAGTTGAAGGACGACAAAAGACAGCCGGTTGCATAAAGTATGAGACAACAAAGAAAGGATGATAAAAAGCTTGTAGCTTTTATAGGTCGAATACTACAATGCCCGAAAAAACTGTTCTAGGACCCTTGAAATGAGATCAAAAAGTAATGATCAGAGAGCTTCTAGAGATGATTCCAAGGTATGGAATTCTCATATCTCAATAACAAAACTAGATGCCCAAAACTTGACAAAACACGTTTCGTATATGAAAACCCGCGCTTAGCACAAGGAAAGAAATCATAAGGGTTCAATCTTATATAATCATACACTCTGTTTGTTTGCTCTGGTCAAGATGCAGATATTATTCATGCTTAGGACATCAAATACCCGAAATCCTAAGTAATAGCATTCCCAATACGAGTCTAGCAAACGAAGACTCAAGATTGCAGCAAGCAAAGTAATTCAGGCCATGTGTAGACTATGTAGCTTAAGTACTATATTGCATTCAGCCAACAAAGACTTTATGTATAAGGCAATCAATGACATGTCCAATATAAAAAAAATCTTCAGTTTGTAAAAAGATTTCAGATTGGAACTTCAAACACTAAACTGGAAAATTTGATCTTTAGTTATCAAACTTATGTCAACTCTTTCTTCAAACAAAAAGCAGTCTTGTTCAAAGCATGAAACAACTACACTATTGAAAATGGACTACACTTGTAATTGCACTAAACTTGGATCATAAGAAGAGCACACAAGTTTGCCTGCTATCAACTGGGAATTCAAGATTACTCCAATGTTGACAGATTTGAAATATCCTTCATCTCCAACAATGTAAGCCATTTGGTAACAACCGGTCTCGGTCCCTTCAATACAAAAAAACACAGCTACTTTCTTCTCCTCATCAATGAAGAAGCTCCTAGGGTTACAGAAAGTTGAAAAACCATCCGGTAAACCAATGATTAGTGACATATCCACTGTCAAAAAAGTGCTCCATGATACCGCATTGGGCTCAATCTTAGTCGAAATCCAAATCTCGTAAATCTCAGATGTGTCGTAGTGGCTATATAACACAGCGAGCTTCTCATCTCTAGCCCAAGATAGAGTCAAATATTCAAAAATAGGAGAGGGAGGGTTAAACGGCAGAGACAAACGCGGTCCAAATCTCTCTGTTGTAAAATCAAAACAGAGTAAATAATCTTCAATGTCTGTTACCAACAAGTCTTCTTTCCCCACTTCTGCCTCTGTTGTTACCTCTCGAGCGAAAAAGTATGAATTTCCCTTCAAAGACACGCCACTGTAATAAAACAATTCATCCCAATAGGGATTAACATCAAGAACCCTCCATGAATCAGAACTAAAATCGTATACATCAATCTCCCTTTCTCGACTGGTTCTGTTTCTCTCGGCATCATAAAGAAACCTCAAGATCTTGTAGTTACGGTTGTTGTCGTATCCAAGAGCAAAGCTGTCAGCTCTGTGGAATGTGTTTCTGGGTCGAATCCATTTCGTTTGCCCTAGATACGGATTCCATACCATAAGACTCGAGTTATTTTTGGCGATGCATAACAATAAGCCATCGCAGTGATAGACTTGAGATATCTCGACTTGATCATCATTATTAGGTATACTTATTTGCTTCATAAATGGATGAACGAAGTCTTCTTCGTCTTGATTACGGATTCCTTGGAGGTCGAATCTCAAGGAGCAAACCCTAGAATCTGTAATCATGAACTCCAGAAACTGATTCTTTGATGCTGATTTTTTACCAAAGATCTGATTTTTCAATATAGCGTTCCACGTTTTACAAGTAGATCGCACTGCGCTTAGAGATGTAAATGGAACCCTAGAAAAGATCTCTCTTACCAAATCATCTGGTAGATCGGAAATTGTCGTCATTCTTCCAAGTTTCCAACTTTCTCCAGAGTCTTTGTATTCTTCTTCTGCAAGCTAGTGTTGTCATGTATCAATGTCGAATCCCTAAGTGTATCTCTTAATAAGGCTTCGTTACGTTTTGCTTTGGCCCAGAATGTTTGAATGGGCCTATTAGTTGAATAAGGATGCAACCAGTAACAGAAACAAATAAGAAATCTATTTAAATAATTAGAAAAATGAGTTTGGACACAAATGATACACCCAAAAATATGATCGTAAACATATACATATTGGAAAAATAGAGAAGTAAAATAGTTTTTAATTTTTTTTACCACTTACGAGATCTGAACGTTGAAGCCATTTGGGGGTAAATATAGTATTTACTACTTAAAACTACCATTTTCCCTTCATAAAACTGCATACAAAAACTTTAATACGTATGAAGATTTCTTTGGTCCACACAGCTGTGGTCCAGTGGTAGTTGAGAATATATATTTTCATATTTTGACTGAAATATTCAAAACATATTTTTAACAGAAAATGCGTAATCACATATATATATTTTTTCGCTAAAAATTGCTAAATGATGTTTGTGGTAGAAAAACATACTTTTGATGGGAAATTTGTGTTCACTAAAACAAAAAATATGAAGCGTTATGACATTGCAGAATCTTCTCTTATAATCTCTGGGATAGCGATGAGGTTACAACGGTCGAGGTGAGGACATTGCATAATTTTCTTCCATGATTGTCTTAGTGTCGTTTACAAGGTAATGACTATTATTCTGTTATGTAGCTTGTAGATTTTGATTGGTATCTAGAGTTTGAGTTTTTGGACTAGAAGGTTTTCTCTCCCTTACACTTTCAAGTTTCAAGTCCAATCTGAGCTCGAATTGTCTTTCAACGCATTTTAGTCTGGCTCGTATAGTCGTATGATATTGTAGGGAACGACAAATAACAGTTTACAAATTCAGTCTTAGTGCGGTACAAATAAAAAAGATACATATATCCGAAATTCTTGAGATTCTAGACGAGGTTCCTCCAGAGAAACATAAATATGTTTTGAAGTGGGTTAATAAGAATTTTTATCTTCCAGAGAATTAGAAGCACAAGCTAAAGCACATAAATCATAATCAACTTTTAATAAGTTTGTTTGCAAATATTAAAAGTTTGTTAACTGAAAAACATACTTTTGCTTATCTAGAGGAACTTCGTAGTGAGAATCAAATCAATAAACTCGGAAATATATATCGACTTCATTTGTACTCGTCCAGATAAACCTTGTAACATTTCTACTAAGAGTTTTCATCCAAGTCAACAAACTTTTAATATTTTATTTGTATTAAAAATTAGAAAAATTAGCGGATGGTATTTTAAACTTGTGGGTTGTATATGGATACAATTTAAAAGTTTTATGTATATCAAAAGACCTAATTAGCTCATGTATTTTCTTAACCACCGAAAATAATTTATGTATTTTTGCGAAAATAGATAAAGAATTGGTGTACATTTAGAGATATGGAACCTTCCTTTTGCTTATTATTTTCTTATTGTTTGCTTATTATTTTCTTATTGTTTTACTTGGTTTTTACCACGGTTTTGAATACCGTTATTATTTACTCTACTACTATTTTTTTAGCAGCATCTTACGACAAATAATGGCAGATGGTTTCAGCTATGGCGGTTTCTCCCTAATGGCCTAAGTCACTTTATATTCTCTCCGGTCTCTGCTTTGCTTCTATGGCGGTTTCTCCATATATAAGTCTCGAAAGTATTGATATAAATAACATATTAGAGGTAGATGACAGAGTACCTATTCTACGAAATGGTGTTTTTGACAATTCAAAATCTAAAATCAGCCGCGAGGTTTCGTTGCGTGTCAAAGAAGTGGAATTCTCTTCTCGGCAGTCCATATTTCACCAACCTGTACCTGACGAGGTCTCCTGCTCGGCCACGTCTCCTAATCACTTTTTAAGCTGAGGGTAAGTGGTCTTTCTTCTCATCACCCGAGTACCTGATTTGAGACCAGAACTCAAATCTTGTAGTTGTTGATAGTCATATGGATGTCCCTAAAGATTACTCGTTTGGAGTTTGTGAACCTGTATGTGGATTGTTGTGTACTAGAGATGAGTGGGTTTTACGTAGAATGAAGGACAAGGATGATGATATGTAACCCTAGCACAAGACAATTCCAATCTTACCCAAATTGAGATCGAGAAGGAATAAGGTTATAACCTATATCGGGTATGATCAGTGGCGGATCCAGGGGAAAAAATTATGTGGGGCACCAGAAAAAAAAATAACAAAACCGGGAAAATAATTGTACCTAAAAGGCATCGAACCCTTCACCTAAGATCCTATATGGGGCACTCTTAACCAAATGAGCTAAGAGATCTAATAAGCAAGCTTGCCATTTGAATAATATTTATCAATGAGTATAGGGCACGTGCCTTACCTCATTACTATGTGGATCCGCCCCTGGGTATGATCCAATCGAAAAAGAGTATAAGGTTTTGTGCATGAGAATTCGTCAAAGGCCATTTCTGTTCAAAGCTGAAGAATATCAAGTTCTTACACTAGGAACGGGTAAATTGAATGGAGAATGCTTGAATGTTTTGTCGAGCATTACCCTCATCATAAGGAGATTTGCATCAAAGGGAAATTACAATGAACAAAGCTCTGTCGTCAACTTTAATAAATTACAATGGGAAATTAGGAGGAATTCGTCATGGCTTTATTGAAGGTGGAGTTGCAGGCTTTGAGTTGTGGGATCTTGATATTGAAAAAGAGAATTGGACAAGGCATATTCACATATTGCCGCCTATGTGGAAGCAGGTAGTTGGGGAGACTAGAGTTTACGTTGTTGGGAAGATCGGTACAAATGAAATTGTGTTTTCTCCATTCGTCAAGTCAATCCCTTTCTACATCTTTCACTTAGATATGAAGAGCAACTCTATCACAAGAGTTGAAATCAAAGGGACTGGTTCTCTTGAAGGTCAACAAGTTTACACCTTTATAAACCATATCGAGAATGTGAGGCTTATTATGTAAGTTCTCAATTTAAATTTAATAAACTTAAGATATCATTTTTACATTCATTCAAAAAAAAAAAAAAAAAAAACTTAAGATATCAGTGCTGCTCAATACCGTATATATTGTATCTACTTTAATTGTATTCGTGTAGAGAAGCCTTGCAAGCGTTTTTAATAAGAGTTTTTTATTCAACAGTCAAGCCAACTTTTAATATTTTATTTTTGTTAAAATTAAAAGATGTTACTTTTGTCAACTGACAACTAATAGATATTTATATGGGTACAATTAAAAAGTTTGTATATTATAATGGAAAACATAATTAATTCATGTATTTTTAAGCATCCAAAACTTACGTTAGATTAAAAATTGGTGTATTTTTATGAAATTTTCCTTTTCTTTTGGTTTATATTTTTCTTATTGTTTGCTTATTATTTTCTTATTGTTTACTTGTTTTTTTTTCCCAAGTGTTTAATGCTGTTACTATTTACTCTATTACAATTTTTTGCAACATCTTACTAAACTCATATGTATATATATATATATATATATATATATATATTGTTAACTATAAACTCATATATATATATATATTTAAAAAAGTTTTAATATCAAAGACAAACATTTTAAACATTTATCAAAGTTTAAGAGATTACAATATTATTGACATAAACATTAACGAAAAACCAAACACAAAAGTGATCACTTAAATAAAAAGTTAGATCCGGCTGAAGAAGAGTTTTAAACGAAATTAAAGCACTTGAGACAGAATTACAAATCTTTGTATCTCCAAGTTTTTGTAGTCATTACATAAAAACATTTTGGAATTCTAAAACATTGTGGCCGAAGCTCACAATGGCATCATAATAGAATTCAACAACATCAAAAGATTCCAAGAGCACGGCCGTTTAGCCCATTAAAAACTTCGATTTGACACATGCTAGATCGCCTCGCGCGGCAGTGCAATGAGATCCTTCAAGAGAGCTGGATTTCCTTGTTCTAGAAAGGAAGATGCCAAATGCAGAACAAGTTTCTTAAGGTTTACAGAGTTCTCTACAAAGTACCTTGCAACTTCCAATGCACCATCATCTGCTTCGTATTCGTTTTTTATCTCTACAAATTCGAGCGATGACAACAAACACTTAGGCACGGACCAGACTCTCATTTCTACCATTTCGTCCGTATAATCAGTAAAACAAGTTAAACCCTACAAAATACATAAGATGAGTTAATATACTGGATATATCCAGATTTCTCTAATTGCATGATTAATTTGAAACTCTAGGGTTGGTGACTTGGTGCAAGTCATTACCAAGACGATGGATTTTAGATTCGGACAGCTTTCAAGAAGCTTTCTAAAGACGTCCAGAAATGTCACGGATGTTGAACAAACATTTCCTTTCAAATAGGACAAGTTGCAAAACTGTGGCAATGAATCTACACTCAAGTAGGAAAATATTCTCTACTTGCAAAAAGGAAACGAAGAGAAGACTATGGGTTAGCAAATGTTCTATATAGCAGAATATATATAATATGAAGTTCATAGAAACAAACCTCCATCATATTCCGAGAGATGATCATTTCCCTAACTCTCGAGATACCGGTGAAAAAATTATGGGCCATTTGTTGCTCTGAACAGCCAACTACACTTGAAATATCAAAGGCGCTAAGAACGTTGACCTTAACTAAAGAACTCAAATTTCTTACGATTTTACTTTTCGATCTTTCGTAGTTGAAAGTCAAATACTTGAGTCTAGGCGCATCAATCACAAGCCCCGAGTTCTCTCTAACTTTTCAGAATAATAATTGTACTTACGAATTAAGTCACCAGGATTATATCCTACACTAAAACTGGTTAATGTTTGAGAATCCAAAACATAATTAATTCATGTATTTTTTAATAATCCAAAACTTATGTTAGATTAAAAATTGGTGTATTTTTTATGAAATTTTTCTTTTCTTTTGGTTTATATATTTTCTTATTGTTTGCTTATTATTTTCTTATTGTTTACTTGTTTTTTTTTCCTAAGTGTTTAATGCTGTTACTTTTTACTCTATTGCAATTTTTTGCAACATCTTACCACCGTATATTGTTAACTAAACTATATATATATATATATTTAAATTTTATTATCAAAGACAAACATTTTAAACATATATCAAAGTTTAAGAGATTACAATATTATTGACACAAACTTTACCGAAAAGCAAAACACCAAAAGTGATCACTTAAAGAAAAAGTTTAGAATATTGAGAGTAAATTTCTAGTATCTATAAAATGCTAAAGCCTAACAACAATTATCACTTTTCAGGATAAAAAAAGACACTCCTACAATAATAAGTAGCATAAGCTTATTTTTTCACTACATCCGATAACGGCTGTTAACTTGCGGGTTTGATTCCAGCAATAATTTATATACAAAGTATTTTAAGATCACAAATGATTAGATGAGGTATTTTTAATCTAACCCAAAAATATTGGATATCAAAAGTCTAAATAAAAATTACTATGTTTTTTTGTGATTTTCCCCATTATTTAAGAAAAAAAAACTAATTTCTGCTTACTCAACTTATCCAATTCCAATCAAATTGTCCGGATAGTTCTGAAAAACCGGCTCGAATGGAATGGGTATGATTTAAAATACAAAAAGGCCCATATTTAAAAGCCCATTAAGAGCACAAATAGCACGTGAGCAGCACAAGCACTTCTTTTCCAGTCTATTTTCTTCCCTCATCACTCCATCACTAAAAGTCTTAAACAAAAAGTTTACAATACTTATAGTAAAATTTCACATATAAGTGACTGAAGGGCCTGAAACTTCTCATCAAGGTTTGTAAACACCTTTCACATAAAAAGCTTTATCTTTCTTGAAATTGGCTCTTTTCCTGTCTCAGGCAAATCATTCCATTGGTTCTGAGCTAGTAAATTGCAACATTTATAGTAAATGAAAATTCAACAGAAAAGGAACAAAATTAAGAACGTCTTGTAAATACTGAACCCAATTCATTTCTTAAGGGGTTTAAATTATGTGTTTGGAAATACATTTTTTAAAAATAAGAAACTCATGAACCTCAGATATTACACTTGATGGTCATTAATTTCACTCGTTTCCCTATCTTTCTAATGAAGGATGAGGATCAATTCCCATCTTTGCAACGATTAAAAGGTTACTGTGATATAGAGATTCTGAGCTTGTGACTTACAATTATCACATGAATAGGACGTTATGAATTCTTTTGACCCTTGTACTTGACAATCCTTTGTAACCACTTTGTTTCTTTTTGAATCTCCAAAAAAAAGTAGTTTGGATCGGTATGTGGTTCTTTGTGACGCCTTCCTGTTTTCTTCGCATCTTTGTCGAACAACCAAACCTCAACGACTTCTGGAGATCCGAGTTGTTTTCTCACCATGACTCCATGCTCATACAAAAAATCAGCTGAATCGCCGTGACAGTTTCTAAGAAGAGAAGAGAAGACGATCCATCGACTTTCTCACTAAGGCTGACGTGGACAAAGGTTGCAACGAAGGTATAGAACTGACGTGGCTTCCTCAAAATGATTTTCATTTTGCTGATGTGGCTACACTGAGAAGCTTCAAATTGCATCTTTTATTAGTAAGAGATGAAATGCTAAAGCCTAACTGCAGTTTCACTTTTCAGGATAAAACAAGACTCCTACACGGCTACACCAATAAGGTTTTACATAAGCTATTTTTGTTTTTTTCTTTCTGTGATAAAAAAATGCTTATTGGTTATTACTAACTTTTTGTTGCATCAAACTATGGACCTTAAGTACTATTGTATATAGCATACAAGGGCAGGCCAATAAAGACTTCCTCTATAAGACAAATCAATGATATATTCATCTTCAGTCTGAAACCAAGATTTCAAAATGGTACTTCAAACACTAAACTGGAAAAAGTGATCTTTAGTCATATATACACTCATACTTATATCAACTATTTCTTCAAACCAAAAGAAGTCTTTTCAAAAGAAAAGCTGATAATGGACTAATCTTGCAGTTGCACTAAACTTGGAACATAAGAAGAGCACACAAGTTTGCCTGGTTTCGAAATTACTCCGATGTTGACAGATTTGAAGTATCCATCATCTCCAACGATGTAAGCCATTTGGTAGCGACAGTTCTCGATCACTTTACTATCAAAAAGCACAACGACTTTCTTCTCCTCGTCAATGAAGAAGCTCTTAGCTTCAAAGAACATCGAAAAATCATCCCGTAAACCATTGACTAGTGACATATCCAGTGTCAAAAAAGAGCTCCACGATACCGCATTGGGTTCAATCTTAGTCGAAATCCTAATCTCTATAATCTCAGATGTGACGTATTGGTTGTATAACACAGCGAGCTTCTCATCTCTAACCCAAGATAGAGTCACAGTTTCAAAACTAGGACAGGGTGGGTGAAAAAGCAGAGGCAAATGCGGTCCAAATCTCTCTGTTGTAAAATCAAAACAGAGTAAACAAGTTTCAATGTCTGTTACCTTCCTCGCTTGTGTTACTTCTTGACCGAAAAAGTAAGTATTTCCCTTCAAAGACACGCCGCTGTGATAAAACGGTATAATATCCCAGTCAGGATTGACATCAAGAACCCTCCATGAATCAGAGCTAAAATCATATACATCAATGTGAGTTCTTAGACCGCTTTCGTTGTTCTCTTCATCATAAAGAAACCTCAAGATTTTGTAGTTACGGTTGTTGTCGTATCCAAGAGCAAACCTGTCATATTTGTAGATCTTGTTTCTTGGTTGAATCCATTTCGTTTGCCCTAGATACGGATTCCACACAAAGAGCCTCGAGTTATCTTTGGCGATGCATAACAATAAGCCATCACAGTGATAGACTTGAGATATCTCGACTTGATGATTGTTAGGTATACTTATTGGCTTCATTGATGGATCGAGGAAGTCTTCTTCGTCTTTTTTTCGAATTCCTTGAAGATCTAATCTCAAAGAACAAACCCTAGAATCTATAACGATGAACTCCAGAAACTGATTCCTTGACGCTGTTTTTCTACCAAAGATGTGATTTTTCGATAAAGCATTCCACTTTTTACAAGTAGATCGCACTGCGATTAGAGATGTAAATGGAACCCAAGAAAGAATCTCACCTACCAAATCATCTGATAGATCGGAAATTGTCGTCATTCTTCAAAGTTTTCAACTTTCTCCAGAGATTTGTGTTTTGTTCTTCTTCTTCAATCGACTGCTACCTTTTACTGTGTCAATGTCGAATCCCCCTTAATAGTATCTCTTGTTAGGCCCATTTAAACAACCTGGGCCAAACCAAAACGTTATTGTAAATCGCAAGCCTAACAAGAGATACAAGCCTAACCAAAACTTGCTTGCAACTGTTTCCGTCTCTAAACTCTCGAGAACACTTCAGTTCATCTTAAGTTACATCTTTCAAGGAACAGTCCACTCTATTTGGAGGAAAAAAAAAAAGAATCAACCGGAAATTTTCCAATCGGCTTCTATCTCTTGACACGAGTTTAAGTTCCATGAAAGATGAACTGCAACTCTGGTTCAAAATACAAAAAGGCCCATATTTAAAAGCCCATTAAAAAAACAAATAGCACGTGAGCAGCACAAGCACTTCTTCTCCAGTCTATTTTCTTCCCTCATCACTCATCAGTCTCTTTCGTTTACTAGAGAGAAGTCAAATAATTGAGAGATGGTTTCAGCTATGGCGGTTTCATCCTAGTTCGCCTACTCACTAATCTTCTCTCCGATCTTCGCATTGCTTCTATGTCTATCTCGTTTCCAGTATTAGATTGAAGAAGATCTCACTGTGTAAGTCTCGAGAACCTAATTTCATCGTGCTTTGGTATTTCTTCCCGCTTGATTCAAAAGTTATTTTGGTTGATCGATTTCAATAGTGTTTGTAGTTGGAATCATCGATATTGTCTCTTAATTTGATATTCATCTTCTTTGATCTTCCAACGGAGTAGCGAATTAGGGCTTTTCTTCAATAGTGACACGACTGTTTTTTTTTTCCAGGAGAATGGGTTCAGAGGGAAACATGAAGAACTCGGTTGTGACACAAGTAAGCATTGGTGGATTTGGAGAGTCCACTACTGCTAAACAACTTACAGATTACCTTGAAGATGAAGTAGGACTTGTTTGGCGATGCAGATTAAAAACTTCTTGGACTCCTCCTGGCTCTTATCCTAATTTTGAAATCGCAGACACTTCAAGTATCCCCAAAATTGATGATTACAAGAAAGTGGAGCCTCATGCGTTTGTCCATTTCGCAGTTCCTGAATCAGCAGCTCGTGCCATGGATGCTGCAGGGCAATGCAATCTCATGTTGGATGGCCAGCCTTTAAAAGTCAGCTTGGGGCCTAAGAATCCTTATACTCTTAACCAGAGAAGAAGAACGACGACACCTTATAAGTTGAGTGGTGTTTCAGTTGAGGTTGGGACGTTGGTTTCCCGGGATGAATTTTTTGTTTCTTGGAGAGCTGACGGGGTTGATTTCCTGGTGGATCCTTTTGACAACACGTGTAAGTTTTGCTTCAGAAAGAGCACTGCGTTTTCTTTCAAGGATGCAGTGATGCATGCTGTGATCAATTGTGATTATAAGCTGGAGTTATTGGTGAGAGATATACAAACAGTCAGGCAGTATAAAAACTCGCATGGCTATGTACTTATTTTGCAGCTGGCGTCGTCACCTCGTGTCTGGTACAGAACTGCTGATGATGATATTCACGATACTATCCCTGTCGATCTCTTGGATGATGATGACCCTTGGATCCGTACCACTGATTTTACCCAGGTTGGGGCAATTGGTCGATGCCATTCATATCGAGTGCTCATATCTCCACGGTATGAAAAAAAACTGACAACAGCCTTAGAGTATCTAAGGATGCGGAGGGTGCAAGAGGAACGTGTGAGGTGGCCTCCCCGGATCCGTAATGAGCCCTGTTTTGGGGAGCCTGTGTCAGATCATTTCTTCTGCATTCATCACAAGGAAGGAATCTCCTTTGAGATCATGTTCCTAGTAAATTCGGTATTGCACAGGGGGGTTTTTAACCAGTTTCAGTTGACTGAGCGTTTCTTTGATCTTCTCAGAAACCAACCCAAGGACGTCAATATAGCTTCTCTCAAGCATCTCTGTACCTATAAACGACCAGTTTTTGATGCGTACAAGAGGTTGAAGCTTGTTCAGGAATGGATTCTGAAAAATCCAAAGCTTTTAGGGGGTCATGAACAGTCTGAGGATATCTCTGAGATCAGAAGGCTAGTGATTACCCCAACCAGAGCCTATTGCCTACCCCCAGAAGTTGAGCTCTCCAACAGGGTACTCAGGAAATACAGAGCTGTTGCTGAAAGATTTTTGCGCGTAACTTTCATGGACGAAAGTATGCAGACCATAAATTCGAATGTTCTCTCTTACTTTGTTGCTCCTATTGTGAAGGATCTGACATCAAGCTCTTTCTCCCAGAAGACCTACGTTTTTAAAAGAGTGAAGAGCATATTAACTGATGGGTTTAAACTATGTGGTAGAAAATACAGTTTTCTAGCATTCTCAGCCAATCAACTGAGAGACCGCTCTGCATGGTTCTTTGCTGAAGACGGGAAAACACGAGTGTCAGATATAAAAACATGGATGGGGAAGTTCAAAGACAAGAATGTGGCAAAATGTGCTGCTAGGATGGGCCTGTGCTTCTCCTCCACATATGCCACTGTAGATGTCATGCCTCACGAGGTTGACACCGAGCTTCCAGACATTGAGAGAAATGGGTATGTTTTCTCTGATGGAATTGGTACAATCACACCTGACCTCGCTGACGAAGTAATGGAGAAACTTAAGTTGGATCTCCACTGTACCCCTTGTGCTTATCAGATACGTTACGCAGGTTTCAAAGGAGTTGTTGCTCGTTGGCCATCAAAAGGTGATGGAATCAGGCTAGCCCTTCGAGATAGTATGAAGAAGTTCAATTCCAAACATACCATCTTGGAGATCTGTTCCTGGACGAGGTTTCAACCTGGATTCTTAAATCGGCAGATAATTACCCTCCTTTCTGTACTAGGTGTGCCGGATGAAATATTTTGGGATATGCAGGAATCCATGCTCTATAAACTGAACCGCATCCTTGATGATACAGATGTGGCATTTGAAGTTCTCACGGCATCATGTGCTGAACAGGGAAACACTGCAGCTATCATGCTAAGTGCAGGTTTCAAACCAAAAACTGAGCCACATCTACGCGGAATGTTGTCTTCAGTCAGAATTGCACAACTCTGGGGTCTCAGAGAAAAATCACGTATTTTTGTTACTTCAGGAAGGTGGCTAATGGGTTGCCTAGACGAAGCAGGGATACTTGAACATGGCCAATGCTTTATCCAAGTCTCAAAACCGTCTTTAGAAAATTGTTTCTCCAAACATGGGTCTCGTTTTAAGGAGACAAAGACAGATCTGGAAGTAGTTAAAGGCTATGTAGCTATTGCTAAGAATCCTTGTCTTCACCCAGGGGATGTAAGGATTTTAGAAGCTGTTGATGTACCCCAGCTGCATCACATGTATGACTGCCTTATTTTCCCTCAGAAAGGTGATAGGCCCCATACAAACGAAGCTTCTGGCAGTGACCTTGACGGGGACCTGTACTTTGTGGCTTGGGATCAGAAACTCATCCCTCCCAACAGAAAAAGCTATCCGGCCATGCATTATGATGCCGCTGAAGAGAAGAGTTTAGGCCGTGCTGTCAACCACCAGGTCAATATCTACTTCCCCACTTTTGTTCTGTTAGCTGAGATGATGACGCTTAAGATAAAATAGATAGGTGATTCCAGTATTACTCTCTGATATTACTGAAACTGCTGGAAACTTTGTTTTTGGATGCTTGTAGTGATTATTTTTGCTTGCTTCTGAGTTCTTAGATTGCATTGCATGGGTTGTTAATAGCATACTGTGTTCATCCTGTAGGAGCTAAGATGATGACATTTAAGAAAACTTCGTCATATATTGTTGATTCTGATTTGACGTTTTCGCATGCCTTACTGTGACTGTTTAGTTATTATCAAAGGCAGTACCATGATGCTAGCTTCTGCCAATGTAGTTATGAATTCTTTGTTAATTTCTTTCTTTCTTTGTGCTTGCAAAACAAGGCTTGGGTAATTGATTGCTTTTGTTACAGGATATAATTGATTTCTTTGCAAGAAACATGGCGAATGAGCATTTGGGCACAATTTGTAATGCACATGTCGTTCATGCTGATAGAAGTGACTATGGAGCCATGGACGAAGAATGTTTGCTACTGGCAGAACTAGCTGCCACTGCAGTTGATTTCCCAAAGACAGGGAAAATTGTGTCAATGCCCTTCCACCTAAAACCAAAACTCTACCCAGATTTTATGGGAAAAGAAGACTACCAAACTTACAAGTCGAACAAAATCTTGGGTCGGCTTTACAGACGGGTAAAAGAAGTTTATGATGAAGATGCAGAAGCTTCCTCAGAAGAAAGCTCAGACCCAAGTGACATCCCTTATGACATTGATCTTGAAATACCAGGATTTGAAGATTTGATCCCCGAGGCATGGGGGCACAAATGTTCTTACGACGGGCAGCTCATTGGTCTTCTCGGGCAATACAAGGTCCAGAAAGAGGAAGAGATTGTGACGGGTCATATCTGGTCCATGCCTAAATACACAAGTAAGAAACAAGGTGAACTGAAAGAAAGACTGAAGCACTCTTATAATTCCCTGAAAAAAGAGTTCAGAAAAGTATTCGAGGAAACAATCCAGGACCACGAAAAGCTCAGCGAAGAGGAAAAGAACATTTTGTATGAGAAGAAGGCTTCAGCTTGGTATCATGTCACTTACCATCACAAGTGGGTGAAGAAGTCTTTAGAGCTGCAAGATCCAGATGAGTCGTCTAGTCATGCGGTGATGCTGAGTTTTGCTTGGATTGCAGCTGATTATCTTGCAAGAATCAAAATCCGGTCAGGGGAAATGGGAAATATCGACTCAGCCAAGCCTGTTGATTCTTTGGCCAAGTTTCTTGCTCAACGTCTCTAAAAGGTAATGTTTCAATGCCGTAAGGCCACTCTGCCATGTGTCTGTGGAGATTCACAGATACTCTAGTATATATAGCTTGTTTGAATGTGCTTTGTCCAGGAAACTTTGTATGTGTGACGAAACATCTTTGCTTCGAGAAAAAAACTGCATGATGTTCATGACTTAACAGCTCAACTGCTGTTGTTTGTGGTTATATATTTTAGTCATTTTGTTATGCTCAAAAGTCAAAACAAGAGGCACATACGTAGTTTAGTTTAAACAGTATGCTCTTAAAAAAAAAAAAAAAAAAAAAAAAAAAAAAAAAAAAAAAAATGGTATGCTCTTATTATCTCCATAACAAAGTTGATTTGCTCTTTATTAACTCAATGTTGTTGGTTTGATTAAGATGAATCAAACTTTTATTATCAAAATGTGAAATACATAAAATGTAATTTTCCATATGATTAGGAAAATATATCAAATGATAATTACATAAATTGGTAAAGATTTTTATTCACTCCTGTATTTATCTGTATTTTTAATTAATCTGTGATTATAATTAATCAGTTAAAATTTTTCGTTTAGATAATGACAAGTGACATAATAGGGCTTTCCTTATAAGGCCTAGACCATTAAAAGGCCCATTAAGAAGCTAGTTTCGATAAAGTTTGACAATTCTCAAACACTTGCTGCAGCAACACTTTTTTCTTCACCAGTCTCTTCATCGTTTTGGTGAGAAAAACGATGGCCGATGGATTTCGCTATAATGGTTTCTCTGGAATAGCGTACCCGTTTTGGCTCTCATCTCCGCCTCCGCCTCATCCAGCTTCTGCGCCGCCGTTTCAACCAAGCAATCCGGTTGAATCCTATGATCCAACCAAAGAAGTGTTTGATCCGATGATGTATCCTGGCTCTTATCAACGATCGCCGGCTGATTGGTCAAATAACCCATCGTATCGTGAAAATTCTCGCTCTCAGACTCCTTCATCGTTTTACGCTGACAATACTCGACTTGGTATGATTTTAATCCCTTTTTTGAAAACAAATTTGGGGGTTTAACGGTACTGTGATGGTTTCGAACTGTGGATTTGTGGATTGATCAATTTTCTTGGGACTATTTTGATTCGTTTGGGTTTGATCTTCTTTTTGATGCTCTTACGCATAATGGTTATGTAATTGCAGGAAATTGTGGTCCTAGAGGTGAAGATTATTATAAAGAAATGTTATCACCGAGTGGATTTTACTCTTCAAGGGAATCATCATCTGATTTTGTGTCACTTCCTGCTGAGAATTTCTCGGAGAGGCAACTGTCGAACTTTGCGCCTACCTACAACTCAGCTACCTTAGCTCCAGTGTCTTCTTATGCAGAGATGCTAATCAGAAGTTCTCAGGAACCATTCTTTACGCCTATCACGTCATCTAGTGTTTACGCTTCTAGCAATGCTGTTGATGAGAAACGTCCTGGATATTACTTTCCAGGCTCAGATAGACCTGAGACTATGAATGTTGTCTCTGCTTCTCATGTGGAGCCTTACATAGGTGTTACAGATTGTAATCCATCTTTGCCAATGCAGAATTTGATAACACAAGCTCTCTTTGATGGAAGTCAGACCGGGGTTCGTTTAGGAGATGGAAGATCATTCCCGAGCAACAGTGATGTTTGTAGTCATGCGCCTGAGAATTTTTTGGGAGCTCAATCCAGCTTGCAGAGTTCCTCTGTTGAACCAGTTAACTTTGATGTGTTGCTTGGATATGGTGAAGCTACTGGTCATATCAAGCCTTTGCCCGAGAATCCAGATCTTCGCTATCGGATTGCTGGCTTGCAAGCTTCGAGAAGTCCGGGATCTTCCCACCCCCTACCAGCTAATATTAATTACTCTTTGTCTCTGGTAAATGATAAACTAGAAGGTAGTGGTGTCTCCTCCCTTTATCATAGGCCTTATACTTTGGTTGCTGACAGTGAGAATGGTGTTTCTGAGAGCTCCGTGAAGAATGCAACTGAAGATTTAAATTGTCACGAGCCTCGATCTTGGAGCCACTTCATGGTATCTTCTGAGGGACCTTCAGCTCCCACGATGTTTTCTATGGGAAGTGCGTCACGTGGATCTTCAGCTCCCACGATGAAAGCGGATAATGAGAATGCTCAATCAGCTGTCAACTACAAACCCCCTTTCGAAGGTAGTACTACTCAGCCTAGTGAAGATGTTCCAACCAACCAAAAGTCTTGTAATCTCCAGGAACAAACATTTGATATAATGGATAGAGATAAGAAGATCAGGTTGTTGACAGATGTGGGTCTCGATTTGAGTAGTAGATCAAATGCAGATGATGTCTCAACTGGCCGATCACCTGAAAAGCACTTCTGTGATCAAGGAGATTTCCCATCTCCGACTTCTTCTCCAAGAGTTTCTTCTGTGGTTAACGCCATGCATAATTTGTCAGAAGTGCTTGTTTATGAATGCTTTAACAATGGAAGCTGGCTGAAGCTGGAGCAACTTGAGAACCTTGACAAAGTAGTAGATAATCTCACAAAGTGCTTAAAGAAAATAACTGATAATAAGTCAACAGCAGGGGAAGCCTCACTTCCAACGCAAGCTATGCATGAGGTATGCTCCAGTTTTACCTCGGCATTTTGTGATTTATAGCATAGCTAGAAGTTAAAAAAAACAACCAGCATGCTCTATGAGATAATAATGTATTTATTATCTAGAGCACCACTTGTGATATCTAGAGTATTCACAAGAGCCTAGGTAAAGTGTTAATTTGTGCTATGTTCCCGACCTATTTGTAAAACACATTGCTTGTTCTTGTTTGCTGTTAGTTGTTTAACGGTACACTTGTTCAGGCCGCAAAGGGAGTTGCTAAAGACTTTCAAGGGTTTAGTGTCAAGCCACTAGACAGCTTTGGGGTCAAAGAACCGGTGGATAAGAATGAAATGACTCAGGTATTTACTTACATATTATTTTTGTGCATCATTTAAAGTCTTGCCTACTGAATCTTAACTTTGCAGAGTATTAAGAGCATACTTGCTTCCAACTTTCCTGATGGTGAAGAAAACCACCCACAAACTCTCTTGTACAAGAATCTCTGGCTCGAAACTGAAGCTGCCTTATGTTCCACAACTTGCATGGCTCGGTATCATCGGATCAAGAACGAGATTGATAATCTCAAATTAAACAATAAAGGTTGGTAACTTTCAAACTAACCGTCTCATCTGTTTGATATTTATTAATGCCTAGAGCTCCATTGCAAGTGCATTTTCTCCACACTCCTGTCATAGATGCCACCGCTATGCTTAATTGCTTATAACAGATCCACAGGCAGTTAAATACTAAAAATGACATAGAGGAGATTAGGATGCTGTTTCTCTCGGGTCCTCTACGAATTTAACGAAATCAGTTTTGTATCTTTCTCTGAGAATGGCAGGCAGTAGTTCTTTTATGGATCAGATTTAACCCAGTTATAGGTCACCTTTGGTTTACCAAATTCAAACATTGGCTAAAATGTTATTTTTTTTTGTCAACAGCTTTTGCTAAAATGTTGTTTAGTCATGCTTTAGATATAGTATCAGAAATGCTTAGCCTGCACATCATTTTGTGAAAATATTTGTTTTGCCTATGTTTTTAATGTTCATGTCTTGCTTTCTTTTCTCAGAGATCTCTGCAGATGCAGCAACCTTTATGCAGGAACCTTCTCTTAACCCCCAGAAATCGGTTCCCATCATGAACAATGCAAATGCAGAGAAGGAGACAACTGAATCGATCAGCAAACATGGAAGCAGTTGTGGGAACAATGTAGTAACAATGAGTCATGATGCATCACAATGCTCTAGATTCAACTCAGATCCTGTGGATGCAGTATTATCGCTTATGTCCAGAAGCTTTACGGGTGGTTTAGAACAGACCATTCATGGAAACTTAAGGCCTGATGCTGCAACCTCTGGAAAGATACCAGATGCAATACGACAGGAAACCCCTGCATCCACTACAGAGAACAAACATAATGATGTTATAGACCGGTTTCAGATTCTGAAGCAGCAGGAAACAGAGCGCAAACTCAAGTCTCAGAAGTTACCAGATTCAGACATTGATGTTATAGACCGGTTTCAGATTCTCAAGCAGCAGGAAACAAATCGCAAACTCAAGACTCAAAACTGTTCAGAGACAAAAAAGGGTGACCAGGAGGAGAAACTAGAAGCTTCAGTGATGGCTAATATTGGCAGAAGCAGCCATGTGAGTGATGTTATGGATAGATTCCAGATACTGAAACGCCGGGAAGCTGAACAAGTGAAGAAATCTCTCAACAACTTGGATGTAGATTCAGATTCAGACAATGACCAGCCACAAAAGCGTGATCATCTCTGGTCAGCTTCGATGTTCCCAATACGTGGACATTCTCAGAGAGAAACATGCGCTGCGGACACTGAACAATCTGCATCTGGCAAAGGCTACGAGAGCCCGACTTCGGACTGGGAACATGTAATCAAGGATGATTGAGTAGTGGACCTTCCTTGGACAAGAAGTTTCGATCCTATAATGAAAGCTTGTTATTATAAATAAAAGGGATTTGTAGAAGAACATGAACGCCATTATGAAAACGTTTGTTATGTATGATAAGGGATAAAACTGCGTGGATGGTATTACTGATTTTCAAAATATGTCCTACTTTTAAGGTTTTAGAAGTAGTGGATCGCTCTTTTCATGTTCTACAAAACGATAATTAAAACATATCTTTAAAAACTACTCTCGAACTTCTTAAAACATGAAATTTTTAAATTTATTTGTATTACGGTAAAACTTATAAATTAATAATGTTGGGATTATGAATTTTTCATAAATTTTATGGTTATACTAACTTTTATCAAGGAAAAGTAAATAAATCTTAATCTAGGAAAGTAAATATACCTTAAATTTGAAGATAATTACACGAAAATATCTTTGCCGTATCCCATGAAAATGTCAAGAATAGATATACAGGAATATTTCGTCATATATAAACTTGTATTCTTCACTGATCATGTTCACCGCGACACGAGAAGTAACCAAGGTGATCTAGGGTTAAGTTTTGAAGTATGGCAGAAGCTGAACGTCCTTGGAAAATTCAAAAGAGAGTTTGTGAAGAGGACAGAATCAGTTCGTTGTCTGACGATTTGCTCATACAGATATTATTGCTTGTTCCGACCAAAGATGCCGTGGCCACCACGTTTTTGTCTAAAAGATGGAGATTTGTCTGGACGATGTTGCCTAGACTTGACTATAAAGAAGCCAATGACAACAGTGACGTCGAAAGCAAGAGCGTTTGGTGGTTTCTTGACGAATCAATGCGATATCACAAAGCACCTTTCTTACGAAGTTTGTGTATTCAACTCGGTCCACAATGTCCTGTTGATGTTGATCCTGTAAAGTGGTTTGCTAAAGCAGTTGCTAGTCGCGTGCGTTGGCTATCTTTCAATCTCCTTTGGAAAAGCAAACCGATCAGAATGCCTAAGAGCATTTACGTTTGCAAAACGCTTGGAAGATTAACTCTGGCCAACAAGATTCTTGTTGACGTTCCTCATCAAGTCTCTCTCCCATCACTCACAGAACTTGATCTCTCCTGTGTTGTGTACAAAGACGAAGATTCTCATGTTAGGCTTTTATCAAGTTGTCCCGCTCTCAAGCGTCTAAAGGTGATTCGAGATAAACGTATTGATGATAATGTGAGAAAGTTTAGTGTGAAAGTTCCTTCTTTATTGAAATTAGAGTACAGTGCAGATAAGATATTTCAAGAAGAGGATGATGATACTGATAGGTCTTTGGTTATAGACACCCCGAATTTATTGTCTCTTGATATTGATACGTTGGGACACTCTTGCTCAGTTGAGTACATGCCTCATCTTGTTACAGCTAATATTGATGTTGAGTTCTACCTTAATGAAAACATTCTAAGGTCTCTCTCTTCGGTCAAGTATCTTGTGTTATTTCCGTTCGATACAATATTGTTTCCGTGGCCTGACGCAGTTATTAACTACTCTCGACTTGTAGAGTGTACGATATATCTATCTGACCAAGACTTGTGTGAATCACTTGTGGTTTTTCTCTCTTATTTTTCTAAGCTAAGAGTTTTTATGGTCGACACAAGAGTCGAGATTGATCAACCTGCGAATCATGACTCAGCTTTATGGAATCAACCGAGTTCTGTTCCCAAATGCCTGTCGTCTCATCTCGAGATCTTTGAGTGGGATGGATATAGAGGAAGAGAATATGAGAAAGAACTCATAAGGTACATTCTAGAAAACTCCAAGTGTTTAAAAACAGCGGGATTCGCGCCGAATCCAACCTTCAGTGGTGAAGAGAAACAGAAGATGATGGAGGAGTTAGAATCCATGCATAGGGTTTCAACGTCGTCTGTGCTTCTGTCCTCTGCTCGAATGTTATTTGGAGATGTGTATGCATGATGACCAACAACTTTAGTCCATTTGCCAGAAGATGATTTTTTTTTTATAATATACTTAGGATTTTGTTTTGCTATTCCGTTATTTGATGCCAAAAAGACAGATTTCAGAACTTTTATACAACTTATGATTATAAGTTTAACTAGTTTCAATGACATGGATAGAATAAAACTCATATAGTTCCTTTTCATATTATCCAATTCACATAACAAAAGATAAATAATCATCTCACTGTTACACCAATCCCAAATGGTTCGTGAACTATCCTAATTAAATTGCGACTAAAAGCATACATCTTTTAACTTCAGTTCGGAAAAGGTTGACACAAAAAAAAAGGCGAATTCAATTTGGAAAATATTCCTATTTTTTTGACTCAACCCTAATATAAAACCAGTGCTGGAACCTCTTTTGCGAGACAGAAGTCATTCTCACAGCTAGAGGAGAAGTTTCTATGGTCTAGGGTTACGTTGTTAATTATGACAGAACTCGTCGAACATAGAGTTTGTGAAGATAGAATCAGTTCTTTGTCTGACGATCTTCTCGTGAAGATTATATTGCTCGTTCGGTCGTTCCTACAAAAGATGCAGTGGCCACCACGTTTTTGTCTAAACGATGGAGGTTTGTCTGGAGGATGTTACCTAGACTTGAATATAGAGAAACCAAAACAAGTGACGTTAACAGCAGTAGTACTGTTTGGTGGTTTCTTGAAGATTCATTCCGTCTTCACAAGGCACCTTTGTTAGAACGTTTGTGTATCGAACTCGGTCCACAATGTCCTATTTATGTTAATCCTGTAAAGTGGGTTGCAAAAGCACTTGATACTCGTGTGCGTTGGCTAATTTTCAGGCTCCTTTGGAAAGTAGAGCCGATCAGAATGCCTAAGAGCCTTTACTTTTGCAAAACGCTTGAGAGATTGACTCTCTCCTACAAGATTCTTGTGGATGTTCCTCGACAAGTCTCTCTCCCATCACTCACAGAACTTGATCTCTTCTGTGTTGTGTACAAAGACGAAGATTCTCATGTTAGGCTTTTATCAAGTTGTCCCGTTCTCAAGCTTCTAAAGGTGACTCGAAATAGACATGTGGAAGATAATGTGAGAACGTTTAGTGTTAAAGTGCCTTCTTTATTGAGATTAGACTACAAAGCAGATACGACATTTCAAGACAGTGATAATAGATTTTTGGTTATAGACACTCCAAATTTATTGTCTCTTCACATCTTTGATATTTTTGGACACTCTTTCTCAGTTGAGTACATGCCCCATCTTGTTACAGTAGTTATTGATGTGCTCTTCCCTAATGAAAACTTTATGAGGTCTCTCTCTTCGGTCAAGTATCTTGCGTTATCTCCGTTCGATATAATGGTTCCATGGTGTGACGCAGTAAATAACTACTCTGGACTTGTAGAATGTATGATATTTCTATCCGACCAAGACTTGTGTGAATCACTTTTGGTTTTGCTCTCTAATTGTTCTAAGCTTAAAGTTTTTATGGTCGACTCTGACATTCATCAGTATGCGAATCATCGTCCAGTTTTATGGAATCAACCGAGTTCCGTTCCAAGATGCTTGTTGTCTCATCTCGAGATCTTTGAGTGGGAAGGATATGTAGGAAGAGTATATGAGAAAGCTCCAAGTGTTTAAAAACAGCGGGAATCTCGCCGAATTCAACATGCAGTGAAGAGAAACAGAAGATGGTGATTGAGTTAGAATCAAAGCAAAGGGTTCCAACGTCTGTGCTTCTGTCCTCCGCTCGAATGTTATTTAGACGTTAGTATATCTGTCTATTTGTTAGCACATGATGTTTCTAAATCCTAAAATTTGAAAGTTTCTCAAACATGTCGTGAAAGACACATTAAAAGTCAGATACTGCATAAGCATCATGACAAACAGACTAGATTAGATACCCGAAAGGACAACAATAATCCGATTTTCTGACAACTCCAAAAGTATTTGAAAACAATCTGCAAGTGAATGAGGCAGAGAGACACATTTTCTCTTAAATCTTAAGTAGTGAGTTCCATTATTGCACTTACAATGTCTCCATCGTGACTCTTGAGTGCCTTAACCGCTTTGCTACGCGAAACTCCAGCCTGCGTCATGACCAAGTCAATGTCACGAGCCTCCACACCGGTCTCATCAATGTCCTCTTCATCTTCTTCCACCTGTGCTTCTACAGTGGCTGTCGATGCCTCTGCTCTCTGAGATGTGGCTCCGATTTCAGGCATCCTAAACTGTTGAGCAGCTTGCGTTTGAAGCTGAGAGCTCAAATCCTCGATCTTGGCCTCACCGAATATAACATAGGTTTCTGAATGCGGGCTTTTGAAGACATCCGGTTTAGAGATGAAGAAGAGTACCTGGCAACATTAATGTAGTGTCTCATTAGAATCATAAACGCAGAAACACATCTAAACTTAGTGAGAAAACAGAGAAATTGGTTTACGTTTTTCGTTCTCTTGATGGTTACTCTGCTAACACCAGTGACTGGTTTCATACCGAGCTTCAACATCGCCTTCCTACTCTTCTTCTCACTTCTACTCTGCTTTGAACTTCCACTTACACCTACAACAACAAAACTTCATTCAATTTCAAGAACGATTCACTATGCTATACACATATCAGGATCTCTATTCTCCGAAACATGGTCAAGTACATCCATTAATCTATCATCTCCCACACCTCTATATGTTAACAAAAGCATGTAAATCCACCATTTCTACATAACTATGCAGTCAATCTTGAAATGTGATACTCTTCGAAACTACGAATGTGAGAACGAACAAGGATTAAAAACTCAAATCACATGTCTAAAGAAGACTATCTGGAAACTTAAGTAATGATTGATGACGAACAAAACTCTTAAATTGGCGAGAAAAGAGGGAAGAATCAAACCACCTTGAGCATCGTCGTCTTCCTCTTCTTCGTCATCATCATCATCATCTTCGTCATCTTTTACATCTTCTACAATCGGTTCATCAGTCTGGAAAAAAAAATCCTCGAGCATGAGACTAAGAAGTAAAAACCGTAACAAATAAATGTAAAATCGTCTTAACCTGAAGCTTTTTCTCCAGCTCTTCAGCAATGGCAGCAGCTGGTGGTTGCTCAGGTTGTCCATCGGCGGATTCAGTGACTACAGCAGGAGGAGGAGACATGGCTTTCGAGAGATTTTAGGGTTCCGATTCGATTTTGCGTCAGCCTAATGGATAAGGAACGGTGCGGTGGTGAGTGACTGTGTGGTAACGACTCGGATTTTCTGTCGTTGTCTATTTGGGCCAATCTTTGGGCTTTTAAGGCCCAATGATAACAAGAGCGACATTAAAATAATTTAGGTCCCAGTCCCAATTTTCTATGGGCCGCACATGATATTCACGTGCCCAATTCGAAATATAAATACGTTGGTGTGTTTGTAGATCTTTCGTGGGACACAAGCTAGCTACAATGGCCACCGGTGAGCTCGCTTGCACTTACGCAGCTCTAATCCTCCACGACGATGGAATCGATGTCACCGTAAGTGCTTTTATCTTCCGCTTCTTGCCTTATCTGTAGCAACCGTTCAATTTCTTAGTTCCACGTTCGCCATTTCTAGTACAATCTATGTGTGTGTAGCTTGTATATATATAATATATTGTACTCAATGCCTAATAGTTGTTAATCGCTCTTTTTACGAGGCTCAATCTTTACATCGATTTTGAACTCAACCTACTTGAGCCTTAACATGTAGCTCATTTGTTTTGACATGTACTCAAACTAATTTGGTTACTTGTAAACTAGGCTGAGAAGATCTCAGCACTAGTGAAAACAGCCAATTTGAACATTGAATCATACTGGCCTAGTCTTTGCCAGAACAAAAACATGGATGATCTCATCATGAACGCTGGTGCCGGTGGATCTGCTGCTGCTCCCGTGGCCGTTTCTTCTTCTGCATCTTCATCTGGAAGTGCCACTCAAGCTGCCCCAGTAGCCGAAGAGATAAAGAAGGTACTGTATTCTTCTCTCCTTGAACCCTTTTACTTAATTGATATACTTTACTCATAATAAATACATAATTGTAATATATTACTTCTGATATTCAACATCTCTACTTTATTTGTTTAATTTGTTCATCTTGTGATGAATCATCTTTAGGAGGACGAGAAGGAAGAGAGTGACGATGATTTTGTATCCTTCTTTTTTGACTAAGAAGCTTTAATCTATCTCTTCAAGTATTTTCTTTGAAGGCAATCTGTGTTTAGGCGACTCAATTTTGTGAGATTTTTTTTGTTCTTAGGAAAGTCTAGTAATTTTACTTGGTACATGTTTTATCATGAGTTTTGAGGCTATTCTTAAATGTTAATCAATGTAACAATGTTGGGTTACAAGACCATCTCCATCCATCAGACACTATGTGGGTGTCTCAAAAATATTATTTTAATCATTTTATAATAAATAAGTTATTTATTTAAATTATAAATTATAAAAAGAGAATTTGACCAACAATAAAATGACAAGTGGAGACACAGTTTCTCAAAGTTTCTCAAACCAAAAACGTGTCTACACTCTTTCCTATCTTTTTTATTATTTTTTATTTTTTTAATCTTGAGACATTCCTCAAAACACTACTGTTGGAGATGCTCTAACGTTTTCTCGGCTAATTCCGCTCGCTTACCTAAATCCTACACGTGACTAATTTCGGATTGTATCTAGTAACGACATCATTCTTTAATTTGAAACTTTTCACTAATCACTATTCTCAGTTAAGTTGATATAACTGATATGCGAAGAACTATTTAAAGGAAGAACGTTTCCTAAAACATAAGAAAACTCTAAGCAATAGGCATTCATTCGTTGACAATGTAGAGACCATAATGAACTTGTTGACCATAATGAACTTGTTAAACACGTTATCACGTACCAACGAGTATGCCCACCCAACTTCTCTTTCTCTTTGACAAAAAAAACTTATTTTTCTCACGCTTGGATTTAAAAAGGTAACATATCTTGCAAGTTTGAATTTGAATGGTAACATAACAACAAGATACACACTAGTGAATTTTAAATGTTAAGACCACGTTTTCAACGATTTTACACACCTCTCATTTGATACTGCGAGACGCAATTGTACTCCATTTTTTGTAGTATTTGTTTTATGCGGATGCCTAATTTATCAATTGTATTTGTATTTCCGTCATAACTAAGATTCTATTGAAATATGTTATTGTTTATGAGACTGTCATATTAAAAATCATAGTCCTGATATTAAAAAAAAAAATGGAAAGACACCCTTTGTAAAACAGAAAAAAATATACAATATCATTTTCTTATTAATTTATTGTTATTTTTGGTATTTTTACCATAAGATAATTGTCTTTTTGTGGGAAATAGTATAAATATATATGCCAAATTTTCTATAATAAAATCAAAATCTATTCAATTTGGTATATATATACACATAAAAAAAGTAATGCCTAATTATAGATAAATAATCTAAATATGTAATAATATCTAAACAGGGTGCTACAAAAAGGAAATTAAAGACAAAAAGATAAGGTTACAAAAAAAGAGTAAAGATAAAAATTGTGGTAGGTAGAACATAAACCGAAAGGTGGCAGTCATGTCTGTCTAGTGGACCTGTAAGGGTTTCATTTATAAGGTCACTGTTGTGTTTGTCAATCGGTACTCAGAAATCTAAGGGTTTCACTTCTTTTCCGTGTGCAATGTCGGCCATGAAAAAACGAAAGAAGCACGTCTCCAAGGAAGATGTTGCCCTAACCATATCTTCTTCAGTGGGTGAATATGGAGAGAACTCGGGTACGTTGCTAATTGATCTCATGGTCGATATACTCTCCAGATTGCCTCCGAAATCGGTGGCGAGGTTTCGTTGCGTGTCAAAGAAGTGGAATTCTCTTCTCCGCAGTCCATATTTCACCAACCTGTACCTGAGGAGGTCTACTGCTCGGCCACGTCTCCTAATCACTTTTCAAGCTGAGGGTAAGTGGTCTTTCTTCTCATCACCCCAGTATCTGATTTCAGACCAGAACTCAAATCTTGTAGTTGTTGATAATCTTTTGGATGTCCCTAAAGATTACTCGTTTGGAGTTTGTGCTCCTGTTTGTGGATTGCTGTGTACTAGAGATGAGTGGGTTTTAAGTAGAAAGAGGGATGCAAGGATGATGATATGTAACCCTAGCACAAGACAATCCAAATCTTTACCCAAAGTGAGATCGAGAAGAGGTAAGGTTGTAACCTATATGGGGTATGATCCGATCGAAAAAGAGTATAAGGTATTGTGCATGACAATTTGTCAAAGGCCATTTAAGTTCAAAGCTGAAGAGCATCAAGTTCTTACACTAGGAACGGGCAAATTGAAATGGAGAATGCTTGAATGTCCTGAAGCCCATTACCCTCATAATGATGGGTCAGTTTGTATCAACGGGATACTGTTTTATATTGCTAAGACTAGTGAGTCTAGAGAATGTAGGATAGTTTCCTTTGATATGAAGGATGAGAAATTCAAGTTTATACCGATCCAAGCTCAGTTGTCAACTTTAATAAATTACAAGGGCAGCTTAGGAGGAATTCGTCTTAGATCATTTGGCTCTATGGATGGTGGAGATACAAGCTTTGAGTTGTGGGTTCTTCAAGATTTTGTAAATCAGGAATGGGTAAGCTATATTCACATATTGCCTCCTATGTGGAAAGACGTAGTTGCTGGGACTAGAGTTTACTTTGCTGGGATGATCGGTACAACAGAATTTGTGTTTTCTCCATTCGTCAAATCCAACCCTTTCTACATCTTTCACTTAAATATGGAGAGCAACACTATCACAAGAGTTGAAATCAAAGGGACTGGACCTCGTGAAGGTCAAGAAGTTTACACCTTTGTAAACCATATCGAGAATGTGAAGCTTATTATGTAAGTTCTTAATTTAAATTTGATAAAAAAACTTAAGATATCAGTGCTGTAATTTTCCTCCTAATCTTTCATAAGTACTATATCATGGGCTCTTAGTTAGTCCTTATTTTATGATAATGTAGTTTTCCCATTGTTCAGTTATATTATATATGACTATTTTATATTAACTTCATCTTTGTCTGGTTATGGTGTCCATGCTCTTGTTTACATTAACCACATTTTGGAACACTCGAGAATCAGACCCTTGTTATATATTGGACCTTCATACATTGCATTCCTTTCGTACTTCGTCACTATATCTCTTCAAAATGGTACAATCTGGGCTTGCCAAGGTTTTCTTGGCTTAAGGAAAAAAATAGGCTGGGCAAGAAAATGTTCAAAGGTTTGTGAAGTTCATGAAAATATCTGAATTGTAACCCAATAGACCAATTGAGATTAGAACAAGAATCTACCCTGCCGAGATATTCTACTCTATAACCTCCCCTTCTGTGAGTGGCTTAACTATCTTGCTCTTCGAACCACCTATGTGTCATTCCTTGCACGGGCTTGCTTGAAGCATATATTTTTGGGCTTCAATCCGTTTTTCTTAATTTGCCTCCTCTACTAAGAGAAGGTAGTTGGTAGGTACGATGGTCAGATATTATTTAAGAGCACACTTTGATAAGGAAAGGATAAGAGTAAGGACAAATAAGGTTTCGGTGGCTCAGGAGATATAATGGTTGGATTTGTATGGAGATTGGATCGGAGAGCTACACAACACCTTACACCGATTATCCCTTTTGTCAGTATCGTATATTTATTTTGTCTTATTTCCTATTTTAAAGATTAAAAAAAAAACAACTCGAAAATTACTCAAAAGTAGTCCAGATTTTAAGAAAACTTTATCAAAGAACTATTTGATGTCTAGAAACCCTAACTCTGTCGAAATAACCTCGTAGGTGAACCCTAAAAACTTCCGTTTGGTTGTTCGGTCTTTAATCCTCTCTCTGTACTCTCTTCATGTTTTGTTTTTATGTTTCATCATATCTGATTATGAATCGATGAGCTCTATTTTATTTTTTAGATCTTTCGTGGGACGCGAGCTAGCAACAATGGCCACCAGTGAGCTAGCCTGCACTTACGCCGCTCTAGTCCTCCACAACGATGGAATCGCTGTCACCGTATGTCCTTTTTATCTTCCGCTTTACCTTCTCTGTAGCAACCGTTCAATTTCTTAGTTCCACATTCGCCAATTCTAGTACAATCTATGTGTGTGTAGCTTGTATATTGTACTCAATGCCTAGTAGTTGTTTAGTTGTTAATCGCTTAATCTTTTACTAGTCTCAATCTTGACCTCGATTTTTGGACTCAGCTCTATTTGAGCCTTAAGTACTTGTAGCTTGTTTGTCTTAACATGTACTCAAACTAATTTGGTTACTTGTAAAATAGGCTGAGAAGATCTCAACACTGGTGAAAACAGCCAATTTAAACATTGAATCATACTGGCCTAGTCTCTTTGCCAAGCTTTTCCAGAACAAAAATATGGATGATCTCATCATGAATGCTGGTGCCTGTGGATCTGCTGGTTCTCCCATGGCCGTTTCTTCTTCTTCATCTTCATTTGGAAGTGCCACTCAAGCTTCCCCAGTAGCTGAAGAGAAAAAGAAGGTATTGTATTCTTCTCTTTTTAAACCCTTTTACTAAATTAATATACTTTACTCATAATAAATTCATAATTGTAGTTACTGCTGATATTCATCATTTCTAATTTATTTGTTTAATTTGTTCATCTTGTGATGAATCATCTTTAGGAGGACGTGAAGGAAGAGAGTGACTGATGATTTTGTATCCGGCTTCTTTGACTCAGAAGCTTTAATCTACCTCTTCAAGTATTTTCTTTGAAGGCAATTGTGTTTAGGCGGCGACTAAATTTTGTAAGATTTTTTCATTAATCTTAGGAAATCCATATGTAATTTAACTTGGTACATACATGAGTTTTAAGCCTATTCTTTTATATTAATCAATGCAACGATTTTGGGTTATAACGCTTAATTCCGCTCGCTTACCTAAACCCTACACGTGACAAATTTTGGATTGTATCTAGTATTGACATCATTCTTTGATTTGAAACTTGCACTATCGCTATTCTCAGTTAAGTTGATATATAATTGATATGCGAAGAACTATTTTGAGGAAGAACGTTTCCTAAAACACAAGAAAACCCTAGGCAATAGGCATTCATTCGTTGACGATAGAGACCATAATGGACTTGTTAAACACGTTACCACGGACCAACGTAACGAGTATGCCCACCAACCTTCTCTTTCTCTTTGACCAAAAAAAGAAACTTCTCTTTCTCCCACTTGGATTTAAAAGGTAACATATCTTGCAAGTTTGAATTTGAATGGTAACAGAACAACCAGATACACAATAGTGAATTTTAAATGTCATGAAACTGCCATATTTAATATGATAGTCTTGATATTCAAAAAAAAATGGAGAGACACATTTTGCAAAACATAAAAAATATACAATATCATTTTCTTATTAATTCAATGTTAACTTTGGTATTTTTACCATAAGATAATCTAAATACATATTACCAAATTTGCTCCAGCCAACTCAACTCACTTTGTTCAAAACGTTGAGATCGATTGTGTTCTGCTCTAACACGCTCTACTCCTCTATTCGAGGAGGAACCAGCAACGCCAACTGCCACTATACTTGGCTTCTCTCTCTCTCTCTACTGCGTCAATAAAATATATTTTAGCCTCTTTAAAGGCTTCACCAACTGAGGCTTTTTCTATGGTTTTTTTTTTTAATGAATGTAAAATTTATTCATCTAAAAACCCGGTGTTACATCAAGTGCTTCAGTTTTGAAGGTGAAAGTTTTGACATTTGTGGATACCCTATTTATCTATGGTTGATACTCCTTCAGCTGTGGATACCCTATTTATTCCTACCCAACAAGGTTCATTGGCAAATAAAATTGTAGGGAATGTTTTTGAAAGCAATATGTTTGCTTCCTTAAACTCAGGAGTTGATACTTGTTTTGAGATGGGTGACTCCTCTCTAACAACCCAAGAAGGAAGGACAATCAAGCCTACGCAAAAAGTTCAAGAAAATCAATGGACTACGGTTGGAGGACGTGGCAAAGTGGTCGTGGTGGTCGCGGTTTATCTACCTAAGCCATTGCTTTTTCTTTCTCTGATCTAGAAGACTAGAATCTATCTACTGTAGTTGTATGTTCTTCTCTTTTATCTACTTTCAAAAACTAAATGATAACCTCATAGTCATATCCTTGTAATATTTTATATGCATTTAATTTAAAAGCCCTTTATCAAAGTAAAAAAAAATTTCTCTAAGAAATTGAACTCAAAATTTATTCAATTTGATTAAATGTAAATTTGATATCTTTGCAAGATAATCACAATCAATTTTTTATAAAGTCGCATAATTTTTTTTTTTTAAATATACAAAGAAGCACGAAAGCAACGGTATGACATGAGTAATATAGTGTGTATACATAAAAAAAATGTACTGCCTAATAGATAAATAATCTATATATGGAGTGATATCTAATAAGGATGCTACAAAAAGGAAATTAAAGACAAAAAAAGATAAGGTTACAAAAAAGAGAAAAGATAAAAAAAAATGTGGTAGGTAGAACATAAACCGAAAGGTGGCAGTCGTGTCTGTCTAGTGGACCTGAAAGGGTTTCATTTATAAGGTTGTTGTTGTGTTTGTCTATCGGTACTCAGAACTCTAAGGGTTTCATTTATAAGGACGCTGTTGTGTTTGTCTATCGGTACTCAGAACTCTAAGGGTTTCATTTCTTTTTCCTGTGCAATGTCCACCATGATGAAAAAACGGAAGAGGCAGGTCTCCAAGGAAGATGTTGCCCTAACCACATCTTCTTCAGTGGATGAATTTGGAGAGAACTCGGGTACGTTGCCAATGGATCTCATGGTTGAAATACTCTCCAGGGTGCCAGCGAAATCAGCCGCGAAGTTTCATTGTGTGTCAAAGAATTGGAATTCTCTTCTCCGCAGTCCATATTTCACCAACCTGTACCTGACGAGGTCTCCTGGTCGGCCACGTCTCCTAATCACTTTTCAAGCTGAGGGTAAGTGGTCTTTCTTCTCATCACCCGAGTACCTGATTTCAGACCAAAACTCAAATCTTGTAGTTGTTGATAGTCATATGGATGTCCCTAAAGATTACTCGTTTGGAGTTTGTGAACCTGTATGTGGATTGTTGTGTACTAGAGATGAGTGGGTTTTAAGTAGAAAGAAAGATGCAAGGATGATGATATGTAACCCTAGCACAAGACAATTCCAATCTTTACCCAAAGTGAGATCGAGAAGGAATAAGGTTATAAACTATATCGGGTATGATCCAATCGAAAAAGAGTATAAAGTTTTGTGCATGACAATTTGTCAAAGGCCATTTCTGTTCAAAGCTGAAGAATATCAAGTTCTTACACTAGGAAAGGGTAAATTGAAATGGAGAATGCTTAAATGTTCTGTCGAGCATTACCCTCATCATAAGGAGATTTACATCAACGGGGTGTTGTATTACTTAGCTGTGAAAGAAGAGACTAGAGAAGATATGATAGTTTGCTTTCATGTTAAGCATGAGACGTTCCAGTTTATAATGAACAAAGCTCCGTCGTCAACTTTAATAAATTACAATGGGAAATTAGGAGAAATTCGCACTACAAGAAATATGGGTATTGATAGCACATTTTAATAGCTCAATTTTCGTAACTGCTATTAAAAATATTAATTCGGTAGAATTACTTTATAATAGCAATTTAGAAATGCTATGCTGAAAAATGACGGAAAATGACTAAGGGGGAAGCAAAAAATTACTTGACAAACCTAGTTACACTATTAAGCGCCATCATTTAGCCAAAATTTTAGTGGAATATCTCCATTTTCTTTTACTTTGTTAAATTTTCTTAAGTCGTTTTCCCCGACACTAAGAAGTTCAGACATTATGAAGTTTTGAAAGAGATCTAGGGTTTTCCCAATCTCTCTATACTCAGTCTCAACTAGACAAAGCGACTAAGAGAGAAAAGGAACGAGAGATTCCCTCTGCCCGTGCCGGAACCATGCCTCCGATGACCCCTCATCCACCGCCGCCGCCGCTGCCACCAAACCTACTTGACTCAACCAAAACCCCTTCGCTTCCTCATCCTCGATCGATTCCTGTCACCTCAACTCCAGATCTGGCTATTCTTATACCCTAACTTCATTTTCTTCTTGTAGCACAAACCCAGACGCAGTCTAATTCCTCATATCTCCGCTTCTAAATCTGGTATTTTTGCTATAATTTTGAGGGTTTCAATTCGATTCTCATTGTTGTTTTAGTGTATCAATTCGATTTATATAATTTTTAGGTTTTCAATTCGATTTTCTTATAGCAAGAAGACCAAAGACTACTCCTAAGTCTGATGATGTCTACCTCAAGCTTTTCGTCAAGGAAACAAAACAAGGAGAGGTATAGAACAGTTTAGAACTTCTGCTTGACAGTACGATTTTTTGCCTTCACTTCCAGGGATATTTCTTAAATGTTCGAATTCCAGTTTTGGGTTTTAATTTTGTTGTTCTGCAACGTGATTGCATTTGAATTTCGTGATTGGTTTTTGTTAATTTTGCCTCTTTGATTGCGAATTTGGGATTGTGAACGCATGTATTACTTATTCAACATTTTGCCATTATCTAGCTTACCAAAGGATGCATCTTTATGACTTTGAAGTAATCTTCTAACTATATTGTGATCTCCTAGCGGATCTCTTTCATTACTAACTGTATTTTGTTGCATATGCTTACTATTCATTTAAATTTATGGAGGATATTGATTGTATACTTCTTGAAGCTAAATGTTCTGTTTTACTTAACTCTATTCTTTTTGGTAACCAGGATACACGAATGAAAGAAGAAGCATTGGTGTGATTGGGCTTAGCATCCACACAAACTCTTGTTGAGATGCGTTAGAAGCTTGATCAATCAAGGTAACCTTTTGTTTTGAAAGATATTAGTTGGTTTCTGTTCTTTTTTATTTGCCATCAATGTAAAGAAAATGTGTGTGCCTATAAAGCAACATTATAATTGATTTTTGATTTTTTTTTGCATGAATAGTCTGAATATCTTATCTTTTGGTTGGTGTTGCAGAGTTTATTTCAGTGATTACAAATGATGGACGCAACATTGTGGTATGTTATTTTCTCTTGTGTGTTATATGCTTGGTCACTTGAAATATTAAATCAAGTATATAAGCAGAGAGAGCAATGTGGATTTTTAAATTTTCAGGGAGTTCTTAAAGGTTTTGACCAAGCTACAAATATAATCCTTGATGAATCTCATGAACGTGTGTTTTCCACAAAGGTTAGCTTTTAAATTTTGTTTTAAAGTACCAAATTGAATGGGTGCAAATTCTAGTTTCTGCAAGTATTGGCCGATTTTTTTTATCATAACCTTGTTCACCCCAATGTTTAATGGCTTGGATCCTTGTTTAGTTGCTGTGTCTATGCTTAAATTGGTAATGCAGAAAGGAAGGAAACTTGTTCAAGTGAGTGCAAGCTTAGAAGTGCAAGTAAACTAAGGAAGAAGTTTGTTTCTTTTTGTTCTTTATCTCATAAACCCTTATGATTAGCATTCTTGTTGTGTAAGAGTAGTACTTGATATTTTTATTTAAGATTTGGTTTGGATTAGAGTTTGTAAGACTTGTTATGTTTTCTAATGAATTTTCTATAATAATAAAAATATATTTCGGATATATTTTTGCCAAGATTTAATTTATATAAATAAATATATAATTCAAAAAGGGGTTGAATAGAGCTACAAAACAGAGTTATTAAACAATATATTATAACCCATAAAAGAAGCTAGTGAACAATATATTATAACCTATAAAAACAGCTATAAATAAATTAATATAGCAACAAAATTATGCTACAGAAAACGAAATAAGAGCGTGTATTATACGCTATAATATGTTTACATATAATAGCATAGTGGTAAAACGCTATTG